GGCGCCGGCACACCGGGTTCTAGTCCCGGTCGGGGCGCCGGATTCTGTCCCGGTTGCCCCTCTTCCAGGCCAGCTCTCTGCTGTGGCCAGGGAGTGCAGTGGAGGATGGCCCAAGTCCTTGGGCCCTGCACCCCATGGGAGACCAGGATAAGCACCTGGTTCCTGCCTTTGGATCAGCGCGGTGCGCCGGCCGCAGCGGCCATTGGAAGGTGAACCAATGGCAAAGGAAGACCTTTCTCCCTCTCTCTCTCTGTCCACTCCGCCTGTCAAGAAAAAAAAAAAATAAAACAATTGTAAAAAAAAAAAAAAAAAAAAAAAAAGAAGCTTTCAGGGTACAAAACAGGTGGGAGTACAGAAGGGTGAAGTGATTAATTTGGTTTTGTTTGCTAATTAGTGCCCATTTTAGATAAGGATCTAGGAGAGTTTGGACTCAGATGCCTTGGAAATGTGGTAGAATAGCCAGGCAGCCCTGTGAGCCCACTTAAGGTTTGTGGCCACAAAATAAAAGTGAAACCAATCAGTGAGGAGTGTGTTCTTCTGAGCCAAAGTCAGTCTCCTGGGTGCCGGGGTAGAGTAAGTTGAGAGTTAAATGAATGATGAAGATGAGAGAGCAGAAGGGATTGAGAGGCACCTAGGGGCCAATTGCAGTTAAACCACAGACTCTAGGCTGGGCTGGGAGAGAAGTAAAGATGTGGAGGGAGTTGGGGACGGGTGGTGGTGTGGTCAGTAGGTGGAGGCTGTCTGTGTAGCTGGAGTAACTGATGGAACAAACAGGAAAGATGCAAACCTTGGCCCCTCTAGGAGGTTGGATTGTGTTCTTTGAAAACATATGTCTACGTGGAATTTCACAAGGTGACCTCATTTGGAGATAGGGTCTTTTGCACATGGAATTAGTTAAGATGAGGTCATATGGGATTAGAGGAGGCCCTCAGTTCACCCAGGGAATAAGGGCACGTGACCACAGAGACTGAAGTGATGCGGCAACAACCCAAGGCCTGCTAGGGAGTGCCAGGAGGCCCCAGGTAGGAAGAGGCAAGGAAAGATCTTCCCTGGAGGCCTCAGAGGGAGGATGGCCCTGCCAGCACCTTGGTTTTGGACTTCGAGGGTTTGCAACTGTCAGAGAATGAATTTCTTTTGTTTTCAGTCCTCCAGTTTCCAGGACTTTGTTACAACAGCTGTATGAAGCTAACACAACCCACAGCTTCCTGTGCAGTCAGTGGTTCCCGCGTTAGTGTTGTCATCTGTAGTCAGGAAAGAGTCCTTCTTGGGAGAGCCCCTTGGCCTGTTGATCAGGCTCAAACCTGCGGTCATTAGCGAGGTCATGTCAGCACCACCAACAGTTCAGTCCTGAAACAGTTTGTGCAGAAGGTGTGTTTAGCAGGCACTAGCGCCCCCTCAATCTTTGTGGAACACTCGGAGTAGCAATGTTTAATCTTGTGCAGCTTCCTGCCACAGAGAGACTTCCTGCTCCAGGATCGTTCTGTTGCTGTCTCCCTAGCTCAGGCTTGCTCTGATCCATCCTGTAAAGCCTGAAGTCTGAATAGCAGAAGTTGTTTCCTGAGCGCGGGGCTCTTCATTACCTGAGTCTCTCTCTAGAGCTTACCAAGAGCTTAGTAAGTGTTTGTCCAGCGTGCAGCACTGCAAAGGGGTATAATGCAGCACTGGTCTGCTCTCCTGCCTTCTGCCACAAACCACCACCAACCCCGAAATGGGAAGGAAGTCCCACTTGAGCCAGGATGATTAAGGAAGTAAGGCTTAATTATTTAGAGGAAGCTGAGTGCCCTCTGCCCTGACCAATGCTCACTGAGTCTAGAGTGAGTGTGCAGAAGGGTAGCCGGCCCCTCCGTGCTTCCTTAAGGTGGGGACTGAAGTTGGGAAGGGCACCTGTTATCTGTCCAGGACTCTTTGTTGAGAACCGTGCAGTACCTTTGCAGATAGTTGAAGAACTCCACAATGTGTGCGCAAGCTCAGGATCCCAGTACCCCTCATTCCACAGGGATGAAGCCCCTCCTGTGTACAGGATTTGTGTGAGGCATGGGAGTAATTACAAAAGAAGAAAAAAATGTTTGAGAGTGGGGCAGGCCCATGAGTGAGGACCAGGAGGAACAAGGTGTGTGGGTAGGAGAGGGTGGGCCTGATGCCATGTGGGAGAGGCAGGGAAGGCCTGGCAGAAGGCAGCAAGTTTCACCTGAGACTGGAGGGAGGAGAGAAGCTCACCTGCAGGAGAACAGCGGGAGGAGAACCTAAGAGCTTGGATCCAGTGCTGGAAGCGAGGCATCAGGGCTGGAGCAAAGAGGAAGAGACCTAGATCTCCTTGCAGAGGACAAGGGTAGCCATTGCCCGTCTTTGGCTTCTCTCCTACAGCCTGGTCTCAGAAGCAGTTCCAAATTAGTGACCCGGGTTTAGCTCATTTCCCAGTAACCTAATCCAGGCAAGGTGCTTCTGCTTTCTGGCCATTTTTGTGAAATGAGCTGAGGTTCTTGCTAGTCTAACATTCTGTGGGGCTGTGGCTCTTTGAAAGAGGATCCAGAGTTGAGTAAGAGGAGCGGAAGACAGAGTGGGAAGTCACAACCAGTGAGTAGGAAACAAGAAGAGGGGCCCAGGGAAGAGCGTGGGAAAGTTTAGTCAGAGCACTCGGAGGAGAGCTGCGCTGATCCGCAGGAGTGCGTGTTTGCCTCCAACTCCAGTGTGAGGATACAGAGTAGGGCCCTGTACTTAGCACCAAGAGGTCATGGTTGACCATTGAAGAACAGAAGCTGGGCTAAGATATACTAAGGGTGAACAGGTGGGTGGTGAGGCGGGCTCACCCTGGACTGAACTGTGAAGCAGCACATTGGGGGAGCCCTCTCCTCACTCTGCCCCACCCCAGGTGCCTCACTGACTGCTCCATCCCTCCCCATACCACACACACACACACACACACACACACACGGGCTGCTTCCAAGGACCTGTTCTGTGCCCCAGAAAGCTTTCTTTCCAGTTTTGCTATGGTCTGCATGTTTGTGCCCCATTGCCCGCCTCCCTAATTCCTATGCTGAACTCCTATCCCCAAGGTGATGGTCTTCAGGAGGTGATTAAGTCATGTGGGGTTAAACTCTCATGAATAAGACTAGTGCCCTTAGAGTTGACCACTTCTGCCATGTGAGGATAAAGGGAGAAGGTGCCATTTATAAACCAGGAAACGGGTCCTCACCACACACCTAATCTGCTGGCGCCTTGACCTTGGATGTCCCAGTCACCAGAACTGTGAGAAATAAATATGTGTTGTTTATGAGCTGCCTGAATGGACTAAGACACCAACCATAGCCCATAACTCAGTGAAACTAAAAAGAACATTCAGGTATGCAATACTGCTTTTTGCTGGGCACTGTGTTAAAGGCTTTGTGTATGGATTAAATTTTACCTTTATTGGAAATCTGTGGTAAATGCTAGTATATCCCTCATGTTATGAATGAATGAACTGAAGCTTAAAGTCACATGTCTGAAAACTGGGCTCAACTACAGGTAACAAGCCTCCAGGGCAAGCTTTCATGAGCCTTGTTGCGGGGCCGGTGCTGTGGCGCAGCGGATTAATGCGCTGGCCTGAAGCGCCGGCATCCCATATGGGCACTGGTTCAAAACCCAGCTGCTCCACTTCCAATCCAGCTCTCTGCTATAGCCTGGGATAGCAGTAGAAGATGGCCCAAGTCCTTGGAACCCTGCACCGCATGGGAGACCCAGAAGAAGCTCCTGGCTCCTGGCTTTGGATCAGATTGGGGAGTGAACCATTGGATGAAAGACCCCTCCCCCACCTCTCCTCTCTCTGTAACTCTGACTTGTAAATAAACCTTAAAAAAAAAAAAAGAGCCTTGCTGCACAGCAGTCTAACTGACCTAAGTCCCACCAGGGTGTGAATGACAGGTGGCTATATGTGCAAAGGAAGTCTCTCATGAGATTTTTGCATTGGAAAGGAGGAGTTTCAGAATCCAAAGAAAGGACATGTGAGTTCTGGAGTTTTCTGGATAAAAAATTGAAGAGAGCCTTAATCTTTAAGGCTCTCTTTAAAGATTAAGGCTCTCTTAAATTGTGTTCAGATTCCCAGGGATTCAAACTATCTGTCAAGAAAAAAACTGAAATTTATCAGTGAGGGTCAAAGAGTTTTGAATAAAAGGAAAGGGAGTGATGGTAAGCAGAGTTGCATTTTATTTTTTTTAAAGAAGAGGAAGATCTATATGTGCTTGAAGGGGGGTAGAAGGACTCAGTGGAGAAAGAGCTCCTGGAAGTGTTCTGGGAAGACAGGACAATTAGGAAGGAGACCACCAGAGAACCAGGAGGAAGTTGGGTCTAGGACACAGCAGAGGGTGGTCGTGGGGGATTCACTCTGCTGGGCAAGGAACACTCTCTTCCCTTCAGTGCAAAGGGAAGTTAGAGACATAAATGCAGGGACAGTTGTGTGTTGAAATGACAACTAGGGGGATAAAGGGAGAGCAAAATGACCACTTGGGTCTGCAAGAGAGTGAGGGAGTTTCTCATCTGCTGTGAGGGTGGACTTGGGAAACAGAAGCACAAAGCAGACAGCCCAGGCAGCTTGTGAACAATCTTGAGAGCGCGGCTGTACAATGCAGAGGGTCAAGTTGAAGTTTTTTTCAGGCAGATTCTAGTTGTCCAGGCATTTTCTCATCTGTCCATCCCCCTGACATCAGGCTGGGTCCAGAGATGAGAGCCAAGCCTAGTGATTCCAGCTGATTCCTAAGGCACCATCCCTGTGGTCTCCAGTGTTACTCATCTCTTTGAAGGCAGCCTGAGCAAGTGCCCCGATACACCATGAACACATCCCCCAAGTATCTGAGTCTCAGCAAGTCCCAAGGCAGTGTCGCTGAAAGCTTCTCCTTCACCAGCCATCTTGGGAACTCTGAAGATTTAATAGCAGGCAAAACGCTCCCTGTTCGGGAAACCAGAGTGTTCAGACACATCTGCAGAATGACAGCCCTCTAACTCTAGATTTCTCTGTGCTGTTTCAGGAGAGGAAGATGATGATGATGAAGGTGATGAAGATAGGATGGATGGTACAGTCAGGGGCCCTGGACCCAGGGGCCCGGTTGGGACAGTATCGGAAGCTCAGCTAGCCCGGAGGGTCACCAAAGGAAAGAACAGCCGGAGGATGCTGTCCAACAAACCTCAAGACTTCCAGGTACAAACAGCCCAGATGCTCTGCTTCCTTGTTTCACTACCACCTTGGTCATCTTCAGCAACTACAGTGATGCTGTGAGGGACCTATTCCCCTGGGCAGTGGCTCATCTAGAAGAAGGGACAGACACAATAAGAAGAGTGCCCATCTTTCTTCTGTAAGCAGGAGTGGGTTTGGTCAAGCCAGCTGAGGTTCTTCAGAGAAATGAAACTGCAACCTCTCTCCCAAAGAAGAGAAGCACAGCTATTGCCTTGCGCATAGCTCTGGGCACCGCCTTAGACTTGGGAAACAGTGAAGGAGGGAGTCCATGCATCATCAAGGCCCAGGATGGCCATGTCAGGGGCTGGAGTCTGAGCAGGAGCCTCGGCCTGGTCCTGCCCTTCCCAGGCAGGCTCTCAACCCTACCTACGCCTCCTGGATCCTCCAGCCCAGCCCCACATCCCCTCTTGGGATGATGACAGGTGGTCTTCCCCAGGCCACGAGCACCAGTGCCCTGCGAAGCTGTGCTGGCCTGTCTTCAGCAACCCTTACAGGTGACATTGAGGATTCCTTTCCACCGCACACCGGGCAAGGATCAGTAACAAGTCCTCTTCTGTGCTCTCAGATTCGCGTCAGAGTGATAGAGGCCCGACAGCTGAGTGGCAACAACATAAGGCCAGTGGTCAAAGTCCATGTCTGTGGCCAGACCCACCGAACGAGAATCAAGAGAGGCAACAACCCATTTTTTGATGAGGTAAGCAGGCAGAAGAGGCATGTTCCTGCCCAGTGAGTCTGTCCTGTTGGCTGCACCTCCCTGCCTTCCACCCGTTCTCCCTATCCACAGGGGAGGGGATCACATGAGCACACTTGACCAGCTAAAGACGATATGGAGTTCCAGAGCTGAACATATGAAGTAAAATACCACGAAGTCACTGGCCCAACTTCATCGTTGGTTCTCGGAACTGCCTGTGTCTTTCTTCCTGTGTTTTTGCAACAGCTTCCCAATGGCTGCCTCCCCCTTCACCCCTTCTGGTAGAGCACAATATGTCACCGACATCTACCTTTGCTTGTTCTAATTACATGATGTCACTGAGGGACAACTCTGACTAATCTCAGTTTTTTAGATGTCAAAACTTACTTGGCAACAAAAAAATAATATATATGAAAGGAAGACAGTTATGGACAGACATGGCTCCCCCTTACCCTATACAGAGAACACAGTCCTGTTCCTCTTGACCTCTTCTGGAACATTCTTCAAAAATACTTACTACCTTGACACTCACCTCACAGGTCACAGAACGCCATGGCAGGGCCCTGGGCAGAAATGACAGGCTAGGGAGTTTTCCAGAGCCCAGCTCCACTCTGCTGGAGGGGACACGTTTCTGAGATTCCTTGCACCTGCATCTCCTGCCCTGTTATCTGAGCTGAGGCCTTGCCTTGCCTTAGTTTCCTACCACAGTTTCTCTTTGTTCTCTGTGCCTTCTGCTCCCTGAGCCAGCTCTGACCTTTTTTTTTTTCTTTTCTATTTCTATGTGCAGAAGAAACTGGTTTCTTCTTTCAGGGGCTCCTGTTTCCTCCCCTTTGTTCAAGCTTTGCAGAAGGCCCTATTTTCTTGCCTCCTCTGACTTCTCTCCTTAGATGAGTCACAGATAGCCACATACAGCTACGGGAAAGCTCACACGAGAGGTAGGGTGCACTGAGATGGTGCACTTGTGTGGACTTTGGGAAGGCTGGGAGAGATTCATGTTGAAGGAGAGACTGATTGGGAGGGTGAGATGCCGGATGTCATGTGGCCTCAGGCTGGGACTGGGGATGAGCATTTGTAATGCAGGCTCCATGTGTACTCTGCTGCACTCCGAAGAGCCCAGCAAGCGTCTCCACCTTCCTCATGCTTTTCCCATTTTCATGATTTATTGTGACATCAGATCTCTTGGCAAAGGTGAAGAAGCAAATCACTGGGCATCTAAACAGACTCATAAATTGGCCTTGAAATTTTACTAAAAAAGTCCTATAAAAAATTCTACTTTATATACTCATCTCTCCAAAAAAAAAAAAAAGCAACAAGCAAAAACTGCTATAGATTTTAAAGAATTAATAGCCAAATGCTATGTATGATCCTAATCTAGATACTAGATTTCTTTTTTTTAAAGCTAAGACAGAATTCTTTTTCAGAACAATTAGAGCAATTTGAAAATTGTTAGATGTTAAATTTCTTGGGTATGATAATAGTATTGTGATTACATAGGAAGATCTCTTTACTCTGAGGAGATGCATGCAAATGTATTTTTGAAAGCATGAAGGATCATCTAGAACTTTCTTTCAAATAATTCAATTTTAAAAAGAGAAAGATAAACCAAATGCCCCAAGATTGCAGCAGTTGGTAAACACAGGTAAAAGCTAGTATTTATTCAACCTTCATGTAAATTTGAAATATTTCTAAGTACAAAGTTGGAGGAAAAAACCCTCAGTTGGAATAAATGGTCCTTTTTTCTCTTCAGATTAACATGCAGCCGACATAGTACAATCTCTATATACCTAATATTAATCTCCCAAAAATCAACTTTCTTAAACTTAGCTGTTATGATGGGTTTAAATGCAGCCAATATTGCTCTGCTCAGGCATTCACACAATCTAGTAGGCAAAGTTGTCGTTGAAGTTGTTTCATTAGAAAGAAGAGAGGAGGCCATTTGGTGCAGAAGCTTAAATCACCGCTTGGGATGCCCGCATTCACATCAGAAGGCTTGCTTTGAGTCTTGACTCCTCTGCTTTGAATCCAGCTTCTTGCTAATGTGCATCTTGGGAGTCAGCAGGTAATGGCTCAAGTACTAGAGTCCTTGCCACTCAAGTTGGAGACCTGGATGGAGTTTGGACTCCTGGCTTGAGCTTGGCCTAACCCTGGCTGTTGTAGGCACTTGGGAAGTGAACCAGTGGATGGAAGATCTCTCAATTTGTCTCTCTTTGTCTCTCTCTGAGTCTTTCACATAAAATGAAATTGAATAAATATATTTTTAAAAGAAAGAGTAAAGTTAGAATCACTGACCAGAGTGATAGACCTAAAAATATTAGAGAATTAAATGTACATCAAGCCCTAAGCCCTCAGTTTAGTGAAAGCTGCAATATGAAATCATCTTAGATCTTTATTTCAGGTAGCTAGCATCACATAGTAGTTGATAAATGCTACACTTGTCACCTCTTTCCCCAACATGCAGAAGTGTGTCTACCATGAAACTTAAACTTTGGGGCCTTTTCCAAGGTCCAGCGTAATTGAACATAATTTTGAATTTATGCTTCTTGAGCTGTTAGGTGGGCTCCCAAAATTATAGCATCAGACATCACTCAACCTGAATGCCCTGCTAGCATTTAACTGTGTTCTCTATTGTTTTGGTAGCTATTTTTCTACAATGTCCACATGACCCCCTCTGAGTTGATGGATGAGATCATCAGCATCCGGGTAAGGCAGCAGTGAGTAGGGTGGTGCCATTCGCTAACTGATTGACGAAGGCAGTGACCTTTTCTCGCTCTCTCTTCCAGGTTTACAATTCCCATTCTTTGCGGGCAGATTGTCTGATGGGGGAATTTAAGGTTGGTAACCACAGTGTGCTTTATCTAGCCTACATACAGATGAGAACTTTCCTAATAGGACACCCAGTTCCTCAGGTGTCTGTCTCGGTGATACCTTATGTGTTAGGGGTTGGCGCCATGATCCCGGCAGAGGGCTGCCTGGGTCCTGTCTACTCCTGAGGCAGACCACTGGACAGTTCCCCAAGCAGGAAGTCATCAAACTGCCACGCTGGGGCCCTTGGCCAGTGTTCCATGTGCGGATGAAACAGAAGGAAAAGTGCTTGACCATGGCAAGAAGCCCAGCACCCAGCTCCACTCACCAGTGGCCCCAGAGTCCCACCTAGAAAGCCAGTTGTTGTACATCTGAAGTATGAAAAGAAAGCCAGATCAGGAAGGGAAAATGCCGCTTCCTAAGTAACTCACTTGGCATTAAAAGACAAATACGTGGGTGACTTCTTCCCCCCAGTTCTACATGGAAGGGGTTACCTCTCAAAGGAGGGCGCTTTCCTCACCAGAAGTCTGGGGATTATCTGGGTCAGGCAGGCTTGCGCTCATGCCACCAACAACTCACACATCCTAAGGGAACTCATTTAACCACACTGACCATTGGTTTTTTCATCTGTAAGAATTAATATGATCTAAATGTAATTTACATCCCCTATTGGCTTAGAGTATTTGTAAAGAGTTAGTGCAGTGACAATTCTGTATTACCACTTAGTCATACTGGACTGGCTTCATTTTCTTAACATACTTGTAATTGCTCAAGCATCTGGCTAGTAACATAACCCAGATGCTGGTTTTTAATTGCCATGAGCCAAATATTCTATACAGTTGATCTGTTTATTTTAATGGCTGCCTTTTAATATCTTTCTTTTCTTGCTGCTACCCATTTATGTACGTACTTATTAGGACTCATGGTGGGGGGGTTGTAGTTACCCCCCCCCTTTTTTTTCCAGTGGAAAGACTGTGTTAAAAGTGAACATTTTGAAGATTTTTCAATTGGTGAAAGATACTAATGTGGTTTAAGGCCACCAGAAATTGAGTGGAGATTACCCCTTTGGAAGGTACCATTCTTATGAGCCAAGAATTTGGTGTTTAAAAATTCATCTTGAAGGAAGAACATGTAATATACTTTGAAATAAAAGCTTAGTGACCTTAAGAGCATTATAACTGATAACATTGTGAATGGGGTAAAGTTGTTAAATGAATAACTTTCATAGTTTTCATGCACAGGCAAAATGTATTCACTAGATTTCTACATAGTAATCTGCTTTTACTTTGTAATTTGTAGTCCTCAAAAGACTTATTTTTTTTATAAAGTCCATCCTTACACTTAGGTTTAATAAAAAAAAAAGAAAGGATCATCATGCAGAGTAAATGAGGTAGTGTGTGTAAAGTATCTGGCACATTAGAGTGCATAGTGAATGATTATATTAGCATTGGCATTGGTTGGAGGCAGAGGAATACTGGATAGGCAGTTGGGTCAGATGACTTTCTGTAAAGTGACTTCTGGTCCCAGTTTGTGACTTTCAGTGCTAAAACCAGGGAAGGCTCAGGCAAATTGGCATGTGTTGGTCACCTTGCATCCATGGTCCCTTCCAAATACAAGTCTAGCTCACTCATGCAACAGTGATTCATGGAGGGGCTTCTATTGCCACAAGCAAGCAAGGCATTGGGGATACAGAAGGGCAAGATGAAATGATTGGGTCCCACAGATATTTAGGTCTAGTCATGAGCCTTGTATCAAAGTATAATGATGATGGTTTCTTGAAAGTGACTACACTATTTTAGAATCTACTTAAACTACTTTAAATTATTATTTTTGCAGATTGATGTGGGATTTGTTTATGATGAGCCTGGTAAGTAACATTCTCCCTTTCAATTTGAATTCTCAAGTTCATTCCTTCTAACTCTATAAGAGAGTCTAGGGACCAAAATTCTGGAGATCAAGGAGGCAAAGTTAGAGAAAAACATTTCCTTAATGGGGAAGAGAGGAAATGTTTAGTGGGAATGAGTAACAATAGCTTATGATAAATGTCCAGTGTTGTAACATTCAAAAATAGGTAATTTCTGTATTTTGTGAGGATATTTCAATCTTAGGGAGTCTTGTTTAAAACACACCAGGACAGAAGGTTGGGAGAGTACACAACAGGGGATATTAACATGTAGACCCATCTGAGGGATAGATAAGTCGTGATGAGGCTTCCAAGAAAATGCTTGTTTATCTCACAGCAGATGAGCTCACAGGCCTGTCGGCATCTCTGTAGAGCAGCCCTGTCCGCAAACCCCTCTTTTAGGTCACGCTGTCATGAGAAAATGGCTTCTTCTCAACGATCCTGAAGACACCAGCTCAGGTGCCAAAGGTTACATGAAAGTCAGCATGTTTGTCCTGGGAACCGGAGATGAGCCTCCCGTGAGTCTGAATCTCTGCCTTGTCCACTTTGCACATACGAAAACGCCCAAGAATTGAGCAGTCTCGAATCAGTAGTTGTGAGTGGAGCACGATTCCCCTCGCCTCACTCCACGTTGCTCCTGCTCTGCGCTAGTGGCTCTTCCCTCCTTTGTGGAGTTGCCTTTCCAGCTCAGTTGGCTCCTTCCTGACGCCTGTGAGAGAGTGTTTAATTCAGAAGCTCTGCATGTGTTTTTACGACTTCCTTGCATGTTAGTGAGACTGATCTTTATCTAGAGAGCATGGCTTACTTGCAGGATCAGGCACTGCACCTAAAGGGACAATGGCTATTCTGGGAAATTGGGCAGCAAACCAGGAAAGAGTAAGTGGCCAGAGTGAAATTGGAAGAACCTCAGGAACATGCACACATACTTTCCTATTTGATTCTCTTTGTATTACAAAAAGACACAGAAGCATAAGAGCATTGATTGTGTAGAGTGGTTTTGATGTTGCAGGAAAATGGGCAACTGAACTCAGAAAATTGAAACACAAAAAATCCTAAAGCAAACAGTTTGAGTTGCTTCATTTCACAATTTGGCTTTTTCCAAGCGCTGCCTTTCCAGATGTGTGATTTTGATCCCATATCCCCCAATAGCCTGAGAAGCGAGATCGTGATAATGACAGCGATGACGTGGAGAGCAACTTGTTACTCCCGGCTGGCATCGCCCTCCGCTGGGTGACCTTCTTGCTGAAAATCTACCGAGCTGAGGATATCCCCCAGAGTGCGTATTGATTTAATCTGCTCAAGATTATCAGTTACCTGCAGGATGAGATGTGCTAAGAGCATACTTTATACTCACCACCGTGGGTCTTTCTTCTGGTCCCATTGAAAGCATCCTGAATAGGTTCAAGGGGCAGAAGTTGGTTGCTGATCATGTTTTTTGTTGAGTACCTGCCTTTGATCCATTCTGCTCTATCCCGTCTTCCTTCCCTGTTCCATATCTTCTCCTTAGAGAGTGCTAAGGAGGTGAGTAGATGGCACTTCCAGCCCCTTTTCTCCCATAAGAAAATGTGGAGTTGATAATATAATGTGTTTGCTATTGGGCTATCAGAAACAGCTGAGTAAAGGGTGGTCCACTCCCGGTAGCTGGAAGTCTGTTGGTACTGTACGATGAGGTATGTTTGCCAGGGTTTGGACGCATTGGAATCACCTGGAGCGATTCCACTTACAAGGAGCAGCCCAGCAACTCCTCTGTGGCTGCTGATGGCCCAGCCTCCTGCCTGCTTCCTGCTGGGCCCTGGAACTCGGAACCCCTCTTCAGGCCCCAGGAGGCAGCACCCACTATATGGATCCTGCAGCCCTGTAGGATTTGCTACTTTTCCTGGGCAACCTCTCCCCTTTTGAAGACCTTATGAGGCTTCACCATGTCATCTTTCCCACAGAAATGATGAAGTAATTAAGTGAAACCTTACATCATACTTCCCGCCCTGACCTGTTCAATTGATCTCTATTCACTTCTGAGCTTGCGAAATAGAAAGCGCTACATTTGTAGTTGATTGCACATGCTATTTTTTATGATGCCAAATTTTTTTTGGTTTCTCTGAACAAGTGTGTCTGGGCCTTTAACTCTGTGACCCAGAGTGCCTTTCCCAAATTGAAAGCAGGCCTCAGTCGGGAGTTGCCGGTTGCCCTGCCCGAATGGACTGACTTTTTTCTAATATTTTCCTACATAAATGATCAATTCTCAACATCATGAATTATCCATTTATTTTTCAAAGTATTCCTATTGATTTTTTAACTTTGTAGGGAGAAAACATTTTCTTTCCCTCTCAGCTAAGACAAAAAGGATTTCTGTTACTTTTGCTTGCTACCCCGAAGAGAGACTCTTAACAGCAGCTGTTTTCATGTATAGGAGAGATTTGTGTATTTTGCTGAATGATCTCTGTTCTTTTAAGAGACTGAAATTTGATTTCTGTTGTGCCACATTTTACTTTCCAGTGGATGATGCCTTCTCACAGACAGTAAAGGAAATATTTGGAGGCAATGCAGACAAGAAAAACCTAGTGGATCCTTTTGTAGAGATTTCCTTTGCTGGAAAAAAGGTTTGTACGGGACCGCAATGCAGTTGCCTCTTGGAATGAATGTTTAAAACATTGTGCTTTCCTTGGAGTGGATTCCTGCTTACTCTGTGTTACAGTAGTCCCATGAGCAGCGAGGCACTCTGCAGGACCACGGCTAATCTGAGTCTGAATGTGCCAGACTCCTCCACAGGTTTATATTAGAGTGGAAAGTATGCAGGACTCAAATTGGAAAATTCATATTTTGAAAGATTAGAATACTGAAAGCTACCACAGAATTATTGACATGATTTTCCAGATCCAAGCATAATCTTTTTTTTAAAAAAAAAAGATTTATTGATTTTAAGGACAAAGTGGCAGAGAGAGAGAGAGAGAGAAAGGATATCCTCCCTCAACTGGTTCACTTCCCAAATGCCTGCGACTTCCGGGAGGAAGTCAAGAACCAGGAACTCCATCTGAGTTTCCCACGTGGGTGGCAGAAACCCAGATATTAGGCCATCATCTGCTTCCCGGGTGCATTAGCAGGAAGCTGGATCAGAAACTTGGGATAGCTGGGACTTAAACCAGGCACTCTACTGCAGAATGTAGCCTAACTGGCTGCATCACAACGCCCACCCCCGAAAACATTATCTTAATGTTAACCACGCCCACTTCCCAGGCACAGTCATCCCTGGTAAATGTAGAGCACGGGCCCTCTACACCCAGCTGCCCACTCTGACGTGTGTCTCGCCTTCTATGCCCCCAGTGAGTGGCTCAAACTGGATAATCGGGCATCTCTGCTCTCTGGAAAAAGCTGGAAGATTCTTGGTGTAGGGACAGCTGTCACCAGCGTTGACACAGAAAGAGCATCAGTGATTGTTGAATGAGATTCCATAGAATAACAACGCACCATGGACAATTACAGGCAGGAAGAACTAACACTGGCCATGTTGTAGAACCATCCATTTGTGAATGCAAGACTCAGCAAGCACATACACCTATCACTGCATGTTATTTCCTAGCAGAGTCACTGGGGTTTGGTGGGAAAGTTCTCAGTTCTAGGGCGAGATGAGGTCTGCTGTAGATTCAGAATGCATTCCACTCCACAAGCAAGCAAATTCCTTAACCTTTTGAGTGATTTCCTGAATTGTAAATGGAGAATGGTAGTAATCTCATAGGATTGGAGCCCGCACTATGGCATAGTAGGTTAAGCCTCTGCCTGCAGTGCCTGCATTCTATATGGGTGCAGGTTCAAGTCCTGGCTGTTATGCTTCCAATCCAGCTCCCTGATAATGTGCCTGGAAAAGCAGCAGAAGATGGCCCAACTCCTTGGGCCCCTGCACTCATGTGGAAGACCCATAAGGAGCCCCTGGCTTTGGCCTGGCACAGCTCTAGCTGTTGTGGCTGTTTGAGGAGTGGTCCAGCAGATAGAAGATCTTTCTCTCTCTCTCCCTCTCTCTCTCTTTCTTTCTCTCTTTCTCCTTTTCTCTCCATATATCTGCCTTTCAAATACACTAAATGAAAAAAAAATCTCATAGGATTTTGATGAGGGTTAATTAATTTGTGAAGTAATTAATGTGAGCGTGTAAGTGCTGAATACTGTCCTGGGCTGGGGAGACAGAAGTGAGCACAGGGGATGGCAGTTGATTTCACAGAGCTGACGCTGGAATAGAAGAGACAGACGGTAAACAAGCAAACAAGCAGTTGACTGGGCTCAGCCAGTGCTCAGTATTACATAGAACACAAGGCAGGAGACAGGAAGTGAGGATTGTGCAGGAAGGGTGTTTAATGAGGTCATCAGGTGGGGACACCTTTGAGGAAATGACATTTCAGCAGGGGCCTGGTTGTGCAGAGATCTGGGGGCCTGGTTGTGTTCAGGTGCAGAGAAGGACAATGGAAAGGCCCAAGGGGAACCATAGGAACAGCAGAGGGATGTGGCTGGAGTGAAGCAAACGGGGCTGGGAGGCTAATGGATGGGGTGAGAGAGGAGTGGGGACTGGGCCAGGGAGGAGCTGTGAGCCAGAGTGGGGACCTGGACTTTATAAGGATATTTCACACAGCTTTTGCAAGATGGAATTAAAAGATAAGTTAGGGCCCAGCAATATGGCAAAGCAGGCAAAGCTGCCACCTGCGATGCTGGCATCCCATATGGGTGCTGGTTCCTGTCTTGTCTGCCCCACTTCTGATTTAGCTCCCTGCTAATTGCCTGGGAAAAGTAGCGGAAGACAGCCCAAGTGTTTGGGCCCCTGCCACCCACATGAGAGACCCAGATGAAGCTCAGGGCTCCTGGCTCCAGCACTGTCCATTGTGGCCATCTGGCAAGTGAAGCAGATAATGAAAGTTCTCTCAGTCTCCTCCTCTCTCTAACTCTGACTTTCAAAGTAAATAAATAATCTCTTTTTTTTTTTTAATTATTTTGGCACAAAAAATCTGAAATCCATGAATATTTTGTTCATAATAAGAATTTTTCATGAACTTTTGGAAGACCCTTGTTATTTTCATCATCTTTTGTTAATTAACAATGATTAGCTTTTTATCTATATGAGAGGCAGAGAAATGGACACAGAGAAAGAGAGAGCTCCCATTCATTGGTTCACTCCTCAAATGTCCTTGACACCCAAGGCCAAAGCCAGGAGCTGAAAACTCACTCCAGATCTCCTATATGGGTGGCAGGGACCCAATTATTTGAGCCATCACCTGCTATTCCCAAGGTCCACACTAGCAGGAAGCTGGAGGTGGAAGCTAGAGATAAGAAATGAACCTAGACACTTTGTTTCGGGATATGCCATCCTAGCCACAGACCCCCCACATTCTAGTTATTCCCTGAGAGCTCACTGAAGACGTTGCACAGAGAAGTGATCTGAAAGTAAGGGCAGAAGTGGGGATCCAGATATGAACCAACTGCAGGTGTCCAGGGGAGAAGCATTTCAGGATCTGAACCAAGATATGGGTATATGAAGCACTGAGGCGACGGGTGTTGTGGCTGACTCTGGTTCGAAGCCTGAGGAGCTGAGTGAGCTGAGATAGAAACAATAGAAGAAGAGGTTGGTGGGCAGGGTCCAGAGATCTGTTTGGATGTGTTAACAGTGAGATGCTTACAGATAGTACACAATAAATGCTCAATAAACCTTAATTCTTACACCATTATGTTAATCTTAGAAAAATGACAATTGAAAACTAAGGAAGACATGACTAAAAACAAATTTGAGTTCATAGGAGAAACACAGATTAATGTTAAATTCATATTTTATCAAATAATTTTCAAGAAAAATTTAACCAGGTTACCAAATATATAAATAATAAGTAAACAACTGGAGTTGTAATCTAGTATGTACATATTATAACCTTTAAGAAATTAAAAACTTGAATATCTAGTTTATTTTTATTATTTTGCAGGTTTGCACAAATATAATTGAGAAAAATGCAAACCCAGAGTGGAATCAAATAGTCAATCTGCAGATCAAGGTTTGACTTCCTTTTCTTTCAGAAAAAAATGGTATTTAATTATCGGTTACTGACCAAACTGAAAAATAACTGCTTTTCCCTGTTTCATTTTAACAGTTTCCCTCCATGTGTGAGAAAATAAAACTAACAATATATGACTGGTGAGTTCAAAATAGACATGCGTCTAATTCAACATTAAAGAACTAAACATTTGGATGCTGTGGAACTTGAATCTAGATAATCTCTCTCTCCAGTATAGTTGCTTTCTTTCCAAAGAGAGGAACAAACTGCTCCCAAAACTGGGTGTTTTCCAAAGAAGTAGGAAATCATTGCAGAACAGTTTTGATATTATGGTTCAACTGCTCTTAAACAGGAAAAATGCCCCAAGATAAGAAATCCAGGATTTCATTATCATTAGTTTCTTCAAAATAGACTTCATAGATAGATAAACCATTTCTTAGGAAGAATCACCAAAACGTTGAGAGCAAAGCTTTGATTGAAAGAAAAATAAAACAAGCTACCTAACTGAAGGCAAAGAAAAGTCATTGAAATGTTCCGATGGCATTTTTACAAGATCAGCTTCCTTGCACTGATGGACTGTAAGAAGACAATTCTTGAAATGTTGCAGCTAGATGGATATTCAGCTGGTAGCCTTGAGCTCTCTGAGAGTGGAAACACAGCACATGTCATTGTCATCATGCTTATTATTATCATCGCCGTCATCATTATCAGTGTTCACTTTATTAGCTTCCATTTTTGAGTACCACTGAGTACCTGGCCCTGTGTCAAGTACCTTTGCCTACATTATCTTAGGTTGTATTTAGAGTAACCTTTTGCAGGTAGAGACTTCCATTAGCTTTATTTTACAGAGGAAGACACTGAGGTTCAGAGTGGACAAGTGACATGCCTGCAGTCACTCAGATAGCCAGAACCTCAGGTGGGCTTCCCCTCTCCCCCATCTGGATGTCTCCATAGTTTCTCCTTTGGCCAAATCCATTTGACTCTCGTGTTAGTATTCATCAGTACTATGGTACACAGGACATGTTGGGAGGAGGGAAATGGGTCTCATATTGTTTGTTTGTTTGTTTGTTTTTTTGACAGGCAGAGTGGACAGTGAGAGAGAGAGACAGAGAAAAAGGTCTTCCTTTGCCGTTGGTTCACCCTCCAATGGCCGCCATGGCTAGGGCGCTGCGGCCAGTGCACCGCGCTGATCCGAAGGCAGGAGCCAGGTGCTTCTCCTGGTCTCCCATGGGGTGCAGGGCCCAAGCACTTGGGCCATCCTCCACTGCCTTCCTGGGCCACAGCAGAGAGCTGGCCTGGAAGAGGGGCAACCGGGACAGAATCCAGCACCCCGACTAGGACTAGAACCCGGTGTGCCGGCGCCGCTAGGTGGAGGATTAGCCTATTGAGCCACGGCGCCGGCCTCATATTGTTCATTGACCAAACCATGAGTAATTGAAGGCTGTCCCTTCCAGTGGGTGTAAGAGGGTTACAAGGCACTTGGGACCCTCAGGCTACATACTACAGGTTCTCTAGGGGCCTCGAGAACTCTTGGAAGCGTGGCTTTGGACTCTGCATAGCTCAGGTGACCACCCTGGCCTGGGAGCTGTGCAGACTACTGATTGAGTCATTCCAGAGTTCCCTCTGGTCGCTATAAATGTGGGGTTTATTTATGACCCAGTCTGTTCTCTTCAGACCAACAGTTTAGATGAGAATGTACAAGGAGACCTTGTTTAACTAGGAAATCCTTGAAGCCAGATCTTAGGTTACGTACCATTCAGGGTACTTGCACAACTAAGAGAAAGCTAAGGTAGGTTGGTTGGTTGGTTGGTTTGAAAGGCAGAGTTACAGAGATGCAGAGGCAGAGAGAGAGACAGATGGAGGTCTTCCATCCACTGGTTCGCTCCCCAGATGGCCACAATGGCAGGAGCTGAGCCAATCCAAAGCCAGGAGCCAGGAGCTTCTTCTGGGTCTCCCACGCGGGTGCAGGGGCCCAAGGACTTTGGCCAGCCGCTACTGCTTTCCCAAGCTATACCAGAGAGCTGGATCTGAAGTGGAGCAGCTGGGTCTTGAACCAGCACCCATGTGGGATGCCAGCACTGCAGGCGGTGGCTTTACCTGCTATGCCACGGTGCTGGGCCCCTACAGATTTTTTAAACATAGTCTAGACCCGTCTGGGTGGACAGAAAAGATTCAAATCCCATCAATGTGATTTAATACCCATAAAAAATATTTTTCTCATACTAATTATAATAAGTCACTTTCTATAACCTAATATGCTGTGCTATTAATGAATCCTTCTTCAAAATACTGAACTTTTACTTCCTCCCATGGGAACTTGGACTTGAGAGTGGGCCTGCTGCTAGATGGAATGAACAGAAGGAATGAGGCAGAGAACACGTTCATAATGTGTGACCAACCCAAGATCATTTCATGAGTTAGGCTCACAGGTTCTCTAAGATGCCCACAGAAGGAAAGATACACAAGGTTGTATATACTTGTAGTAGGCATGGGCACATTTGTCCCAACACAGGTAAAATCTGGGTTCTAGGCAAACAACTACATTCAGATGAACACATCTGCGATGGAGTAGGTACTCAATAAATATTTGAATTTAATTAGGAGGAGAATTTTTCTCCTTAGATGTGGTCCATTATAATTGTTAAGCCATCAAAGTAATTAGCATAGACATTGCCAAGTATAAACCTATTTTATGTACTTAGTACTTACATTATACTCATGTAAAATGCCTGTAATTGATTAATTCTTTTTTCACAATAGTATTGAGTGCAGTCATGGGCAAATCCAGGGACCATCTGTAACATCTCAACTTGGTAACTGTAGATTGAATTGCCCCACTAGATCAGTGCTTGTACAGGGTGCTTGGAGAATCCTCTGCATTACAATCAGCTGGGATACTCTTAGAAATGTAGACTTGGTACCCACCTCAGGCTTATTTTATTAAAAGCTCGAGCAGGAGATGAGGGGAAGGAGTTTCCAAATGATGGTACACTAACAAGTGGGCTGACTGGCCAGGATGATTTCAGAGTTCTGAGAAAGTTTCCAGATCTACCTTTTATTTATTGTTGAAATGATGTATCTTCACAGCTGGAAACTTAATCTGTTCTTTTACACAGGGATCGTCTTACCAAAAATGATGTGGTTGGAACCACATATCTCTACCTGTCTAAAATTGCTGCCTCTGGTGGGGAAGTAGAAGGTAAGCTCCTCAGCAGATGTGGAAGACAGGAAAGAGAACTTCTGGAGGAAGAATGACCTGCGGTGCCCACCTGACAATAGGCAGGCTTAATTTTTTAAAATCCAAATGTGATGAGTGAAGTGAACCGCGTCAATGATATTTTGGTGATGGCCAGTGAAACAATTCCTAGTTGAGGCAGCTAACAGTTGAAAGATTTTACCTTATTTTTTTTTAAGATTTTATTTATTTATTTGACAGGCAGAATTATAGACAGCGTGAGAGAGAGAGAGAGACAGGGAGAAGGGTCTTCCTTCCGTTGGTTCACTCCCCAAGTGGCTGCAATGGCCAGAGCTGCGCAGATTTGAAGCCAGGAGCCATGTGCTTCCTCCCGGTCTCCCATGCAGGTGCAGGGCCCAAGGACCTGGGCCATCCTCCACTGCCTTCCCAGGCCACGGCAGAGAGCTGGACTAGAACCGGCACCCATATGGGATGCCGGTGCCACAGGCAGAGGATTAACCTAGTGCACTACGGCGCCAGCCCCCAGATTTTACCTTTCTTACGCCCATCCAACACCTCTTGTCCAATACCTGTTTGCTAAATTTTTGAGTGCCTGCACAGTACCAGAACCTTATTTTTAGAGTAACGTGGACACAAGTCCACCCAAATATGAAATAATATCCTCCTTTCAACTTATTGCTTTGGCAGGAGCAATGAGGTTAGATACCCATGAGCCATGTCATCTCCACTCCTCAGGGTAATATGCGTTGTGTTTTCACTTTAACAAGCATGAGTAATAACTACCACACTTGCTTCTGGTTGTTTTCCCTGCTTGAGAGCTACTCACCTATACCTGGCAACACGGTTCTGTGCATATGCCAGAAACGGTCAGAGGATGAAGGAAAGAGGCCAAGATGATGAGAGAAAAGATCTAATGGCAACATCTTAATTTCAGCATCTTATTTTTTTGTTGCCGAAGCAAAATTTTTTATAATTACAAGTGGACTAAACATATTGAATAAAATGACAGACTGACACAAAATTTCATCTTGGAAACTCAAATTTCCTCTCCTTCTCATCTTGTTTGAGAGAGGACTTTCTGGATGTGTAACCAATACTAACGATCTGTGATGAAGATTTCCTCTCTCGAGACTGTGAAAAGGAAAGGCATTTAGGTGCTCCAGGAGATGGAGCAAAGCAGATGGAGTCTAAACACACCATCTTGTGTAACATTATTTTAAACAGTGGTAAAAGGTAAGAAAGCGAGTGCCCCTGAATGTTCTCTCCTGAGTAGCCCAGAGCTCATGAGACTAGAGCTGCAAGGAGAGAAATGTCACGGCCGGGTAAAGAGTAGGAATAGGCGACAGCCTCTTCTGATTAAGTAAGCAATCCAGTAGCAGCCACTGTAGTTTGAATCATAAGGGTAATCGATAGAGGAATCAAAAGGCATGTTATACCTATGTCAGTGATATAAAAATAACTTAAATCCAATTATCAGTAGCACCAAATAATATCTAAAGGTAATTTTTTAAGTAATATTGATATAAGCATTTTACTTGGTGATATGGTGATAACATCCAGAAGAATTTAAAAGAAAAAAATTAAAGGGAATTAAAGCCCTTCCTTGAGCCCTTCTCTTTTGGCAGGCCCTGCAGACACACCACAGGGTCTCAGAGTAACAAGAAGCTGTCATCCCCTCTCCTGCAAAAAAGAAGAAAAAAAAAAAAAGCATGTTTAGAATCAAACAACGTACAATAAACTACAGGCCTGTGTTTACACAGCCTCCGACTAAATTAACTTGGATTTTCGGTGCTTGGTCCTGGCTAAGGCAGCCGTAAGCCGAGGAAGGTCTTGTTAAAAACGTGAAGTGCTGGGACCTCGCGAGGCCTCCCTGGGCAGCTGGCCGTAAGGTGGCTGGCAAGATGGGGTGACCCCCGTGGTGGTTCTGCCAGTGCTGACAAAAGTTTTAGCCACTTTGTGTTTATCCAGCAAGACTTGTACGCATCACTGAAGGGTCATGTGATTTTGGTCTGAACTTGGGATTTTTCTGGTGTTGCTAAACCATGTATGTATAGCACTTTGATTAACTTTTTGGTGTATGTTTTATAATGCCCATGTTTCTCTTGTTGTTTAACCAATCATATTTTTACAATGTAGATTTCTCATCTTCGGGAGCTGGGGCTGCATCATATACAGGTTTATGCTTTGTAATTTTGCTGTCTACTACATCTTCCTATCTGATCTTATTAAGAATATATTCATTGGTTGCTGTTAGAACCCTTTTGCTCTCTCAAAAATAGATTTGCTAGTGCAATAATTTTTATGTAAATATTGTATAGCTGCATGGCTGAGCTTAAGGACAGGTTGAGTATCCCTTATCTGAAATACCTGGGACCAGAAGCATTTCAGATTTCAGATTTTTGGAGGATTTCTACAATATTTGCATACACATAATGAGATATCTTGGGACTAGGACCCAAGTCTAGACACAAAATTTATTTGCATTTCATATACATCTATACACAGAGCCTGCAGGTTATTCAAAACAATATTTTTAACAATTTTGTGCATGTACTTATTTTTAATAATAATCAGGCTTGCATTGTAACTTTGGCATTCCATGTTTTGCTTTTTGGAACATTTCAGATTTCTGGTGTTCAGATTAGAGATGCTCTACCTGTGTGCTAAGTAGGCTTTGCTACATGTCTCGTGTTGTCACCCAGATGCACACCATCCTCTTTGCAAATCAGTGTGAGACGTGGCATTTTTGTCTTGGTTTATGTTCAGTAAGTTAGAGATACGGGGCAGTAGGCCAGTTGTTCCGAGTATGATGTAACTTCCCTCACTTTCAGCGTGGATATACAGGTTGAAAGATAATGAGGATTTTCTACTTTTCACCCTGAAGATCACCTCCCAAATAGGAGAGGTCATGGCGTGTGCTTCGGTTTGTCTAGCACTTGCAATTCTTTGCATGTTTGCTCAATCTAGACCATCACCAGTCTCCTAAAGTGGATGTTATTTTTCTTGGAATAGATGAGGATTCTGAGGGTTAGAGAGGTCATCTATCAAATAAGCATGCCCATCCCTGCAGTGCTGATAACCTGGGGTGGTGGTGGTGGGAGGAAAGATAGTGCATGAGGGAAACCTTTGCAAACTCTCAAGCTCTGTGCAAAAATAAGGTAATATCATCTGCCTCTGTGGGAGTAACACTATGCCCAGCTCTTGTTGTTTTAAAATCAGTCTCATTATCTTATACCCAGACTTTGTATGAATATTAAACAGTAGTCCTGGGTTTGCGGTGAACTTGGCAGATTTGGAAGCACTTCATTCTTTCATTCATTTGTTCAACCAATCAATGAGAATGTAGCAGTTTCCATGACAGAACCAGTCTTGGTGTTTGAGAGTCAAACTACAGCAAGCTTAAATCCTACTGAAAATAGTTTATTCAATGGACACATAGAAAGCAGCTATTTAAGGTTCTATAACCCAAAATATAAAGTCATAATTTATAGAAGTTCAAAATGCTAAGGAGCTTCAGGAAACCAAAGGAACCATGAAAACATTGTTTGTAAAGTGTATTTCAGCTAGTTCAGAGGGAAACCTTGATAGTCAAGCTAAAGAATTTTTATTTTATCTTATTTAGTTTCTTCAGGAAGGATATTGGGAAGTTTACGTCCCAGCTGCACATAAAGTGAGTTAGGGAAATTCGGAGGCAGGAAGAGCTTGGGAGAGAACAGGTTTTCCCAGGATACCATGTTGAGACATGAGCACGTAGAAGGGTTCTCTAAGTTAATGCACAACCAAACAAGTCAAAAACTTATAATACTGGAAAAGAAATTTGGTTGGCCAAAAAGAATTAAGCCGTTGATATCAAGGTGACATGCAGTGGTTCATTATTAAAAATCTGTGTCTCCATTCCTGGAGGTCAGTCAGTCACCTGTGGGAACCAGGTGGAGATGAATGGCTCACCTGCCACTCCACATTAATCTTTCACCTTTAGTATTAAGCCTAGAGTTGGAAAAGGCATTAGAGGTGATTTAGTCCTCATATCATAGCAGGAATTATCTATATGTCTTGGAAGATAGGCCTTTATCCTAACATTGCTTTTGATTGTCCTATTGGAATTGCCCCAGTGGGTGACATCTGTAATTCACAGAAAGTTCTGCTTTAACTGTAAATGAACTAAAATGGCCTTCATGTAGTTCCCAGTGGTGGACTTACTTCTGACTTTGGAGACAAGTCCGTTGCTCTTCCCATTTAGCTGTTGAATGCAGCTCTGACATTTCCCCACCTCACCCACAATTTCCCCTTGATTCAGCTGGTTTTTTTTTGTTTTTTTTTGTTTTTTGTTTTTTGTTTTTTTTTTTTTTTTTTGACAGGCAGAGTGGACAGTGAGAGAGACAGAGAGAAAGGTCTTCTTTTTGCCGTTGCTTCACCCTCCAATGGCCGCCGTGGCCAGCGCGCTGCAGCCAGCGCACCACAGCCAGCGCACCGCGCTGATCCGATGGCAGGAGCCAGGTGCTTCTCCTGGTCTCCCATGGGGTGCAGGGCCCAAGCACTTGGGCCATCCTCCACTGCATTCCCTGGCCACAGCAGAAAGCTGGCCTGGAAGAGGGGCAACCAGGACAGAATCCGGTGCCCTGACCGGGACTAGAACCCTGTGTGCCAGCACCACAAGGCGGAGGATTAGCCTATTGAGCCATGGCGCCAGCCCAGCTGTTTTCTTATACTGAACTCTGTGCCCTTTGTGGGGAATAGTCTTGTTGAGACCAAGTAGCAGAAATAGAGTTTATCAGATGATCTTCAGAGATAGAAAGTAATACATGGGAATCCTGCTTAGAACCATGGGCAGGTAGTTCACTGTTATGTATAAAAATTTTGAATGTATTTTAATAGCATTTTGCATGATCTGTAGTAATCGCTTGATAGTAAATGACATATCTTGAGAAGAAGTGAATCCAATACACCATTCAAAGCAATACAATCTTTCTCCCTAATTGCCAATGACATGCTTAATATAGTGCCAATTATAAACTTACAAAAAAAGTGATGGTTAACTTGAAAGTCTTATTATTCTTTCATTAGAATACCATTATCTTTTTAAAGAATAAGTTTACTTGATGTACCCCCAAAATATTTTTAAGATATTTTATAGCAATAAGGAAAGAGAAGTATGGCAATTCATACAAGTGTTTATAATTAGCATTAATACAACTAACACCCTATGGAGGAAAATAATCTCACTTAGCTAACTAATAACTAATATTTATTTCAATAAATTGAATAGTAAAAGCCTAAAATCTAATGATGACATTTATTTCTCAGCAACCACAGGAGAAACAGAGGTGGGCTTTGTTCCCACATTTGGACCCTGTTACCTGAACCTTTATGGAAGCCCTAGAGAGTACACAGGATTCCCAGACCCCTATGATGAGCTGAACACTGGGAAGGTTAGTGCTCAGTTAAGGTTGTTAGCACTATTTAATGTGATTCCTTCTTGTAATGCTTATAATTAGTATTTCATATTTAAGGGTCACCCGCCAACACACTCGCACATACCCACACCATACCACTGATCAAATGCTGACAACAGCAGTCTTGCAAGTGTTGGAATGCAAGATAGTAACGGAGCTTGAAGATCATCAAACTGGGTGGCAAATGGCTGCCCTTCCCCCACAACTTCTATGCTCATGGCACACATTGGTGATCAATGCTGGCTCTCTTTCCTAATAAGGCGTGGTGCTGCTTTGGGACTTGTTCAATGCTATGTTCCAGGAATTTACCAGACAATTGGCTACATGCCTGCTGAAACTTTTCCCATCTTTGAACTGATCCACCTCTTCATTTCATAGATGAGGACATGGAGGCCCAGACACAAGAAGTGCTTCTTCCACTACAACAGAAGCCAAATGTGTCTTTGAGTTATTTCCCCAGGCTCAAGAAAGGACTGAAGTAGAGAGAAAAAGCCCTGAGCGAGGGGAAAGGTGGAAGACCAGCTGTGGAGGTGGTGGCCCTCTCCTTCCTCTCTAGAAAGTTCTGTAGCCAGCACACCGGAGTATGGTGGGAGGAGGACCTACTCCACATCCTCATACTCAGCTGCACCCAAAACATCTTCCTCCTTCCTTCCTGGCTGCTCAGATGTGTGCCGGTCGCCAGCGTGGCATCCTCCTCATTCTGGGAAGAGAGGAGAGGAAACCTAGTCAACATAGGTAGATGCAGAGCTGCTCTGCTGAGATGGAGGAGATATGCACACCCGCCTCTCAGTCTCTAGGGACAGGCAGGAAAGCCTCCGCCTGCCCTTGGTCATGGCTGAGATCCTTCCAGTCCCGGCATCCCGCAGCACTCTTTGGAATACTTCTTACAATCAATAATTCCTCTTGCAGACTGAAGATGCAACTCCAGCCGGGAGTTTCTGACTGGTTTCTTTTGGACTGATTGATTGGTTAAGGCCACGAGGAGAAATTCTCTGTAGCTGTATTAGCCTAATCAGCAAGACAGAACACTTTGTGCTGTTGTCCATGACTGGAGGAATAATCCTGTCATTGCCTTTCAGGGGGAAGGAGTTGCCTACAGAGGCAGGATCTTGGTTGAATTAAGCACTCTTCTTGAAAAGACACCTCCAGATAAAAAGCTTGAGCCCATTTCAAATGATGACCTGCTGGTTGTTGAGGTAAACATTGGAGTGTGAATAGTGCCTGGCATGGAAAAGGACATTTTAAAGCATTGGTGGTGGGACGACTGGGGCTGGCTGTCTGAGCAGGTACACCTGCAGGGACATTCAGGGACTGAAGAAGAGTCAGCTGCTATAGTGCCCTTCAGCATTCTCGTGATGTGCCTACAACAGCTTACAGGGTAATGAGACTTGCTCCATCCTTCACAATATGAATCTTCTACCTAACACTGGCAACGGTAATGCTGCTCCAAACTGAATGGCCTCTTTGCTAACTAGGATTGAGTGGTCATGAATTGGGGGAGTGGATGATTAATTTTTTTCCAGGTTCTTTTCTTGTAGCTAGAGAAGCATTCTAAGTACAGGCATGTGTAAGATGGACAAAGTGATAAAGGTTTATTGAAAAGATGAGAATGTGAACACACACACACACACATGAGCATGGGTTACCCCACACAGACAGATACCTGAAGGGAGAAGGGGGTAAGGGAGAGGAAACAGAGAAGGCACCCTAGCACCTCCTCCAGTCATGGTCTATGGCAGAAGAGACCCAGTTATTGGCCTCTATTATGAGATTGGGTAAGGGGTGCCTCTGCAAACACAAAGCCACCTGGGGGTTTTATGGTATCTCCATAAAATTCTACATGAGCTTGCTATGCATATTTTCATGGTATGCTTCTCCCAGGTCCTGGATGAAACCGGTGAGTCCTGGGAAAGGGGGTTTTGATTGAAAAGTAGAACAGAATTACATATGGGGCAGAGGGAGGGGCCTGCTTGTGACTTCCAGCTTAGTGATCCCACACTAGCTGCCTGCCTGTCCTGCACCAGTCATAGCAAAGTCACCCAGGAGCCATCCTCGGTGATCTCATTTGCCCACTAGTCCTCTCCATCTTCAGAGGTAGTTGATCTATCTTGGGCTTCCCAGCATTCCCAGCATTTTCAAAAAATATTTTTCATTATTTTAGATTATTTAATTCTATTCATCAAATAAACTTGAAAGGAAATCCTAGGTTATTCAAAATTATCTTCAGAGGGACAAATCTGGGAAGTTACTGGGGCACTTGAGAGAGCACAAAATCCTACCCTCCCCAGTTTTATAGCAACTCTAAAAACTACATAACTAGGTAACTCTGCTCTTTTTTAAGTATCTAAGTAAAAGCAGAATACAGGTGTGTTTTTGCTTGTATATAATTAAAAAGTTAAAAGAAATTTTTAAAAACCACCTACTGCTTCTTTCCTGCAAATTACCTACACTGATCAAATATCTGCAGATGAGCTAATAAGCATCAAGCAAGTAGGGACCAAATGTGCACCTCTAGCTCACACCTCTAGCTTTACACTAAAGCAATGACAACCCAGGAGCATTGTGCATACTTAGCATCCAGATTATGGTGTCTGAGTACCATTTCCACTATAAAGAACCAGACCTCCTGCAGGAAATGAATAACGTAAATAGTCCTGTTTCTATTAGAGAAATTGAAACTGTTGCTTAAGACCCATGTTACAGTGACTCTGAGCTCCCATTTTTCCTTGAAGACAGGAAGCCTTCCAAGTTCATCTCTAACTATTGCTGACAAAAGCCAGTGTTCGCCTGTCCCACAAATCTGACTTGTTTGTAAGAGAAGCCCACACACTCATGCCCTCTGCCAAGGGCCAGCCACTCCTCGCTGGGCTGCAAACCAGCTCGGGCCCCATCTTGCTTAGGCTGCTGCTGCTGCCATTTTTGCTCCCCTCCATTCTGAGCACAGAACAGATTCTATTCTCAGTTTCCCCACTACAATAGAAACCAAGCAGCAACTTTAAAAATGTTTTCACCTCTGGGCTGAGAATAGAGGAACTGGCATGCCTGCTGAGTGTGGTTATTCTCAGGGCTCACGGGCTCAGAGCAGCTTCCAGGGGTCCCTCCTGGGGGCAGCAACGTCTGCTTCCAGCCTGCCCCTTGGGGGCAGAACTTGGCCCTGCATCCTCCCCAGACTCCAGGAGTGCCCTGAACAATGTCATCTCAGAGACCAGGTCCAGTGGCCACGAGTTCTCAGCTCAGCAAGGGCTTCCTTCTAGTCGTCTAATGTCTGCCTAGTAAAAGATCTGCCCCATTTTGGGATGATTGACAAGGAGGATATCCACTCCCTTTGGTGGAAGCTCGTCCTTCTCTCCCAAAGGAACGTGGCCTTGCTCTCCATCTTCCAATTACATTAGGGACAAGCATCCAAGGCAAGGGATTCTTGAGTCCTCAAGTGTATAAAACAAGCAGTCCAGCTCCTGGACCACACTGATGTCAGTCCTTTATCTTCCGTAAGGGGGAAGGATCGAGCTTCACGTTCTTCTCTCATCACAAGAGCAAGCCAGGGGGCACTGGCCTAACTACAAGCAGAGGAAAGAAGCATTTCTCTCTTATTCCCAAAGCAAAGATTCTAACATAGCCCTGGCTAATACACATGAAAGCTTATTTTGCCAAATAGATATCCTTAGCATTGTCCTCTAGACAAAAACTACTCCTTCCCCAAATTTACTTCTGAAACTCAACCCTCTGTCCCCTCATCTAGGGTGAGCACAAGTCACTTGTGATCAGAAACAGAGCCCAGGGCTCTACACAATCAGATACATCAACTGTGTCCAATAGACTGAGTTTCCCAAGTTGCAGGCAGTCTTGCTCCAAGACTACCAACGGAGGGTTTGAAACAAAAGCTGGGGCTCCCGACTTCTCTGAATGGTGTTTATCGTTCCTTCCTCGCCCCACTTCTCTGTGCTCTGAAGGTGGAGGGGAAGTCAAAAGAGTTGGAGTAGTTATAACCCTCAGCTGCCCGGGGAAAGTGGGCCCATGGTAGTGGTGCGCCTCATGGAGGTTGCACTTGCACGGTGGTCCAAGGAGCTGCTTTGTCTTTAGTGGCTTGCTCACCACGTGACTCACTGTTTTGGGAGTTGTCATGGCCAGAAGCCATGCTCAGAGCTCAGTCTCCCAAGGGGAGGGTCCTCTCAGGGCCTCTGTGGGTGACTTGGCCAGATCTGCATGGGAACCTCCAGGAAATCCTAAGTCATAGGGGCATGAGCAGGCAGAGCCAGCCTAGCCAGAAGCTGCACCCCTTCCTCTGCTGAGCCTTCCCGTGAAACCGCTCTGCCTTCTGTAGCCCCTGTTTTAACCAATTGCCACAGCTGAAAAACTGATCATTTTCCTCTGGCCCAGACTTGGCCCCAAATTAAATTTCTTATTTTTGGTTCCCTCTCCTAAGTGATTTACACAGGAGAATTATGCTGTGGAAGTCCTGACTTATACAAATCACTCCCTACTCTCTAATTTTTATACAATTGGAACCCAAGCACCGAATTTCCACAGCATTCCTGAGTCATGCATAGTTCCAGGGGCTTTGTTAGTAGTGGTTAGCATCTGACAACTAACACAAGGCTTTCAAACCCCTGTCTGCTAAAAGGGACAGTAAATTTTGCATTATGTGTGTTTTACCACTTTAAAAAAAAAAAAAGTTATTGAAATGGCTGGCTGAGTCCTCCTCTAAGTGTGTGAGCACATTCTTGCTGAAACCAGAAGACCCATTCATGATGTGTTCATTTTGAATAAAAGCCATGCTATGGATGGGTAATGAAGGCAAGTCAGTTAATAAATATCCCAGAGAGATGGAATCAGTTTTATTAATACCCTAGAGGCAACAGGCATCAGTATTTTACTCTTTAGATTGGGGTGCAAAATTGGTAGCAAGAGAGCAATGAAACAAAAAGCAAATACATCAAAAAAGCCATCATATGCCAAAGTTTGATACCTGTGCAGCCTTCAAATCTCAGATTGAATGATGGCAGAGCTGCATGCTTTCTTTAAGGGTTTTGAACCAAACTTGCAATGTGAGGAAATTTGAGAAGCAGTTTGAGTCTGATCGCTGTGGTCTCACAAGTTGAATGGTGGAACGCATGACCATTGTGACTACCCTGTGGTGGCCAGGGATGTTCTCACATCCTAGCTGGGCATCTGGGGAGTGAACCAATGGGTGGAAGACCTCTCTCTCTGTCTCCACCTCTCTCTGCAACTCTGTCTTTCAAATAAATAAAATTAAAAAAAAAAATTCATACTTAATTCAAAAAGTTAAATATTTCTTAGAAAGTAAAGTTGGCCATACTCTCTCTACCTTTTCCAACATAAGTGTTGTTAACAATTTGAGTTTTATTTTTCTTGACCTTCTTTAGGCATATGTTAATGTTAAAAAAATTAATTGATTCACTTAAAATATCTTTTTCTGTGTTTGTACATATGACTAGGCTGAAGTCTTTATGAACCTTTATTCCATTATGTGAAAGTAACATAACTTAACCAGGACCCTACTATATTGTTCTTGTTTTTCTCCTGGATTTCAATCAATACTGCAGTGAACACCCCATTACTTCCATCTTTGCCCACTTGCCCAAGTACTCAGGGAGTGCTAAATCCAAGATGATCTTTTGCTGGGACTTAATTCAACACTAATTATTGGGTTTAGAGTTACATCTGCTAGAAATCCACACATTAGTAAGAACAAAAGTTGTTTCACTAAACCTTCGTCTGCTCGCACTTACAGAAATATCAGCGGAGGCGGAAGTACAGCCTCTCTGCTGTGTTCCATTCGGCCACTATGTTGCAAGACATCGGTGAGGCTATTCAGTTTGAAGTTAGCATTGGAAACTATGGCAACAAGTTTGACATGACCTGTAAGCCGTTGGCTTCAACAACTCAGTACAGCCGTGCCGTATTTGATGGTAAGATCCACAATGACTATACTCTCCTATGCATGTTCTCAGTGGGTACATCAAGGGCAAGAAGCTGGCACTGTATTCTCCCCAACAGCCATTATCCCTAGCGTAGGGTTAGTGCAATGCAAAAGGTTAAGTGGGGAAGACAGAGTGGTTTGAGTTCAGGCACCTTCAAGACTGATTCAACCGAAGAAGTGGCAGGAGCTGACCCTCAGTGTCCTCCAACCCTCACCCAGCTTTTACCCAGCTCTACCTTATACAGTCCTAAGATAGCAACTCTGCTAAATACTAAGCTCCCCAAAGCAGCTCCTGCCCCTGCCAAGCTCCAAGCCTTCCTTGGGTGGAGGAGTTGAAGTGGGTGGGACCCTGGCTCAGGCACCAGCAAGTCAAGCTTATGCTCTTATTCAACACCGTTGTAACCTTAATCATCTCTCTTCATTCTAACCCTCAGTTTCTCTGTCTTCTTGAATTACTATAAGGAATAAATGCTGTTTTTGAAGAGAAGGTGGGTCTCAGCTTTTAAAGAGCTTACATTGAAGTGTATAAACTATATCATAACAGATGGCAAAGTATTAGAATACCCTAATCAAAGTATCAATGAGCGGTTTCAGTATAGAGAAAGGAGAGAGGAATTCTGAGCAAATGTCCCAATATTGCTATAATTTTTAGCTAACTTTTGTACAAGCAGTTCTAGATATAAAAGGCCCTAGACAATATCAGCTAATAATTCTTTATAGCAGTAAAGCTCTAAATGATACCAAACCCTGTGTAGCCAGCTAAGGCTTTCAAAGAATCACCAACAGATCTTGAGATTGTTGTGCTCAGTTTACCAGGGTATTTAGTGAGATTTGCAAATAGGCTGAATGAAAAAGAACTTTCTAGCTCATCCTCATGTACTTAATTGAATAAAATCAAAGAATGAGGGGCTGGTGTTGTAATGTCACAGGTAAAGCTGCCACCTGCAGTGCCAGCATCTCTTGTGGGTACCAGTTCGAGTCCCGGCTGCTCTACTTCCAATCCAGCTCTCTGCTTTGGCCTGGGAAAGCAGTAGAAGATGGTCCAAGTCCTTGGGCCCATGCCTGTGTGGGGAGACCCAGAAGAAGCTCCAGGCTTCTGGCTTTGGATCGGTGCAGCTCCAGCCATTGCAGCCATTTGGGCAGTGAACCAGCTGATGGAAGGCTTCTCTTTCTCTCTCTGCCTCTGCCTTTCTGTAACTCTGCCTTTCAAATAAATAAAATAAATCTTTAAAAAAAATCAAAGAATGAAATGATCTCAAACCACTCCCCAAGCACATGGATTAATCAGTATTTCAGGCTGCACATGTCTTTATAACTTGCGGTATTTATTCTAAGTGTCCAGTGTTCACTGACTGCCAATGTGCCTTCCCAGGTAACTATTATTATTACTTGCCTTGGGGCCGCACAAAGCCAGTTGTCACCCTGACTTCGTATTGGGAGGACATCAGTCATCGCCTGGATGCGGTGAACACCCTCCTGGTCATGGCAGAACGGCTGGTGAGTTTATCTTCCTCCATCTCCTCTTCACCAGGCAGAGTGAACTATGTATTGGGATGCAGGTCAGCTCACTATAACCCAAGGCTGAAAGTGCGGGAGTCAGCAAGGTGAGAATGAGTCCTTGAGTAACAGCTGAAGTGGGTGGGCCGCAGCTCCTATGGAGGTTCAGTGACGTGGACTGAGGTTCTTTCTCCCTGATTGCTCTGCCATCACCAAGGAGTTAGGATTGTCTGCATGGACGAGGAAGTTCCCCACTAAGTCCACTCTGCAGTCTGAGGGAAGCGAGGGGTGGGGAGTGGGTGAGGAAGGATGGGGAGAAGGTGGCGCAGATCCAGAAGCCACACGCTTGGTTCTGATCACTTTCCACTCAGCCACAACGAACCACAAGGAAGTGGGGAAATGTGGTATCATGCCAGGACAGGCAGATGCCCAGATAAAAATGTCTTACTATGGAAGAAGGAGGATGGAAAAAGGTAAGAGGGTGGCATCTTATAGTTTCTGCCAAAATTTGTGTGTGGAGAGCATTCATTCCCAAAAGCAATACAGAAGCTTAGGGCTTTGCTGTTGGTGCAGCAAACGTCTCCACTGAAGGCAGAGGTGGTGAGGAGACGTGGTACCTGACATCTTCCACTCCTGCTGCAGGCAGGAACATCTAACCTGTTTGGAGGTGGGGGAAACTGCTCAGACAAGCTGTCTGTAGTTATCCGTCTGGCGGACATTGGTCAACTAGATTGGCAAGGAGAAGGGAAATGTTTGAGATACCTCTTTTTTTAAAAAAAAAATTTATTTATTTGAAACAGTTTCCTAGAGAGGAAGAGATGGAGAGCTCTTCCATCCACTGGTTCACTCCCCAAATAGCTGTAACAGCCAGGTCTGGGCCCATGCAAAGCCAGGAGCCAGGAGCTTCATCCGGGTCTCCACATGGGTGGCAGGGACCCAAGCACGTGGGCCATCCTCTGCTGCTTTCCCAGGCACATTAGCAGGGAGCTGAATCAGAAGTGGAGCAGCCGGGACTTCAGCTGGAACCCATATGAGATACCCATGTGATAGGCAATGGCTTTATCTGCATCGCCACAGTGCCGGCCCCTGAGATGTTTATAAATTAAGTAAAAGATACTGGTGCCGGCATTGTGGCACGGCAGGTAAAGCCACTGTAATGTCAGCATTCCATATGGGTGCTGGTTCATGTCCCAGCTGTTCCACTTCTGATCCAGCTCCCTGCTAATGGCACAGGAGAAGCAATAGAAGATGGCACAAGTGTTTGGCTCCCTGCCACCCACGCTGGAGAGCTGGATGAAGCTCCTGCCCCCTAGCTTTGGGCTGGCTCAGTCATATGGGGAGTAAACCAGTGGATGGAAGATTTCGCTTTATCTCTCTGTCTCTCTCTCTCTCCCTGTAACTCTGATTTTCAAATAAAGATTTAAAAAGATACTAGGCCGGCGCCATGGCTCACTTGGCTAATCCTCCACCTGCGGTGACGGCACCCCGGGTTCTAGTCCCGGTTGGGGCGCCGGATTCTGTCCCGCTTGCTCCTCTTCCAGTCCAGCTCTCTGCTGTGGCCCAGGAGTGCAGTGGAGGATGGCCCAGGTCCTTGGGCCCTGCACCCTCATGGGAGACCAGGAGAAAGCACCTGGATCCTGGCTTCGGATCAGCATGGTGCACCAGCTGGAGCGGCCATTGGGGGGTGAACCAATGGAAAAAGGAAGACCTTTCTCTCTGTCTGTCTCTCTCTCTCTCACTGTCTAACTCTGCCTGTCAAAAAATATATATATATATACTAAATTCCTGCGTCAGGTCCTGATAAAACCTATCTTGTATTAATGTTTTGATTTCTAAGTTATGGTGACATTTTTTCTAAGATCTAGCCTCTATTAGGGCTAGGCCAGGACATACGAGATTCTTGGAGTATACCTGATCTAACACAATGGCAACATCTAAAAACATTATCATATGTTATAAATATAAAATGGAAAAAACAATTATAGGTTTAAATTAAGCATAATTGATCCTATCATAAAGTTCTTTGCAGTTGATATGAAATGTAGTTGTATTAATTCCCAGTCCCCTCTTTCAAGCGAATTACTAGAGAATGAGTTATTTCTGTTCTAATGATGTTTCCTATGTTCTTTAGCTTTTTTTTATCCTAGTTCTTCCTGGCTTTCTCCATTAACCAAACTGTCCTAATTCCATGCTAATCTGAACAGGATGGTAGGTTTCCATGACCAGAGTTTTTGATACTCACGATGGGCACTCCTAAACCTCTCTCTGAGTAGATGTCAACATGTCACAATATGTTTTTATTCTTTCTCTGTTCTAGCCCTGGAGTCTCTCTTTCTCCAAGGAGCTCTGGTTCCTTTTTATGGAGGGTGGTATTTAGAAAACAAGGTTTGGGGGCCGGCGCCGTGGCTCACTAGGCTAATCCTCTGCCTTGCGGCGCTGGCACACCGGGTTCTAGTCCCGGTCGGGGCGCCGGATTCTGTCCCGGTTGCCCCTCTTCCAGGCCAGCTCTCTGCTGTGGCCAGGGAGTGCAGTGGAGGATGGCCCAAGTGCTTGGGCCCTGCACCCCATGGGAGACCAGGATAAGTACCTGGCTCCTGCCATCGGATCAACGCGGTGCGCCGGCCGCAGCGCGCTGGCCACAGTGGCCATTGGAGGGTGAAGCAATGGCAAAAGGAAGACCTTTCTCTCTCTCTCTCTCACTGTCCACTCTGCCTGTCAAAAAAAATAATAAATAAAAAAAAAAGAAAATAAGGTTTGGGGATGAAAGTGCTTGTTAATACAAATATTTCATTGTCTCTAAACCTCAGCAGACAAACTTACACACACACACTCTCTAGTAGTTGATTTAATATATTGATACATGTAGAAATAATATAAGTCATGAGTCCTAGCAACACCCCCAGTTCCAGCAATACCACAGGGTTTATTCTAGTTTTACTCATTCCTATAACTTCTTCATAGTGAGAAACCTGGCCTCTGTTGTCCCTGTGTATTTATTTATTCAAACTTAAAATCCATAGATAAACCACTGTGAGAAACAAGTCTACTAATTAGAGTTTGAAATATTTATGATTTTTTTGCCCTGTAACTGAGGGTATGTAATCAAAATACTGTGTTTAAAAGTTACCTTGGTTAGCTTAGTATAATTATGCTATTCAACCGAAACATAATGAGGCTGACTTAATTCTGTTTCTATGCCATCTTAGGATTCCCTTCTCCATCCTTGCTAGTTCTGTCTTACTTTTTGAATACATAAAATGTTTATGTGGTTTCAAAGTCAAACTATATGAAAGGGTTGTCTTATTGTGTAGACATGCTAGTATTGATTGTATTTTGAAGAAAAGTGAAGAAAAAAAATCCTCTAACTTTTCTGTAATGAAGTATTTTCATTTTTTTTTTCCTGAAAAGCTAAACTTTTATTGGGTTTAATGACATAATGCACAACTACTAATTATTTCCTCTCTTTCCAAATTCTTCAGCAATCAAACATAGAGGCTCTAAAATCAGGGGTGCAAGGTAAAATTCCAGCAAACCAATTGGCAGAATTGTGGTTGAAGCTGATAGATGATGTTATAGAAGATACAAGGTATGTTGATTTTACTCCTGTGTCCGAATTCCCAGCTGTGTTCACCTCTCTGAAATTCTGAGACTCTAAGAACCTCTAGGCTCTTTTATAATGTTTATCTGGAAAATCAGCTTGAGCCCCTGAGCTTCTTAAAAGGCCTTCACTTGGGAGGAGTCACTGAGTCACCACCAGGAAAAGTCCCACTTTCTGATTTGGTGCCAGTTCTAAAGTGGCCTCTGAGGCTGAGGCCCCAATTCCAGAAGCAAATCCCTGGGTGGTCCAGGGCGAGGGATGGGGGAGGGATACAGTGGGTCTGTGCCTCTGTTTTCCATCAATCCATGGATGTCCACTGCCCTGGAGAAGCGACTCCTGGCTCCCAGAAAATGCCTTCAGGGGCTGGCACAAAGACTTCATCATTCAGAACGATGTTCTTAATCCATAAACACACTTTTATAAACAGCCATTTTTACTTACTCTTTGTCTGACTGCCTAATGAACAAAAGATTTGATTTGAGCCAGAGGACTTTTCATAGCGAGGACCCGGGGAAACAGCTTAGAGCTTTTGATATGTGGAAATCGAAAGGACAAGTGACTCATTCTAACTTGTTTTAGATATTAGCTAATAAAGCAGTGGACAGGGAAGTTCCAAAAGAAAAGCACATTGAATGCTTTCCACAGCAGTGGGACAGTGCTCTGTGTCACCCTGTCGTCTTGTGCCTTCTAGTGGTTTCGCCAGGTCATTGGCCTACTGCTGATAGGAATGCGCTGCTGGGGCACTTGCTTAAATTCAGGAAATTTTAGAACTGGGTCCTAAGGGGGGATGGAGAATCACCTCTTCTGCTCTCCTCATCTTGTAGATGAGACAACAGAAGCCCAAGTCAGGTTTACCAGCTCAGCTTCTTTTCCTGTGCCATGTTTCATGGTCAGCATCTATGATAGTACTTCAAAAAATTAACAGAGAAGGAAAAATAAAAGATAAGCCCATGTTGATACCAAAAAAATTGAAATCCATGCATATTATTTTCATATGTGATTTCTATGAATTTTTGAAACCCTTCATATGTATAGATATCAAACTTTCTTGAACTAAAACTTACTTTGAATTCATTTTCTATGAACTTTTTGAAGTATCTTTGTATTTATCAAAAAAATCTCAAGTGTAACTTTTGAGCTAAGAACTGCCATAGATATATGTGCCCTCCAGGATCACTCCAGAGACTTGACCCTTCATATGTATTATTGTAATTATTAATGAAACCAAACAAACATATAGTAATAACTTTCATGGATCTGTGAATTTTAAGGTTTGCTGAGCAAAACACAAACACTTCTGATAAGAGCTGTTTTTGAAGAATCAAATTGAAATCTTTGAAACTGTGTAACAGGAAATTCAGTGTTTAAAATAAATCACGCTAGGATTTCCTTCACTTAAGAACCTAGGTGAAATTCAAAACAGTGGAAATTTTAGGTGGGGACAATGTGAGTGGAACTTCCTGGAATTGGTGGCAACCTCACCCTGCAGTACCACCAGCTGCTGTACTGAGAGAAAAGGGCTGATACAAGAGGCTCTTTCTGGCCCTAGCTGAGTTGTTTTTTGTCCTGGGGTTCCATTACTAGATATCCCAGGCCTTATTTTGATTAAGGGTTTGGCCTGCACAAGTCATTCTCACTCTTTGTGGCGCTCATAGGCTCCTTTTGGAATCCAATGTGATGATGAACACAATGATGAGATGAAGATGAAGGTGATGACGTTATTTAGATTTTATAATGCAGCAAGTCCCACTCTGAATGCTCTCTGTGTAATAACTCATTTACACTCTTACAACAACCCTAGAAGGTGGACATTATGTTCCCACAGTGGAGACTGTCAAGATCACAGAACTAATAAATGGTAGAGCCACAGTTTGTACCCAGGTAGTGTTGGTAGATATGCAATTTTTTCTTAATAAGTTCAAGTGATTTGCAGTCCCCCTGAGGTCTGCCTATAGACTACCTAAACAGGCATGGTCCCTAAGAGCCCTTGGTTTAAATGATCTCTATCCTCCCTATCCACCCCATCGTTTTTTAGACCCATACAGTGATCCTAGGAAATAAAAGAAGGGCAGGTAGGTTTCTTCCATCTGCTGTTCTTTCCATCTTCCTTCCAATGACTGGGCCTTATGTCAAACCTAAGGAATTGCTTTGGAATTGTCATCCCCTGTCTGGTTAGCAGTGCCAGATATTCTCCACTCTAGCTTAAACCAGGTAATGTTTGCGGAATCAGTTGACATATTGATGTGACTTGCAAGATGGAAACCAAATATAAATGAACTTGTTGGTTCTGAAGGCTATTCTCAAATTCTCTGCTTGTTTTCTTTTCTTTTTTAGATACACTTTGCCTCTCACGGAAGGAAGACCTAATGTCACAATTCTTGATACTCAGATCCAGAAGTTGCGGTCCAAATCTCTCTCCCAGATAAATGAAGCAGCTGTGAGGATGAGGGCTGAAGCTACAGATGTGAAGTCCACATTGCTAGAAATTGAGGACTGGCTTGATAAATTAATGCAGCTAACTGAAGAGGTAGGATTTTTAAACTACACAAACATCTCTGATATGAAGAAGGCGTCTTTCTGGAATGGCATCAAGGATGAGGGTAGTAAATGGGTTATCTGGCACAGTCAGCTCTCCAGATCTGCAGGTTCTACATCTTGAATTCACCAACCATGGATTGAAGCTATTCAGAAGAAACATTGTATCTATGTTGAACATACACAGATTTTTATAGTTGTCATTATTCTCTTAAAAATACAACACGACAGCTATTTACATAGAAGCTGCATTGTGTTGGTTATTTTAAGTAATCTGGAGATAATTTAAGTAGACGGGAGGACGTATGTAGGTTATGTGGAAATATGATGCCAATATGTCTAAGGGACTTAAGCAATCATGGGTTTTGGTATGTGATGACAACATTATCTGAACAGTATATTGAACAGATCTGATGATCAAAATAAATGAAGGATTTTCTGGGCTATGGGGCTGAAAGTCATTGAAATCAAAGAGTTTTGAGTGGGTGGTCCTAGAATGGTCTTTAAGTACACGAATCCTTATCATTTTCTCAGAACTGTCGGGGAATGTTTTGAGTGATGAAGTAGCAGATCTGTGTAATACAGAAGATTAAAATGTCAACTTTGGCTGGGGCCAGAAGAATCTAGATTTGCATCCCGAATCTGCCATCCTAGTTATTATTCAACCTCTCTAAGCCTCAATTTCCCAGCTGTAAAATGGAGATAAGCATAGTTCGTAGCATTTGTGTGTAAAGGGCTTAGCATAGTGCTGGGTACACAGCAAGTGCTGAGTAGATGTTGGCTGTCACCAATCTCCATGTACTGGAACTCGGGAGTAAGGGGACCCCTCTTCCTGTCCTTCAGGTATCAAGGAGGTGTAGTATCTTAGTCTGTTTTGTGTTTCTATACCACAGAACCACAGATTAGATGTTTATCTCTCCCATCCAGTCCTGGAGGCTGAGAAGTCCAGGGTTGAAGGATTTACATCTGGGGAGGGCCTTCTTGCTGTGTCATCCCATGGCAGAGAGCAGATGGGCAAGAGTGGACAGGAGAGAGCAAGCAAGAAGACTGAACTGGCTTTACAATGAGTCCACTCTTGTGATAACTAGCACACTCTGGAGCTAATGACATTATCCATTCATAGAGGCCCTCATGACCTAATCATCTTTTATTAGGCCCCACCCTCCACACTGCTGCATTGGCGATTACATTTCCGGTAGGGACACATCCAAACCACAGCAGGTTGGTAGTAATATATTTGTGAGTAAAAACACATTTGAAAATACACATAGGATTACAAGTAATTTTTGCTCTCTACTTTGTGTGCCTTGGTACTTTAAAAATTTCCTATAGCAAATTTATACCCCTTTATACAGAAAAATAGCAGTTTTTAAAAACTAAATGTTTCATATTTGGCAACTATTGGACAGTCAGAGGTACTCTGTGTCCTATAAAATATACAACTTCTTGTTGCTGATGGCTTTCTTCAAATAATGCTCTAGATAAGAAGGAATATTTCCCAAAATACCTCTTGGAGCAGAGCTTCTCAGGTAGAGCTCCCCCTCTGCTTCCCTCCAACCTCCTGGACCAGCTGCAGCCTGCTGCCTCACCCCGCGTGCTCACAGGGTGGGTCTAGCAGATATGAATGGGGGACTTTGGGACAGAGCCCCGAAGGTCAAGCTTCAGGACCTGCAGTCCTTCTGCATCTAGACTAATGATGGCTTTGCTTCCTTTTCCACCCCACCCACGTGACCAGCCGCAGAACAGTATGCCTGACATTATCATCTGGATGATTCGGGGAGAGAAGCGATTGGCCTATGCACGAATCCCCGCACATCGGGTCTTATACTCCACCAGTGGAGAGCACGCGTCTGGGAAATACTGTGGGAAAACCCAAACCATCCTTCTAAAGGTACAGGCTTCACTGTGGAATGTAAAATACTTACATGTAAAACCCATATTCCCCAGAAGGGCTTGCTTTATAGTTTGCTAGCCATTGAATGACTAGGGTATCATGGTCCATTTTAACTCAGTTTAGTCCCTTCCTCTGTTTGACTTCTGAGAGCTTGATCTGAGATCTGCTGGCATTCCATCAAGGATACCTCTGTAGATGTCCTTATGACATGGCATTGTGAGTGCTTTGCTAGCTTGCATGAATTTTCCACTTAGTTCTACTATTTCAAGCCCTTTGACTTTAGTGAATGTTTGCAGAAAAAAAGAGATAATATAGTCCATGGAATCTATTGCTCTAACCAAATGAGTCCTCAGGTTAAAGTTTTTAATAATATTACTTATGGTAGAGGTTCTGAACATTTTCAGAGTCAGGGACTTCATTAAGTACCTGATGAAAGCTACTGGCCCGCTCCTCCAGGAGAACGAACAGCCCCCCTGCATCCAACACTTTGCATACAATTTAGGAGTTTGTGGAACCCATAAACGCATCTCAGAGCCCCCAGTTAAGAACTGTCTGGTGCAGGCGTTCAGATGCAGCCGGATAAGCTCCCCTGGGGATGAACACTGCTGCTTCTCATCTTTCCCCTGCTGATGCATCCTAGAAGGTGACATAGGATGGCCCAAGTGCCCAGGGATCCTGCTGCCCACGTGGAGACCCAGATGGAGCTCCTGGCTCCTGGCTTTGGTCTGACCTAGGCCTGGGTGTTGTAGGCATTGGAAGAGTGAACTAATAGATAAAAGAGCTCGCTCGCTCTCAGTCTCGCTGTGTGTCACTCTACCTTTCAAGGGGATAGAAAAAAATGAACTGTTAAATATATTTATAGTTTATATATGTATTTTACAGTTTATATGTTTATATATATATATATATCATATATACACACAGAAGTAATAGCTTTAAAAAGGAGGAGGAGGAAGAAGAGAAGTTCCGTGTGTGTGCATATGGGGAACCAAAGGAGGACTTGGGCCTGACAATGAGGAAAGCGGACAGTCCCCTCTGTGTGGCCTGACCTCCTCTCTGTGGCCAGTCTCAGCTGGAGTCCTCAGATTGGAGGAGAGGCGTGTGCATCCAGAAGAGGAAAAGCAGAGTCAGGGTAGGGTGTTCCCTAAAGCAAGAGGTTATCTTCTGACTTTTCATTAATTAACTCATCGCTCCTTAACCAGGAGAGTATAAACACAATCAGAAAAAATTATCTTCTGTCAAGTGTTCTTGGTAGAATAGATTTTACTGAAGATACAACCACTGTTGTAATTGACCTCAGCAGTGGGTGGAAGTACAGTGATTAATAAAGAACTTCACAGGTGGCAGGAGAAGAGACAAAAAAGTATTTTCTGTGTTGTGTTTTAGCACTCCGTGGATAAACAGCAAAATGCTTTTAAGAGAATGTGTTATAGATTCATTTGTTTTTTTTTTGAAAAAGTTATTTGAGAGGCAGAGAAACAGGAAGAGAGCGAGTGAGCTCCTGTCTGCTTTTTTACGTCCCAAATGCCTGCAATGGCCAGGGCTGGAGCCGGGAGCAGTTACTCCAGACCCCCATGTGGGCAGCAGGGACCCAACCACTTGCTCCTTCACTGTCGCCTCCCAGGATCAGGAGCTGGATCCAAGGAGCAAACCCAGGCTCGTTGATGTGGGGTGCGGGCATATGAACTGCTGGGCCAAGTGCCCACCCTGTTTACTGATTTTATTAATATTCAGTATCCTATTTATGAAACCATTTAATTCAGTGGGTTTTATTTTTGGCCTTGAGACTCCTTTATACTATTTTTAAAATTATTGAAGACCTCAGAGAGCTTTTATCTATGTGAGTTCTATCTATCAATCTTTACTAGAAATTGAAAATTTAAAAATATTTATAAATTTAAAAATATTTATAAACTCACTGAACAATAGTAAACCCATGTTTAACATAAATCATATATTTTTTATAAATTGTAAATCTATTTTCTAAAAATCAGCCAAGTGGTACTATTTTATATTTTTAAACTTCCTTAGTGTCTTGCTTAACAAAAATATAACTGAATTACCCCATGTGCTTGTGATTTTAAGCTTGTGCATTTAAGCTGGTGGTATGAGTTATTTGGTTGAATATGAAGAGAATCTGACCTCAAATGTGAGGATACATCAAAAGTTTTTTTTTTTTTTTAAGATTTATTTATTTGAAAGAGTTACACAGAGAGAAGGAGAGGCAGAGAGAGAGAGAGAGAGAAAGAGAGAGGTCTTCCACTCCTCAATTAGCTGCAATAGCCGGAGCTGTGACAATCTGGAGCCAGGAGCCAGGAACCTCTTCTGGTTCTCCCACATGGGTGCAGGGGCCCAAAGACTTGGGCCATCTTCTACTGCTTTCCCAGGCAATAGCAGAGAGCTGAATAGGAAGTGGAGCAGCCAGGTCTCGAACTGGCACCCCTATGGGATGCCAGCACTTCAGGCCAGGGTATTAACCCACTGCACCACAGTGCTAGCCCCGTCAAAAAGTTTTTGAAAATGGAATTATAGGCCAGCACCATAGCTCACTTGGCTAATCCTCCACCTGCAGCGCCAGCACTCCGGGTTCTAGTCCCAGTTGGGGTGCTGGATTCTGTCCCGGTTGCTCCTCTTCCTGTCCAGCTCTCTGCTGTGGCCCGGGAGTACAGTGAAGGATGGCCCAGATCCTTGGGCCCTGCACCCCATGGGAGACTGGGAGGAAGCAGCTGGCTCTTGGCTTCGGATCGGCACAGCTTACTGGCCGCAGCGGCCATTTGTGGGGTGAACCAACAGAAAAGGAAGACCTTTCTGTCTGTCTCTCTCACTGTCTAACTCTGCCTGTCAAAAAAAAAAAAAAAAAAAAGGAATTATAAAGAGCATTTTCCTGGAATTTTTAAAAGATCTCCCAAAGATACATAGTTGGGAAAGGAAGAGGTATTTTAATAAGCATTTCTGATAATTGTGGATATTCATTTTTGATATAACACCAGATTCAAACATTAGCCTCTAAAAGCTTAATTGCAGTGTGGAATCTGAAGCCATATGATTACATTTTCCAAACTTGGCTCCACAATCCATTGGTCTTTCTTGGACTTTGAATGGCTCTTTTATCCATGCCTGATTTTGTAACATCAAGTATGTTCACTGGGAAAATATTGGTTCATGGAGTTTTATAGATCTTCCTAAGGTTGACACATTTCATCATGAAATGTGAAAAAAAAATCACATTTGTCCATATCACAGATTAGGAAGTATTTATGTATCAGGACACTATCAAGCTCACCATAACCAATACAAATTTTCCAAAACTCTAATTTTGAATTTTGTCACTGGCTACAGATACAGGCATTTTCCTTGAAGTGAGAGGTTCATTTTGTTTATACTGAAGAACAGGCCTGCCCCATATCCAAATCTGAATAACTACATTTGTCTGTTAATACCTGTTTTAAGTAAAATTGTACTTCATTTTTTAAAAATCTAGTTCAATTCACTATTTATTTATTTATTGACAGGCAGAGTGGATAGTGAGAGAGACAGAGAGAAAGGTCTTCCTTTGCCATTGGTTCACCCTCGCGCGCTGCGGCCGGCGCACCGTGCTGATCCGAAGGCAGGAGCCCGGTGCTTCTCCTGGTCTCCTATGGGGTGCAGGGCCCAAGCACTTGGGCCATCCTCCACTGCCTTCCTGGGCCACAGCAGAGAGCTGGCCTGGAAGAGGGACAACTGGGACAGAATCTGGTGCCCCGACCGGGACTAGAACACGGTGTGCCGGCGCCACTAGGTGGAGGATTAGCCTACTGAGCCGCGGCGCCGGCCTCAATTCACAATTTAAACAATTACACAAGTGCTTTTTCTCAAGACAACCATTATATCCTAAAATGCAACAGAAGGGCCTTGTGTGTACTTCCTATTTCATCACACAAAGCATTCAAAAGACTCAAGGGTCAGTATTTAACACAAATGATCATTTTTGCTACTTGATCAAGCAAAGCCTTCAGTGAGGTTGGCCTGTCCTTTGCTGAGAATGCATAAATCCTGGTAATTCTATTACTACCACGTACAGTGTGCTGTCCCTGCCTTGAGTCTTGCTAGAGTGGAGTTTTTCTGCCACTGCTTGTGCACCGTTGATACTAATGCCAGAACAGGGAAGAAGGTAAAGAACGTGTTGGGAAAATTGCTTTGATCTTGTGGCCCTCCTGGAGATGTCTCGGTAGCAGAAAGCAATCTGCGGCGGCTCATACTTTGAGATCTGCGGCTTTAGTTGTTATTTTGATCTTTGTCATAGGGTCATTTGGAAATAGGTTAACTAAAGCAAACAACATCAGACTGATGAGAGCAATGATTACCTGTTATGCCTGGTTTTGGCCCTAACTTAATGTCCCAGTCCATGCGGTGCCCAGTGAAATGTAACATGTTATTTATCTCACAGTATCCGCAGGAGAAAGTCAACGGGACAAAGGTGCCCGTGGAACTGCGCGTGAACATCTGGCTGGGCTTGAGTGCTGTTGAGAAGAAGTTCAATAGTTTTGCAGAAGGAACTTTCACTGTGTTTGCTGAAATGGTACATTGAATGATATTGCTATTTTTTTCTTTGGTGTTTCGGGGTGCTTTCAGTTTTCATCTTTAGGTAAAACATTTGGGTACCCAAAACAGCCACAGCATCATTATCACCCCTAAAATCCCATCCAAGGGACCTCAACCTAAGGGGATAGAGAAAGTCTTCCTGGGACTTCAGCATCAGTATTGAAACATACCAGGGTGATTAACATCTTTGGGGGCTGCTTCCAAGAGATGACCTCCCCTAGCTGAACTGAAAATGAGTGCCCTTCTAGCTGAAGCTCTAGAACTTAAGAATGGTTAGTCACACTGATGCATGATGATGGGACACAGAGCACAGTCCACACACACACACACACACACACACTCACAAATACACATACTGTTTTTTATTTTTACCAAGAAGGGGGACACTTGAGAAGTCAGATCTTGAAAATCTTGTTTGCATTAAGGGAGTCTTTAAACTATAGAATGCCCATTCCTCACTTTGTGGAAGTTTCCACGGGTTTGCCCAAAGACCAAGAAAATGCTGCCTGCATACTTGAATAACAATACAGAAAATTTATAAAACCTTCATTAAATTTAAAATCCACTTAGGTAATAAAAAGGCCCTATTATAATGAACCATTTTTATAAACTTTTAAAGCTAAAAATAAGTATTTTAACTTTTATACATTATTTTTAACTCAAGGTATTTATTGATTTAAACTTCCTAGATGTAGTTGATGAGTGTCTTCTGACAATTTTCAAATGAATTCCATTCTACAGATGGGTCTGCATACTCCAATAACTAAGGAGAAGACTGTCTCCGTCTAGCTAATCCAACATGTGTTCCACTACCCACTACCATACCTGACTACCTGTTCAGGATTTGGGTTCTGTTCTTCCTGGGCAAGAAAACCCATGGCCATTTTTATTTTTACATTTTATTTATTCAGCAGTGCCTGGCATCTAATAGTTCCCTATAAAATGATGATTGAGTACATGAATACATAAATTAGTTATGATGCATTTATCCATCCTTCTATCTCTCCTCCATCTATCTGTCCACTAAAACTTTAGGGAGAGGTAGCTTTATGCCAAGCACTGAGCCTGATGGTGGAGGTGATAAAGAAGCCCAGTTTGTTCTCAGAGTCTGGTGTTGAACATGCAGACTCCCAGGGCCACCCTGGAGATTCTGATTCTGTGCCTGAGTGAGGAACTGGCACCAGAGGGTGATTCCAACAAGGGCATCAGTGGGCCACTTTAAGAAGCAGCAGGACACATGGGAGACACACAGGTCCCTACAGCTCAGAGCTGGAAGTGCTGTTGAAGACAAATGGAGGGTGTTCTGGAGGCCACTGGCAAGGTTGATGTTGATATCCAATTGGCCGGGCAGGGTGCAGACTGAGGGCATACATCAGAGAGGCTGGCTCCTGCCTTCCTATAGGATTTCTTGGCATCCACCTGCGTTGAGCTCTGTGGCTGGGGCTGAGCCTAGAGAAGCTATCCCAGAGTAACAATCAGCCCAGGGCTCCCTTTGATTCCTTTCCAAGCCTAGATCCTTCCCCGTGTAAAGCAGAAGTTGAACTTCAACTCCTGCAGAGAGATTATCTACCCATTTTGGTTGTTTTGTGTGACTCCAGTTTGTCCAGGTTCTAATTCCCAGTGAATACGAATAAGAGCACATAAATAATAATAATGGAAATTTCACTGGTTTGTGCCTTCAAGTGCTAATACAAGAACTAACTTCTCTGTAAATTCGCCGCCCTGACCTGTCAAATTTTGAGTCTTTGAAGTGCTTTATGTGCACTTGTGTGCTTACTCATGAATACCTTTTTCTTGCTGTACTGCCACACAGCTGTTGGCTAAAGGTCATACATAACTCTCAAAGCTACCTAAGCTTCCCATATCCACTCTTACTGATGCATCTTGTCCTTGCCAAGGTCCCTGCCTAAATCTTGCCAGAGCCATGTTGTCTTCAGAGCAGAAATGCCAGGAATCCCTTGCTCCTTCATTCTGGATCCTTGTCCCAAATCTCACAGCCCCTTGTGATAACAGCTCCTTTGGCTTCTACCTGAAGCTCATCCCATCTCCAGGCTCAGAGCCTAGTCTGAGACAAGCACTGCCGTACCCTTGATCCCAGTTCCCACAGCAGGCCCCTAGTCAAATCTCCTCCTTCCTCCTTCAGCCAAAATCTTCCCCATGACTTACATAAATCACCTTCTCAGTGGCTTCCTTTACACACAAATGGAAATTCTAGTTTGGATCCAAACAGAGACACCCACTACACTGGCAAATCTCAACCCTGTCTGTGACTGAGATGGTCAAGAGATTCGTAGATTTATCAACTCTAACTTAGGAAGAGATGCCTGTAAACCAGAGCCTGCCATTGCTACTAAGCCTGCTCCCCAGAAAGGCCTTGGTCTCCCTGATAACTCCAGAGGGAATCAATGCTTGGAAGTTTTAGGCGCCATAAGGGTTGGGTGCTACAAGACCTTCATGTTTCAGAGGAGATTTTTGTAGACTGCCTGGAAAAGGCACCCACTAATTTTCTGTGAGGAAATGTGCCCCATTTTCTAAGAAGTAGACTGAAAATACACTTTATGAAGCCTGCACAATCATAGGGATTTAGAAGATAAAGTTCAGAGAGTTACTTGGAGCTGCTCAAAGTAACGATGGGGAAAGAATGCATGATTTCTCACTGTTTACAAAACGCTTTCACAGTCATTTTCACATTTGAACTTCAGAACAACTCTATAAGAGCGGTAATGTTATCCCTACTGACAATGAGAATACTCACTCTTAGAAGGATAAAGGACTTCTCCAAATTTGCATAATTAGGAACATAACAACTCAAGTCCTCATCTTCTGACCCTAAAATTGTTTGTTTGTTTGTTTGTTTGCTTTCTGTGGTTGTCTAGCCTTAGTCTCAGACTTGAAAGTTTGCGGTCTGGCTTTATTTCTTGCTCTCTGATGGGTTTCTCCAATTACATTTATTTTTTAACAGTATGAAAATCAAGCTCTGATGTTTGGAAAATGGGGCACTTCTGGATTAGTGGGACGTCATAAATTTTCTGATGTCACAGGAAAAATAAAGCTCAAGAGAGAATTCTTTTTGCCTCCCAAAGGCTGGGAATGGGAAGGAGAATGGACAGTTGATCCTGAAAGAAGGTAAGTTTTCTATGTATGGGAAAAACAGAATTGGAGTGCAGCCTTTTCCTAGAAATCACTAAATGGGATGTCTCTAGCATCATCTGTTGTAATATTCACATGACATTCACTGCTCAGGAGTAAGTCCATAGAAATTCACAGAAAGTTTAAAGTCATGAGTGCCACACAGTAAGACAATTTTAAAAAGCACCCGGAAGCTAACTTTTACTGAGAACTTACACATGAATGTGCTAAACACCAGTATTATCTTGCTCAATCTTACCTACAAGCAGGTAGTACAAGAATTTTGAAGGTTCAGAGATTTTACCCTATTCGCAAGCTATTGAGAATGCCTGCCTTAGTTTCATGCCTGCTGGTGGGAGACACGTGACTCCTGGATCAGAGAAAAAGGGTGTTACTGTCTACTATAATAACAAATCAGTCAATAACACTTGCTGTAGTTTTCTATGTCCCATTTCCCCCAGGGTGGCACAGAGAGGGGCTAGATAACACTTGCACATGCGGCAGATTACCATACACAAGACAAACCCTGAGCTCAGGAAATCCAAATCTTTTTTAATGGGCAGTAAGCATGCTCACCCTTTTTTCTGGAGAGAGATACTGTCTCTGCTTTTCAAGGCTATTCCCTACAAAAATATCCCTGGAAAGATAGTCTATAAAAATTGTGGTAAGTGCTTTAGCAAGATGTGCAAAAATGCAAAAGATTCACAGAGAATGTTGTCCCAACATCTGTACTTTGCACATGAGGGAAATCAGGCCTAGAGAGGTTGTTACTCGTCCAAAACCACATATCTTACCAGTGCTTAGCTGGGTCTATAACCCAAACCAGCATTCCACTGTTAGGCTGAAACATCCACAGGACACAGTAGAAGGTACCTTTAAATGAGAGAATTGTAGGATATATGAATTGCATCTGAAAAGCTATCGATAAAAAGAAAAATAATGGTTTTGAAAAGAAACAGTAGACGGGGATAAGCATGTTTCCCCTGGAATCTGTGGAGAACGAGAGCCTGGTTTCTAAGTGTTGCCAGAAGTGTTAGAACTAGAGCTCTCTTTTCTCACCATCTCACAACAACACACTCAAATCTGGAGAGAGCAAACTTATAGAGTTGGATTGTCAGGCCTCCAGTTGGAGTTTGGACTCTGCCATTTGCTTCTTTTTTTTTTTTTTTTTTTTTTGACAGGCAGAATGGACAGTGAGAAAGACAGAGAGAAAGGTTCTCCTTTGCCGTTGGTTCACCCTCCAATGGCCGGCGCGCTGCGGCTGGCGTACCGCACTGATCCGATGATGGCAGGAGCCAGGTGCTTCTCCTGGTCTCCCATGGGGTGCAGGGCCCAAGCACTTGGGCCATCCTCCACTGCACTCCCTGGCCACAGCAGAGAGCTGGCCTGGAAGAGGGGCAACCGGGACAGAATCCGGCGCCCCGACTAGGACTAGAACCCGGTGTGCCGGCGCCGCTAGGTGGAGGATTAGCCTAGTGAGCCACGGCGGCTGGACTCTGCCATTTGCTTCTGTGATTGGGCAGGCACGAGGAGGGAGGAAAGCGAGTATGCTGCTCTGTTCAAACTCCATGCTCGCACACGATGGTTTTAATCCAGCTCAGCTTGGTTTCGGTGGAGTCGGGCCAGGGCTGGGGATTGGTGGGGAGGAGGAGAGTGGGCTTTGAATTGGACAGAAGGCAGGAAGGTTAGTGAGGGCAGGAAAAGGGTGGGAAGAACTGTGATCAGAAGGCCGATGGCCAAGCATGTCAGGGCTAGAGAGAGAGCAGCCAGGGCTTTTAGTCTCCCTTAGGGTTCTGAGAAGAGATGGTTGAGGATAGTTTATGCCTGTGATTGGGACTTTTTTTTTTTTTTTTAATTCCCTTCTAGTGCTTAATTCTAGGAGAGGCTAGGGCAGGAAAAAGATGCAGAGCTGATAAAGTGGAAAAGCCCTCATTTGCATGAATGCCTGGCAGAAGTCTAGAGTCAAAGTTGGAGCCTCCACACTTGCCTCTGGGCATTGTCCAAACAGTTCCAAAGCCAAGAGGAAAACTGGCGCAGCAGGGTCAGAATGGGTTTCTCCAGTGCCCAGATGGAGCTGGGAGACTGACGTGACCTGGCTTGGCTGTCTACCGAAGAACCAGCCAGAAAATGTGAACTCCTCCCTTCAGTTGGTGTGACGTCGACCAAGCAAGCATGGCTGACATTTCACACAGGAGGCTGTCTCTGCCCTGTGTGGTAGAAAGGGGGCAGGTGGGGAGAACAACTCCTTGTTCTTTTGAAACATTAGTCAAGAGTTCCCCTGAGGACGAGCTGAACAGCCTTCAGGTGAAACGGGAATGTGGAAGGCACTGTCTGAAGCTGCGCACAACATTGTTCTCCCAGTGCCCACCCTAGCTACAAAGAGCAACCTTGCCAATTTGCGTTCTCTCTAATTTAGGTCTCATTGTTCCAGCAGGCCCTTTCTTCAAAGGCATGGCAAAATTCCTAAGTACAAAGAGAAGCTGGGAGTGGAGAACCCGAAGGGTGAAGCTGGGGGAGGGAACTGGTACCATTCCCAGGGTGTAGATGCTCCCCAACTGCTGGAAATAAGTGGGGTCGCGCTTTCCCTTTCTCCGGGGGTAATGTGAGCCTCGCCCCCCACAGCTTGCTGACTGAGGCAGACGCTGGTCACACGGAGTTCACAGATGAAGTCTATCAGAATGAGAGTCGCTACCCGGGGGGCGAGTGGAAGCCAGCCGAGGACACCTACACCGATGTGGTGAGTGCCTGCTCCTGAGAGACCCTGGTGTCGTCTCTCTGAATCCTGGTCAGCTGGGGGTCCACCAAGCACCACGCTTGGCGTCTCAACAGCTGTTTACTCACTCTTGAGGTGGATGGGGGAACTCTCACTCACTGCTCCACTCCCTAAATGCCTGCAATGGCTAAGGCTGGGCCAGGAGCTGGGAACTCAATCCAGGTCTCCCACATGTGTGGCAGGAACCCCACTACCTGAGGCATCACCACAGCTTCCCAGGGCCTGCACTGGCAGGAACCTGGAGCTGCAAATCAGATCCAGGTATTCGGTACTCAGATATGAGATGTACATGATTTAACACTAGGCCGAATGTGAGCACCTTCAGAAACCTACTTATAACTTAAGTCACAAAAATGCCAAGAAAATTATTTTCTACAGAGAAGAGTCTATTTAATGACATGTTGGCATATGGTAAAGCTTGAGTAAATATTAAAATAAGTATTATTTAGAGTAAATATTATCTTTTAAAATCATAACAAATGAAATAAATGCTTATAACTTAAAAGACTCAAACAGCAAAAAAGGAATAAAAAGTTATTCTCCCTGATCCATATTTCACCATTTGATGATATCCTTCTGCTCATGTACAAGAATATAACATTTTTCCCCACCTAAATGGAATTGTGTTATATACAGAGTTCTGCAGCTTTCATTTTCACATAATAATATATCTTTGGCATTTTTTAAAAAAGATTTATTTATTTGAAAGGCAGAGTGACAGAGAGGGAGAGATTGAGAGAGAAAGAGGTCTTCCATCTGCTGGTTTACTCCCGAAATAGCTACAACAGCCTGGGCTGGGCCAAGCCAAAACCTTGAGCCCAGAATGCCATTGGGTCTACCACATGGGTAGCAGGGGCCCAAGTACTTTGGCCGTTTTCCACCACCTTCCCAGGTGCATTAGCAGGGAGCTGGGTCAGAAGTAGAGCAGGGGGCTGGCACTATGGTGCAGTGGGTTAACACCCTGGCCTGAAGCATCAGCATCCCACGTGGGTGCTGGTTTGGGTCCCAGCTGCTCTGCTTCTGATTCAGCTCTCTGCTGTGGCCTGGGAAGGCAGTGGAAGATGACCCAAGTCCTTGGGCCCCTGCACCTGTGTGGGAGACACGAAGGAAGATCCTGGCTTCGGATCGGCACAGCTCTGGCTATTGTGGCCAGCTGGGGAGTGAACCATCGGATGGAAGACCTCTTTCTCTCTCTGCTTCTCCTCTCTCTCTGTAACTCTGACTTTCAAATAAATAAATAAATCTTTTAAAAAAAGAAGAAGAAGAAGTGGAGCAGCCAGGACTCAAATCATGGCTCATATGGGATATGGATGTCACAGGTGGCAGCTTAACCCACTGCACCACAATGCTGGTACCTCTCAGGCATAGGTATATCAATAGATACAGATCAAGGAGCTTTTAAAAAAAAATGCCTGCAGAGTGTTTTACTAAATGTACCTCCTATAATTTATAATTTTGGGTGTTATTTACTCTTTTTTTATGGCTTTTTTATTTGAAAGAGCTAGAGAGACAAAGAGAGATACAGAGAGAGATCTTCCATCCACTGATTCACTCCCCAAATGGCCACATGGGCTGGGGCTGGGCCAGGCCAAAGCTAGGAACTAGGAACTTCTTCTGGGTCTCCCACATTGGAGCAGGGACTCAAGCACTTGGGCCATCTTCTGCTACTTTTCCCAGACTACTAACAGGGAGCTGGATCAGAAGTGGAGCATCTGGCTCTAACTGGTGTCCATATGGGATGCTGGCATTGCAGGTGGTGGCTTAACCTGCTACGCCACGCCAGCCCCTAGTCTGATTTTCATAAACAATATGACAGTGAGTATCCTTGAAGGCATGTCAGTATTCGCTAAAGAAAATTTGTGTAGAGGTCCTGGCTTTGCTTGGTCTACATATAATTTTGATCAGTGTTACCAAGTTACTTTTCAAAGAAGTAGTATAAATTTCTGTTTCCTGCAGCAGTAATGAGAGGGCTGTTGGCTTAAACACTCACTAACAGGCTTTATCATCTTTGCCAAAATAGGAGTAAGTGGTATCCTTTTATTTTAATTTCCACTCTTCATTTAAAGTGTAGCTGTCTATATTTCTGAATGTTCGTGGGGGCTACCTTTATTTCCTTTGTTTTTGAGCTCCCATTTGGTAACTCTCTATTGGTTTTTGTGCAAACACATCAATGTTTGACATGAACTTCGCTCAGTCTTACACGACTAGCATTATGAACCTCTAGGACATATGTGACAACGTGTATCTTTCATGTTTTATCCATTCTCTGGTGGGCTTTTTCCTATATAACTTCTCATTATGATAGTTAGATTGTTTCATGATATTAATTTGAACTATTTGAAATTGCTGATGTTCAATCGTTTCAACCTAACAAAATAGCAATTTCACATGGTTCGACCTACTGCTAGTCCATAAAAGCAAAAACAAAAGGTAGTTTAAAAGAGAATTTTTGAGTAGCACTTGTGCTTAAAGATTAGAGGTTGTTCTGAGTGGCATTGCTCTCTGAGATGGTATGTCAGCAAGCATACGGGAACCTATGCAAATGTGAGGAGCCATATCTAGCCTCTGCACCCGAAACTATGACTAACTTCCTCTTTTCCCCCTTCCAACAGAACGGTGATAAAGCAGCATCTCCCAGCGAGCTGTCTTGTCCTCCAGGTTGGGAGTGGGAAGACGATGCATGGGTGTATGACATAAACCGAGCAGTGGACGAGAAAGGTAACACTTTACATCTGCAGCAGAGTTGGGTTAAGAGTGAAGCTTCCTTGGGAGGGCAAAGCCCTGCCTTTGTGGGTACAAGTCAAACAGATCAGCTGGAGCTGTTACTATTTAGATAGAACGTTCAAGGGACAAGTAAGTGCTTGGACAGGTGCCAGGTGGGAGTGTCACGGGCGAAAAATAGAGACAAGCATTGTTGAGCTGCTGCTTGGGATGCCAGTATCCCATACTGCAATGTCTGGGATCAAGTCCCACCTTTGCTCCTGCTTCAGCTTCCTGCTAATTCGCTCATGAGAGGCAGCAGTTGATGACCCAAGTACTTGAGTTCCTGCCCCCCACATGGGAGACCTATATGCAGTTCCTAGCTCTTGGCATTGGCTTGGTGCAGCCATCTAGGGAGCGAACCAGTGGATGGAAGATCCATCTGTCTCTTTCTCTCTCTCCCTCCCACCCCCCTTCATCACTGCCTTTCAAATAAATTTTTTTTTCAAAAAAAAAAAAAAAAAAAGTTGGGGCCAGCACTGTGGCACAGTGGGTTAAGCCACTGTCTACAGTGCTGACACCCCATATGGGCAACAGTTGGAATCCTGGCTGCTCCACTTATGATCCGGCTCCCTGCTAATGCACCTGGGAAAGCAGCAGAGGATGGCTCAAGTCCCTGGGCCCAGGCTCCTAAAAGGGAGACCTGGATGAAGCTCTTGGCTCCTGTCTTTGGCCTGACCCAGCCCTGGACAATGCAGCCATTTGGGGAATGAACTGGCAGATGGAAGATCTTTCTCTCTCTCTCCCTCTAATTCTGACTTTCAAATAAAACTTCTATTTTAAAGATTTATTTATTTTACTTGAAAGTCAGAGTTACACAGAGAGAAGAGAGGCAGAGAGAGCGAGCGAGCAAGAGAGAGGTCTTCCATCTGATGGCTCAGTCCCCAATTGGCTGCAATGGCCGGAGCTGTGCCGATCCAAAGCCAGGAGCCAGGAGCTTCCTCCGGGTCTCCCACATGGGTTCAGGGGCCCAAGGACTTGGGCCATCTTCTACTGCTTTCCCAGGCCACAACAGAGAGCTGGAAAGGAAGTAGAGCAGCCAGGACTAGAACCAACGCCCATATGGGATGCCGGAGCTTCAAGCTAGGGTGTTAACCCGCTGCACCACAGCGCTGGCCCCTCAAATAAAACTTTTTTTTAAGTGAAAAATATCAAGTGATATGGGACAAAGTGGCTGGGTTTTGAGATCCAGGCTGAGCCTTTAGGAGGAAGCTGGAGTTTGGATCTTCTCTAGTCTAAGCATACCTCATAATCTCCCTGGGAATGTCACATTTGGACCTTCTCTAGCTCAGAAAGGAGAACTATAAAATGCCTTAAAGATACCTTGTTCAGCAATAATGCATATTACTGACAAAGCTTCTGTTGATGGTGTTAGTTTCTATGAACAGTAATCCAAAGTTGAATTATCAGAAGAGAAAATTGAATTTTTTTTCTTTTAAGAGGGAAATGTACATAGAAAGAAATGGCACTGATTCAGACCATTTCAAGTAGATGAGTTCCTTACAAATCTTGATTCAATCACCCGACCTTATAATAGCCGTCAGCATTCATCAAGTACTTACTGTAGGTTAAGCATTGGCCCTGAGGGCTCTGCATACATTGTTTGTCTTAAAATAGCCCTACGAAAAGGTATGTTTTACCTTTATAATGAAGAAAACGGGCCAGAGATGGGCCCTGCAACCTGCATTTCAGCAAGCCCTGCAGCTGATTCTGAGGCAGACCTGATGGTGAGCACTGCTGTGGAGGCATTGAAGGAAACCACAGTTATTTGGGGTATAAAATACCATAGTGGCACTGCTACTAACTAACTTGAAGGAAACTTACTTAGTAAACAGTGAGGCGGGGTGGTGCTGGGTTTGAAGGGAGGCTGTGGGACTACATGGGCCACACCTTACCCACTGTCCCCTTCTGCCTCTGGAACTAGGCTTTCTCTTAGATGACTCTGTTACCATGAGTGAGTGGCGGCAGGAGAGCAGAGGAGACGCCTTGCCCACAAAGGAAGCTTTCTGCGGGGCGAGCCAAGGAGCGAGGCTGCGCTCAGTTTGGCTGAATCATGAAAGCCGCATACAGATTGGGCATCCTTTACCCAAAATGCTTGGGGCCAGAAGTGTTTGAGTTTCTGGATATTTTGGAATATTTGTAATAAACATGATGAAATATCTTGGGGACAGGAGCTACATCTAAACATTTACATTGGCTTATGTTTCACATATATCATACACATGGCCTGGAGATAATTTTCTACAGTATTTTTAGTGCACCTGTGTTTGGACTGTGACCATTGCATGATGTCAGGTGTGGGATTTTCTACTTGTGGTGTTATGGCACTCGGAAAGTTTTTGGATTTTGGAGCTCTTTGGACTAGGGATGCTTATGTCGGTCATTAGACTAGACAACGTTTTGAAGGAAAGAAAATAAGAACATTTCCTGGAGTTTATTTGTGAATTGACAAATGCATTTCTCTCTCAAGGTTGGGAGTATGGAATTACTATTCCTCCTGATAATAAACCCAAGTCCTGGGTTGCAGCGGAGAAAATGTATCACACTCACAGACGGCGAAGGCTGGTCCGAAAACGCAAGAGAGATTTAACACAGACCGCTTCCAGTACCGCACGGGTAAGAGGGGCCGCAGAAGGGAACTGGCCTCGGGCCTCTGCTTTCTAGACCACAGGGAGTTCCAGTTAACTTGGTTGTTGGAACCATTTGTAAATCAAGGGCCCAATACTCTGCTCAGGGTGCATGAAGTGTACCCACCCCACCAATGGTGTCACCACCCCCAGGACTGGGCAGACATGCCTACCCCAAGTCTACCGATTTGGAAACTCTAGAGATGGGCCCTGCAACCTCCATTTCAGCAAGTCCTGCTGGTGATTCTGAGGCAGGCATAATGTTGAGAACTAATATGAAGGCATTAAAAGAAACCACAACTATTTTGGGTACAAAATATCCTAGAGGCAATACTACTATAGGGCTTGTAACAATATATGTAAGGATTAGATCCCAACTTCACTGTCTCATCTGCAAAATGGTAATATCCCATCTAATTAGGATATTATAAAGCTTTAAAGGGAATGATCATAAAATCAGTGGAAAAATACATTCTTCACGATAGTAAGTGGCATGTTTTATGTGCCTCCTGTAGTTTTAGGTTCTGAATACGCATCACCTACAGTCTTGTAAGGTCTGGATTTTATCCCCATATTACAGATAATGCTCACAAGAGATTAATAGATTCCTTTACTTCATGCACCTAGTAAGCGACAGAGCTGCGGTTTGAGTGCAGGTTAGGCTAGTTCTAAACAGGAACTCTTTCTATTGCCCCAAATGCCTGATTCCAGAGCTGTTATGAAGTTATTTCCTATGAGAAGCAAACATCCTGGGAGTGGAAATGGAGCCATCATTATCTTTGTGCCTCCTTGCTAGCTCAGGAACATGCTCTCAACAAATAATGTAGTAGAGTGGATGAGCTGATGAATGGATGAATCTTGGTTATGGAAGACACTTGGCTCCTTCCTTCCCAGTGAGAACACCAGGGTGAGGTGGGACAAAACACTGGACCGCCACTCAGAAAACCTGGGACTGGCCCACTTCTACTGATGAGATTTCTGGGAGTTGTATCATGTTCCCTAAGCTACCTCCCTTGGCTACAGAACTATCTCATTGCCACTATTAATGGTCCTATAGAGTCAGTTACAAGATTGTGCTTAATCTGGATTTTATCTTTATTCAAAAAAATTTTTTTTTAATTTTTTAAAAATCAGACTCTACAATAATAACTCACATGAATCTAAGATTATAATATTATTTGGTGTTATTTTTATTAAATTCAGCCATACTTTCAAGGTATTTATATAAAATTTCTACTACTAAAATGCCAACCACATGAAGGCAAACACTGCCTGTTTTTTATTGCTTTTCCTTAGCTGCTAACACTCTGTGTTATGTAGTAGGCATTCATATTTGTCAAAAGGGTAGAACAAACCACTGAAAACTGAGATAGTTATTTTTAAGCTGAAAAGTACTATACTCACTAGTTATTAAGTATAGAAATAATATACTCTGGTCTCTCATTTAATTATTAGTTGTTCAGTTACTGTGTTAAACAAGACATTAAAACCAGGGGAAGAAGACAGTCATTTTCCTCGATCATATCTAAAGGGAAGATACTGCTGTTTTCCAAACTGTATCACAACAGCGCGTTCTTAGGAACTAATAAAGTAAGAAAACTGCAGTCTGAGAAACAGTCCCCTTACTTCACCCCACTACCAAGTCTGAATAAAGTGTGCAGCCCGAAGATATGTCCACCGTATGCCATCATCGTGTGGCACTGCAATTGCCTAATGATCTCTCTCTCTTCCCACAACCCATCAACTCTGCAAGGGTCATTCTTTGCTCTGTGTCTTTCTTTGCTCTCAGAACAGTGCTTGGCAAAGAGTTGATTTTCGATGCTATTTGTTGATTGACCAAACAACCTGCATTATCAGTAGAGTCTAAGGAATATCATTGTTATTATCATTAAGCATTTTACTTCTTTTTTAGGCCATGGAAGAATATGAAGACCGGGAGGGCTGGGAATATGCTTCTTTAATTGGCTGGAAATTCCACTGGAAACAACGGAGCTCGGATACCTTCCGCCGCAGACGCTGGAGGAGAAAAATGGCTCCCTCAGAAACACATGGGGCAGCTGCTATCTTCAAACTTGAAGGCGCCCTTGTAAGTAACAAGTAGATGAAGCACACATAATATTGACATAGAGGAAATACGAGTGTTTCATACAACACCGCCAGCTCCATAGAGGGTTCTGTTAAGTGTGCAAAGAGGCAGAGGGAGAGCTCTGCACCCTAGGTGCTCAGTAATTCTTGCAAAATGAATAGATCATAAACATGACAGGTTCTGAGAAAAGCTGTTGCAGGCACACCTGTCTCCCCCAGCACTTTCTAAATATGTCTGTTCCAGAACCCTGTTTCAGGTAATCCCAGGCACAGGTTCCTTGGATCGCATCTTGGAAACTGCGGCTTTTTCAGTAAACCGAGAAGGTTAAATGTGCAGGTGTGAGGGGGAGGAAGCAGAAGGGTGGCTGACAAAATTAGAGGAGGATTCAGACGGAAGCCCGATAAAGAAGGCAGGGAGGGGCAAGCAGGCAGGTGGAGGGAACGACGGAAAAAATGGACGTGAGTGATGGAAACAGGATGGCAGTCAGGGTCCGTTTTGAAACACAGTCTGTTCTGTATTCCGTACCGGCTCCCCTGCCCCCTCCTGCAGCTCCTTCTCTTCCTCCTACCTCCCTCCTAACCCCCTTCATTGTCTTCTGCATGGTTCCTGTTTCTTAAGACCGGCACTTGAGGAAGAAGGACTGGCTTTGTCCTGTTCCTGTGCTTCCCAGCTGAGTGACTCTGGGGAAGTCATTTGCGGTCAGGAGCCTTGTTCCTCCTGAGACATCAGGTGGTTGGATGACCATCTCCTCGCTTTCCAGCTGCTTGAGACGTTCGCCTCTTGGTCAGATGACTGGGTGCTCGGCAGTGTTCTCTGATTTTTTTCTGCCTCTCTCCCTGTAGGGTGCAGACACCAGTGAGGATGGAGACGAAAAGAGCACAGAAAAGCAGAAGCACAGCGCCACCGCTGTGTTCGGAGCAAACACTCCCATTGTCTCTTGCAACTTTGACCGTGAGTTTCCAACACATCTTTGTGAATTCCGCTCCCGTAACTTTTGTCTCAAGTCACCAACTATGATGAAAATCTTGAGAACATGACTTTCATTTTCATCACTTGATAAAGAGAACTTTTTTTAAAAAAATAGTTTTAAAACTATCAGATTTGGGATTAAAGGTGTCAAAATGACTGATTTTAATGTAGTCTGTCTAATAGGCACTCATTGTATTATTTTAATTAGGAAAAATGCCTCAAAATTTAAGTAGAGGTTTGTCTCAATGGTAACCTTCAAGAATTTTGGAATGGGGCAAACCTATAATAGTAGTAAATACTTCCACAGGTCTTAGCGTGTGCCAGGCACTGTAATATAGTAACTCATTTAATCCTCTTAACATTCCTGTAAGATAATGCTGTTATTGTCTGCTTTTCCCAATATGGGAGAACCAAGGTACAGGAAAATTAATAACTGGCCCGGGGCCTTACAGTTTGTAAGCACTGGAGACAAGCATTGAACTCAACTAGTTTAATCAATGCACTGATTCACATGGCTCTGCTATCTGTCAAATTGTGTGTGTGTGTTGGGGGTGGGTAGTGTATATGTGGGTCAGTATAATAACAGTTGCAGATTTTAAACAACAACAACAACAGAATTCTAGCAGAAAGCTGTTTACCAGCAAAGGTGCTGAAGCACTGTAGACAGCCCTGCTTCTCTACGTGTGAAAGGGACCCAGATTTACTTTAAATGTCTAAGATGATAGGCAGTACCCGGAATCCACAGTTTACAACAGCTGTAATTTTCTCCTGGTAACCATGGCCAACTGCAGGCCTCAACATGCACAGGGCCTTGGTGTGAGGACACCAGTCTGAGGATGCCCTGATGAATAGTATTTGTGTGTAGCCTGTCCACATCTCCCATACGGCTTTGCCATGTCTAGATTATTTACAATGCCTACTAAAACATAAATGCTTGGTATAGCTTAACAGGGAATAGTGACGAAGGGAAAAAGGTATACAGATGTAACCACTGTATATATAACTATGTAATACATGTCAGCAACAATGCCACATGTTTCCCCTGAATGTTTTTGGTCCCAGGTGGATTGAATCCAAGGGCTATCTGTATTTTGTTTTTTTAGCATAGGCTTCCATAATATTTTTTAAATACAATAGTCCCCCCTTATCCACAGAGGATACTCTCCAAGACCCCCAGTGGATGCATGAAACCATGGATAGTACTGAATCTGGTGTATACTGTGTTTTTCCTATATGTATATACCTATGATAGTTTATTTCATAAATTTGGTATAATAAGGGATTGATAACAGTAACTAATAAAGATAGGACAATTATAGCAATATACTGGAACAAAATGCATGCATCACTATCCTTCTGCTTTGGGACATTATTAAATAAAAACTAGGGCTGGCGTTGTGGCATAGTGGGTCAAGCTGCTGCCTGCAATGCCTGCATCCCCTTTGGGCACCATTTCAAGTCCCAGCTACTCCACTTCCAGTCCAGCTGCCTGATAATAGCCTAGGAAAAGCAGCTGAAGATGGCGAAAGTACTTGGGCTCCTGCCACCCATGTGGGAAACCCAGATGAAGTTCCTGGTTCCTGGCTTCAGCTTGGCTCAGCCCTGGCCTTTGTGGCCACTTGGGGGAGTGGCAGTGATTGGAAGACTCTCTCTCACCCTGACTTTCAAATAAATAAATCTTTTTAAAAAGGATGCAAAAAATAAAAATAAATAAAAAAACCACAAGCCCTGTGGTAACTACAACAGTGGATCTAATAGTCAAGACAGTTACTAACAGCTGGGCAGGAAGTAAGTGCCACATGGAAATGCTGGACACGGGGTGATTCATCCAGGGTGGATGTCCCACCATCCAGGGTGGGAGAGGGCAGGAAGGAGGTAGATTTTATCATGCTACTCGGAATGGTGCAGAATTTTAAACTTAGAAATTGCTTACTTCTGGAAGTTTCCATGGAATATTTTTGTGCTGCAGTTGACCATGGTTAACTGAAACTGCACAGAGTAAAACTGTGGATGAGGAGAGAGCGCTGTAAGTGTAATCCTACAGGAATGAGGACGGCCTTGGGAAAAATCATCATCACTATTCTGTGTGCTCTCTGCCGTGGAGAACCAGACTCCAGTGACGCTTATCTGAGCATGTGTAGTCTCCAAATAGTCCAGAAAAGTCACAGCTTACAACGTTACGTTTCTTGTAATTAATCTCCATCCTGTTCTTTTTAGGAGTCTACATCTACCATCTGCGCTGCTATATCTATCAAGCCAGAAACCTCATAGCTTTAGATAAGGACAGCTTTTCAGGTAAAGGAAAAAAATCCCCCGTGATGTGTTAGTACCTAGAAGGCGTTAGCTTGCGGATTCCTCATTTCAGCAAGTGGATTTTTTGGGTCATTCCCAACAACAAAAGCCCTTTTCATTATGAGATTAATTTGATTTGCATGGAATAAACTCCTCAGTCATTAGATCAATAAAGAGTGAGTCAGGCACTGCTGCTGGGTGCCAGGGATACACAGAAGATCTGTGATCTTTAATTCCAATAATCATTAATTGATTAGTTAATAAAAAGGATCAGGAAGGGCAATTTACACACAAAGCCGTCTTTATTCCTGAGCCCTTGGGTTGATTGGTAAAGTAAGATCCTTTAAATGGTTGTAGCTCTTTCAAGGTTAAAGGAAAAACAAAAAAAGATGACGAGTTCACCCAGTTTCCTCCAGCACCAGGTTTGGAGCAGTTCGGAGTCCATGTTTACCTCCTTTGCTGCTTGTTCTCCAAATTCCCATCACCATTAAACCACAAGGCCTTATCACCCTTAGAGATCACTTTTGGACTGGTTCCAACAGGCAGGTTATTGGCAGGAGAAGGGTTTGCATGGGGGAGGTGGGACTTCCTGCCTGGAGACTTATGCTCTTGCCTGTGGAACCATGAGTAGCTAGTTCTAGAGCCATCCTGGGATGGGGAGGTGGGGAGGGAGGTGGGGGGAACAAGACATTCCATTTCAGGATGAGATACCCAGCAAAGCTTCCTTGGGCCTTCTGTGGAAACAGCTCTTAAGGCCTGACACTCTGGTGCACTCAAATCAATTCTGAAACGTGTCCCAAGCACTAATATTAGCCAACATGGATGAATGGTTTCCTTTACTCACAGACCAGATTTAAGTTACCCCCTAATACACAGATCCAAAATGTTTTCTGAAGTCATTTTCAAATATTCTCCACCAGGGGGCACTCCATCACTGAAAGTCAAAGAATTCTTTGACATGGTTTCGCAACACTACATTTCTTGCAGTTTGAGATGCAATACTTTATCGTCAGGGCAAAAGCAAAGAGTTCCATGTATATGATGATTTCTTGAACTGCTAAAAGCCTAACACCCTTCTAGAATTTCAGATTAGACATTAGGTCATTGCTCAGAGAGGTCAGAACCTAGAACCAACTATAAAAAAGTTTGGTGAAATTGTTTAGCGTGCAGAACACAGATTACTTATTAGTACACAAGATGGCCCTCATCCCATTCTCAACACAGTGAGACAGCATTTTCTGCTATCACAGATTGTAAACTCTGTGAGCACTCAATAAACATTTGTTGACTCAATGATTACCATAGAAATAAGGCACAATGGCAGTACCTAGCATTTACCAAACACTCCCCCTGTGATGGACTCGGCCCTAAGTAGATTACATTCTTTATATTGTTTCACCCGCTCAGCACTACAGCAGACGTTTTTTTTTTTTTTTTTTTTTTGACAGGCAGAGTGGACAGTGAGAGAGAGAGAGACAGAGAGAAAGGTCTTCCTTTGCCGTTGGTTCACCCTCCAATGGCCGCCGCGGCCGGCGCGCTGCAGCCGGCGTACCGCGCTGATCCGATGGCAGGAGCCAGGAGCCAGGTGCTTTTCCTGGTCTCCCATGGGGTGCAGGGCCCAAGCACCTGGGCCATCCTCCACTGCACTCCCTGGCCACAGCAGAGGGCTGGCCTGGAAGAGGGGCAACCGGGACAGAATCCGGCGCCCCGACCGGGACTAGAACCCGGTGTGCCGGCGCCGCTAGGCGGAGGATTAGCCTAGTGAGCCGCGGCGCTGGCCTACAGCAGACGTTTTTTACTTCAATTTTGTGGAGGAGGGAACCAAAGGCTAGGAGGATGACGTAGTCCCTGCCTCTAGGGACTAGAGATGTGACAGGGATAGAGGTGGGGTTTGAACCCACGTGTATCTGATTTCACAGCCCGCACTCAACCACAGGACAGTACACTGGCAGAGAAAGAGGGGGTGCCTCCTTAGCCTTGGTGGGGATGTTCCCCAGAAAGGGAGTACTCTGCACACTTCATGCCTTCAGTTCAGGTGCCTCTGGGCGGTGCTGTTCCCTATCATTATGTCATCTACCCCACCACATCCTGCTCTCTGAATCCCAGTGCCACGTGGGTGGCAAGAGTCCCAGCTTATCGGATCCAGAGGGAAAGCCTACAGGTGAAACAAGGGGCCATGGGGACCTGGACTTAGCCTTGACCCCACTGTGATTCTTTGCCTGTTTCAGATCCATATGCTCATGTCTCCTTCCTCCATCGAAGCAAAACCACTGAGATCATCCACTCCACCCTGAATCCCACGTGGGACCAAACAATTATATTCGATGAAGTTGAAATCTACGGGGAACCCCAAACAGTTCTACAGGATCCACCCAAAGTGGTCATAGAACTTTTTGACAATGACCAAGTGGTAGGGTATTTAGAATTTCTCATGTGGGTTGTGTATGTGTGTGTGTGTGTGTGTGTGTGTGTGTGAGAGAGAGAGAGAGAGAGAGAGAATGTGGGGGGCTATGTGTTCAGGACCTGAAGGCTCACTTGGTTCTCTAGGGCAAAGATGAATTTTTGGGAAGAAGCATTTGCTCCCCTCTGGTGAAACTGAACTCAGAAATGGACGTCACACCCAAACTCCTCTGGCACCCAGTACTGAATGGAGACAAGGCCTGCGGAGACGTCCTGGTTACCGCAGAGCTGATTTTGAGGGACAAGGTACACTGCCGCTTTCTCACGCATTGAAACTTTCAGCTGCTTCAAGCTCCTGTGAGCAATTCTAGTCACGATTTTCTTCAAATAAAGGGAACCACTGACATTTCCCTGTTCATTTCACAGGACGGCACCAACCTTCCCATCCTGCCCTCTCAGAGAGCACCAAATCTGTATATGGTCCCCCAGGGCATCAGGCCCGTGGTTCAGCTCACCGCTATTGAGGTTCGTGGCTCTCTCAGTTTGGTTGATCCCAGCAGATGGAGCGGGAATCCTTCATGTCAGAGGTGGAATCCTGCTCCGTGTCTGTCTTGCTGTCTCTACATCCTAGAGAATGTGTGCAAACACTTGAAATAGTCACGGGAATAGAAGGCTGTGGAGGAAACAAGGAGAGCTCCATTTCCGCATTCCTGAGAGACTAAAGTCCTCACGCGCTAGGAGCCAGCATATTTCTGAATTTGGGGGATCACTTGAAGAACTGGAGAGGGAAGGTGGACAGGAAGAGAGAGGAAGAGTGAGCAGAGTAGGCCTGAGAGGGAGGCGGAGGTGGAGGTGGAGTGGGAGTGGTGATGTGTTGCGTGATCGGGGCAGATTCAGGCTGGTGGAGTGAACCCGGTAGCTTGATGGACAATGTCTGATCCAACATCAAGGCCCCTCACATCCTATCAAACAGCTATTACCTTAAGATTTCTGTCCTCTAACTGTCTTGCTAAAAATTCTCAAAAACTAAGGCTTTTAAACAACAATTATTGTTGAATGCCTGTCTGTCAGACACTATGTTAAGTTGACACTTGAACCCCAGGCTAACCCTATGCCGGATAATTCTGTGAGTCCTATTTGCAGGATGGGCATGGACAGTGTAATTCCCTTACAGGTGTTCTCCTAGCTGGTCTGTAGCACAGGCAGGATTTGGGCCCTGTGTTCTTAACTGCTCTGCCCTTACAGTGGCTCAGGACGGAGCAAGGGACAAAATCCCACTCTGCTTGGTTTCCAGACTTTCTAGGGTCACATTCCCAGATATTTTAGGCAAAGCTGTTCGAATCAACCTTAAAGACTTCACCAGTTATCAGGAAAGGATTTTTCCTTTTGAATATTACTTCTAGTATGCTGGCTTCCCATCCCTTATCTTTCAATTGTTTTCTTAGATTCTAGCTTGGGGCCTCAGAAACATGAAAAACTACCAGATGGCTTCTGTCACATCGCCCAGTCTCATTGTGGAGTGTGGAGGGGAAAGGGTAGAATCGGTGGTGATCAAAAACCTTAAGAAGACGCCCAACTTTCCAAGTTCTGTTCTCTTCATGAAAGTGGTACAGTATCAGTCTATGTAACTGTGTGTGCTGAATAGAGTTGTATTTGAAATATGAATACATTGTCAATGAATTTTCTCCCTTAGATCACCATGCTGTAGTAATGATTTCTTAAAGATTCAGATCCCCACTTGGCATAGAGGTTAGGAGGCCCTTTGGGATGCCTGCTTCCTATACCAGAGGGCCTGGGTTTGAGTTCTGGCTCCAGCATCCTGCTACTGTGCACCCTGAGAGGCAGCAGGTGATGGTCCCTGCCACCCACATGTCAGACCTGATTGAGTTACAGCTGCTAGCTTCAGCCTTGCCTAGCCCCATCTGTGGTGGCTACTGCAAATTAACCAGCACGTGGGAGTTCACTCTCTCTCTCTCTCTCTCTCTCTGTGCCTCTAAAATTAAAAAACAATTTTTTTAAACTTCAAACAACTTCACTAACACAAAAGTATCTATAAGCAATACTTAACTTATTTCTCCAGTAAACTTTGCATCTAGTCAGCTCTCTATCCAAACTCTTGGTCAAACCCCTGAGGGCGAAATATTAACCTGAAATCAGTCTCCAAGATGCACAGGGACCAGAACCCTCTGGATAAGGTCTGGCTATCTGGGGAAGGGGCTTCTGTGGAAGAACCCATTAGGGGCGTTGGGTCCATGACCCCAACAACCAGACTGTGCCCTGGGATGGTACTCTTCTATATAATGAAGGTCAAAATAAAGACATTTGCTTAGCTTGAAGAAGTAGAGAGCCTAGAACCTTCCATTCCTTTCCCCACCACAGTTGTTTTTCTGCCCCTGGTGACCCCAAAACACTGCTCTTGAACTCTTAAGACCATGGGGTTTAACCTCCCATTTTCCAGATGAGGAAACTGAGGCCAAAAGAGGGGAAGTGATTTATCCAACCTCACAGTGAGTGTTAGGCCACCCTTCTATGATGCAGTGGCATGTCCAGACCATAACAGCTCTGTCTCAGTGCCAGTGCATTCAGACCTGGACATTTCGTCTCCAACCTTGGGGAGAGGACACTTTCTTCCCTCTTGCACCCACTTTGAAGGAGCCAAGAGGTTAACTATTTACACTGGAGGATATGACTAGTAAGCAGTGGGCCATGGTCTGGGCTTTGGTCCTTCCAGCTCCATACCCTGTGATCTTCCCCTAAAATGCTGCAGGTGGAGCCACCCTCCTACTCCAAGTCAGAATCCCAAGGTGGTTATCCCTGGGCCACCCCACCTATGCTTGCTCACTCCCAACCCCTTCCCCTCCTTCCAAGAGGAGGCAAGGAAACCACTGAGAGAGTCCCAGCTTTTATTCCTTTGTAAGGCGAGAGATAGAAACTCACTTGTAAGATACACCAAGCAGGCCCCTAGGCCAGCCCATGATTCCCTAATCAGGCAGCAACATCAAGGTCATGAAATTTCACATGCAGGAACCAAGAGGAGTCGAGGAAAATGAGCATCCCATGTTGGCACTGGACTTCCAGGGCTCCAAGACTTCCGGCCATAGTTATTTCCATGGAAGGTTCAGTTTTATCTTGATCATTGCTAACTTCTGCTCAGGACTTGGCTAGTAGATCACCAACATTCTGGGCTTGTTAGCCTTGTGCAGGCAGAATTTAGGGTCAGTGGTGAAGAACCCTGATTCCATCTCACATGAGTTAACACATACTGAACACTGGTTGCAGGCCAGGTACTATTTTAAATACTTGACATGCAAGTACAGGGGCACTGGAAAAAGTCCATGCAATTAAAAGATAACAATGAAAAACCACAAGTTCTCAATATATGTTCCATCAATTTCCAGACACTTTTGTAAGTAGTGATACCAGCCATTTGAAGATAAACGAGTGCCCTTTAAGGAATATTTTTTTTTCTTTTTTAAGGATTTATAAACAAAAAAAGTTATGAGGAGCCAAATCAATACTGTAAGGTGGATACCTGAGCTAATGATTTCCAGTCAAAAGTTTTGCAAAACCGCCCTTGTTTGATAAGAAGAATGAGCAGAAGAATTGTCATGGTAGAGAAGGGCTGTCCACACATACTGCTGCTGAAGTTTTGGCTAACTTGCTCAAAACACACTCCTAATAAGCAAATATTGTTGTTGACCCCCAAGAAGTTCCACAGGCAAAAAGCCTTGAGCGTCCTGAAGACCTATGCCATGACCTTTGCTTGTGACCAGTTCCTTTTTTTGACTGGACCGCTTCTGCCTCTTAGTAGCTATTGCTCTGATTGTGCTTTGTCTTCAGGATCATACTGGTAAAGCCATGTTTCGGCTCTCACTACAGTTCTTTGAATAAATGTCCCAGGATCTCATCCCACTTGTTTAAAGTTTCCATTGAAAACTTTGCTCTTGTCTGCAGCTGATTTGGGCCCACCCAAATGTTTTGGTACCTACTAAGCAGAAAGTTGGCCCCACTTTAATTTTTCAGCCAGAATCATGTAAGTTGGCCAAATTGGGATGTCTCTTGTATTCTGGTCATTTCTGCCATTAACCATCAGTCCTTTTTTGTTAGAGAACCAACAAGGTTAATATTTTCCTCACAAATTAATGTGGATGGTCTGCACAGCAAACTTCCTCTTCAACATCACCTCCTCCCTTCTTAAAATGAGTTATGTATTTGTCAGCTGCTGATTTCTTTGGAACGTTGTCTCCATAACCTTCTTATAAGGCATCAATGATTTCAGTACTCTCCCACCTAAGCTTCACCATAAATTAAATGCTTTTGCTTCAAACTTAGAAGAATTCATGTTGCTCTGATAGGGGCTCTTTTCTTTCCTTTCAAAGATTTATTGTATTTTTTTGAAAGGTTGAGTTATGGAGAGAGAGCAAGATCTTCCCTCTGCTGGTTCACTCTCCAAATGGCCACAGTGGCTGGAGATGGGCCAGGAGCATGGAACTCCATTGAGGTCTCTCACATGGGTGCAGAGGTCCAAGAACTTGGGCCACCTTCTGCTGTCTTCCCAGGAGCATTAGCAGAGAGCTGGATCATAAGTACAGGACTCGAACTGACACTCTGATATGGGATGCTGGGTCATGGGCTGTGGCATATTAATCTGCTGTGTCACAACACCAGCCCCAAATAGGGCTCTTTTCCATCCATGTCGAATCCTTCTTAGTGCCTCAAACTAGATCCTGTTCAGACATGATATTGCAAATTAGTACAAGTTAATTTTAGTGCAAACAATTTGGAAACACATGCATAGTTTTGTCATAATATACATTTTTCCATAAGCTTTTTGAAGACCCTTGATATATTAACAAGCCTACTACTGTTCATGAGGTAAGTAGGGCACAGAGGGATTAGAGACGCTCCCTTCAGTCTTGCAGTTCACGGTGGCAGGACCAGGATTTGATGCCAGGCAGTCTGGCTGGCAGCTCATGCTGTTAAGCACTGAGCCACTTGCCTAGAGCGGAAGTTACTCAGCCACTCATTGTGAGTCCCCTGGGCTATTGCCAGTTGGACAAAAAGAATCTGGGTTCCACCTTGGGGATTTATTAGTAAAGTTGCTGTCCTCAGATCTTGTAAAAAGAGAAATGACACCTACCTTCATGACTCCCAGTTGCTGCCCAAGGAGGAACTGTACATGCCTCCGCTGGTGATCAAGGTCATCGACCACAGGCAGTTTGGACGGAAGCCCGTGGTTGGCCAGTGTACCATCGACCGCCTGGACCGCTTTCGCTGTGATCCGTATGCAGGGAAGGAGGATATCGTGCCTCAGCTGAAAGGTAAAACGCAAGTCTGTAACATTCCAGGCTTTTTGCACACATCTGGTGGAGTCCTCCCAAACCTTCCCAAGGTAAGTCTTCAGTGTCCAGATTTTGCAGAAGAGCAAAGAGTTTGATTTACTGGGAAGGTGACAGAGTTGTAAGTGGCAGAGCGAGGCTGCAATTCTGGCATAGTGTGGGGAGTCCCGAGGCTCAGGCCATTACCTTCTGAAATGTTTGGCTCCTGGATGAACACAAGAACTCTGTGTAGGAAACATTAAGTGCTTCATGAGCTTTTCCTGTTTATTTTTCAGTAAGCTGCCTGGAAATGCAAGGAGAGCTATACCCACATGAGAAATAAGGAGGAAGTAATTGCCTTCAGCCATCTGCAAGTGATTTTTTTAAAAGATTTATTTACTTATTTTGTAAGCCAGAATTAGAGGAAGAGACAGACTGAGAAAGAGAGAAAATTTCCATCCACTTGTTTACTCCCCAGATGGCCACAATGGCCAGAGCTGAGCCAAAAGCCAGGAGCTTCATCCAGGTCTCCCACATGAGTGGCAGAGGCCCAAACAGTTGGGCCATCTTCCGATGCTTTTCCCAAGCCACTAGCAGGGAGCTGGATCTGAAGTGGAGCAGCCAGGACATGAACTGATGCCCATGTGGATGCCGGTGCTACAGGTGGCAGCTTTACTGGCTATGCCACAATGCTGGCCCCAACAGATTATTGATCACTCACTGAATACCATGTATCATTCTAGATGTTTAGGGGACAGAAGGGACCAAGACACCCACAGAGCAAGAACCCAGCAGGGAAGAAAAGGAAATGGGCCGTAGCAGAATGGTGTGGTAAATATTTTAGTGGGGAGATACAAGGAAACCCTCCCCACACACAGTGAAGGAGGAAATTTTTATTTCAAATTGCTTCTCATTTTTTGCTCCACCTCATTAACACATCACAACATTTTGTGCTGTAGTTCGAAAGATATGTCCTTGTTATCCTTACAGAAAGAATTTAAATGAATTGCCTTAGGTCATATAATTAATACACAAATGATAGAGCTTTGCATAATACTTAGAGTTCCCTAATAAATAATGGCTAATGATACAGGGGTTTTGCTGTTACTCATTTCAATAGTTACATCCTTTTAGTTACCTTGTTCCAGGGACTGTTAGGGGCTGAGGGCTCTGTCACATCAGTGTAGAAGATCCCAGACCCCTGAACTCGTTAGATCAGACCCCAGTGGAGGACTGGAAGACCCTCATTAATCTGATCCTTGGTAGCTTCAAGACAAACAGATGCCTTCTAGTTAAACACCAGAGGGTAGCCAGTTCTACTTAAGCTTCCATATGGTTTGTAATTAATTTCACTGATCCTTAGAAATGCATTCAGTATGTGACTCTAAACATCCTGTGTCCCTAATTCAGAGAAGAGGGGGAAACAAATTCATCATCACATTTGAGCAAAATCTTACATGTGTTTATCAAGAAATACCCCATGCAAAACATTTTGTGCTGAACTGATGGTGCCTAATATTGCAACTTTTTTTTTTTTAGAACAAGAAAGATTTTTGTAACTGCAGGAATTGTTATATTTGGGTTTCCTACATAGAACGTATTTCCTAGCATGTTTTCTACTGCTCTCATGAGCAAAAGTTCTTTGGTTTGAATACATGAAATTGTTAGGATAGCACAAATGCTGGGGCCAGCACTGTGGTGCAGCAGGTTAAAGTCCTGGCCTGAGGCGCTGGCATCCCATAGGGGTGCTGGTTCTGGTCCCAGCAGCTCCTCTTCTGATCCAGCTCTCTGCTATGGCCTGGGATAGCAGTAGAAGATGGCCCAAGTGCTTGGGCCCCTGCACCCTCATGGGATACCTGGGAGAAGCTTCTGGTTCCTGGCTCCGGATCGGCTCAGCTCTGGCCGTTGCGGCCATCTGGGGAGTGACCCAGTGATGGAAGACATCTCTTTCTCTCTCTGCCTCTCTCTGTAACTCTGTCTTTCAAATAAATAAAATCTTTTTTAAAAAAAAAAAAAAAAAAAAAGGAAGGCACAAATGCTGCAAACTCTGTGGCAGAATCTCTTGTATGGACCTCCTTGGGTCTAGTGCCCAGGACGAGGCTGGGCCCACGGTTAGTGATTCTCTATGATTAAAGTGGATTTTGGGCAAGAGTGCCGAGTTCCGGAAGAGGAAAATCTGGTACTTTCTTAAAACCAGTGATAGGGTAGAAGTTGAGGAGTGTACCTCGGTTGACCTCTTGTTGGCAATATACATTATAGCCATCCCCTCTCCATCCTGTCCCTTAGGCTTTGTTTCATATGGGGATGGTAGAGTGGAGAGCTGATACATAAGAGGGAACTTGAATGCTGTGGTGTTCATGCATTCGTGCCCGTCTGGCTGCACCTGCCAGATTGTTGCAGATGTCTGGGTTTTGTGGGAGTTCAGAGACTGCTCACAAATCTGAGTGTGCCATATGTATACAAAACTGCCCAGCAACTGGCAAATCATCATCGCTCAATAAATGCCAACATCACCCTGTTCATTTCTGATATTTATTGAGCACCAACTTTGCTCCAACTCTGGTGTGATTACTTATAGTTTTGTACTAACTGTTTGATCCAAAGCAAATATCTGGCTTTCTCTTAGCTTCAGTTTTTGTTTTTTAGTTATTTTTTAAGATTTTATTCATTTATTTGGCAGTTATAGAAAGAGGGAATGACAAAGATCTTGCATCTGCTGGTTCACTTCCCAGATGGCCACAATGGCAGGACCTAGGCCAGGCTGAAGCCAGAAGCCTGGAACTCCATCCAGGTCTCCCACATGGGTGGTAGGGGCCCAAGAACTTGGGCTTTCTTCGCCATTTTTCCTGGTGTATTAGCAGAGAGATGAATGGGAAGTGGAGCAGCCAGGACTTGAACCAGAATTTACATGGTATGCCAGGGTTGCAAGTGGTAGCTTAACTCACTGTGCCACAACTACTGCCCCAATTTGTTTGAAGTCTTTAAAAGGGGGATGATGGGACACTCTGTATAGGATGGTTGAGAGATTGAGATCATGTAAGTAAAAGTGCTTAGGACAATGATGGGCATGTGGTAGGCACCTAAACATCATTTTTTCCCTCCCTTCCTTTATGCCCTTGGTGGGTTAAACAGAAGGTTCTTTTAGCTTGGTAGAGTTCATTCTGTCTGGATTTGGGCCCCTTGTTGGGTATGTGACTTCTTGGTGCCCTCTTTAATAAAAGGCAGACTTGGCCTCGCCCCCCCATCCACCCCCATCTAAGACCTTGGAACCTCCTGGAGCTGCTGCAAACCTGGTGAGCCCAGGGGCTGTCCCTGAGCCCCTTGCTCTAACCCCGAATCCTGAGTCATGACTGTTTGGGAAGTTGTACATAAAGTCGGGGCATGTGTCTCTCCCTCTCCATGTACTGTGGGAACAAGCCATTGCAATTTCAGACCTGAAACGCACAACTCCCCACCCTGCCTCACCTCTCTTCTCTTCTTTATTTTCTGTGCCATAGAAACAAATTCTAAGAAGGCTCCTTTAGATGTAACCACATACACAAATCCACTTCTGTATCCCCTAAAGACATGTATTGACACATTCTTGTTTGAGCATTTCTGATATATAAATCCTGGACTAATTGTCCAAAACAAAAATGAGCCATAAAACCCCACAAAAATGTCTAAAACTGTATTATATTTTGGGGAAAGTGATGAATTGTTGGGTTATTTTCTAAATTCAGGTAGTAGTTCTCTTTTTTCAGTGTCATCCAGGAATAAATTCTAGCATCCACCCTATGACTGTTGAACTCGAACTTGGAGAAGAAAGTTTACCATTGTATTTTCCTAAGTATCTCAGATTATGAAATTGTTTGCCTTGCAGCTTCCCTGATGTCTGCTCCCCCCTGCCGGGATACCATTATTGAGATAGAAGACACCAAACCATTACTGGCTTCTAAGGTAGGCTTCGGAACTGATCCTTGGAACTGTCAGTTTTTATCTCTCAGATGTCCGAGCATTGGGTAAATGCAGTCACCAGCCAGTCACTGCAATTAAGATAATCATCATCAAACCAGTTTTCCATGGACTGAGTAAAGACAAGAGTATAAATCTTGAACTCATCAAGTAGACTAGTAGTCCTCAACTATCACTAATAGTCACCCAGGAATCCTAAATAACACCACACCCAGGCCCCACCCCAAGAGGGAGAGGATCCGACATATAGGTATGTATTCAAACCTCCCTGAGAGATTGCAGTGAGTATGCATGTGTGAGACCATTGGTATAGACACTCTGCCTACAAACTGACAGCATTGCAATGTTCAGAACCGGGATCCATGCAACAAGCCAGGTTTTATCCCTGCATGAAGCAAAAGTGTCATAGATTTGTAATGACCCTATTTGTCAGTGTACAAATTCCCTGTGGTTTTGGCATGAAGAAATTGGTGGAAATACTCACTCAGAACCCTATTTTAAAACCATCCTAACGACTTCTGCAAGAAGGAAGGGGAAAAAAAGACTCAGCCCAAAAAAAAAAAAAAAAAGAAAATGCCAAATATCTCCCTGTTTCTTTTGGCATTGAAGATGAACTTTCACAGCATGTTTTAATGTGCAAACTGGCCCACAATGCACATGATTGCACTTTAATATGTTATGTCCATAAACAGTGCCTTTAAAGACATCTACTTCCTTCCCGGTGCATTAAACTCACTAACAATTGGACCGTGTTAAATGGGGTCTCCACAGCCAACACTGTGCAGCAGTGTGTTTGAGTCTACCTCTGAAATCCTACATGCTCATAAATGACCATGTCTAATTTCCCATACTGTAGGTCACAGTGAGTAGTTCATACCCAAATATTCCCTGTCAGAGAAGGCTAAGTACAATATATTTTAAATCTTCTATGTAGATTTCACAAGTACTCTGGAAAAAGGCAGTTTAAGATCCTTCTTGGTAATCTGCCTCCTGTTTTACCATTTCCCATGGTCAATAAATTATTATATGTCTTCTGTGTACTCGGTAGCCCTAAGTACCATTGGCGAGGAAGTAGAAGAATAAAACAATCCATGCCAATATTTTCACCCATTTTTTTTTAACAGCAGGTAACAGATAGATAGGATACTCTAGCAACACAGTTCAAGAATTCAGTTTACATCATAGAATTTAACATTGCAATGTGGCAGGGTTGGTTTGGTAGTATCCGTCAATCCCACTGTTCTACAAATGACTTTAATCTACTTCCTGTCTTCATAGCTAGTTGAGGTGCCCTGTACTGATAAAAAAAAAAAAAAAAAAAGCTGGTTGGAAGGTTGGAATCTCCTCTGAGAACCTGAGTTTCCCTGTTCAGTAAGGTAGACTTTACACATCTATGCAAAATCCAGTGAGTAGAGTTGAACTTTGGAAGAGCCAATGCCAAGCTTGCTGATGCCCTGTATTACATGTGTATATAATATACATGTAATGAATATATTGCCACTAACTCGGTGCAGGCCTTGCAGCTGGGTAAACCGAGGGAATGGGTCAAATCTATGCTGTTGCTGCAGGCTTGAAGGCTGTGGCTCTGGGTGAAAGTGTCCTGCTCTGGAAACTTAGGGCACTGCCCTGTACCGGCCATCGGAGAGCTTAACAAATGGGCTCAGCGCTACCACAGAAACCTGAGAAATAATATTAGGGCCAAATTGGTCAAGTGCTAGCCAGATCACACGGACGTTCTTACCTGGCCATCTCAACAACTGTCTTCCAATTCCAGTGCTTAAGCAGCATGTCAACAGCACTCAGCAAAATGACTTCACCAACGACAGTGCATGTATGTATGATAAAATGCGTGATGCGCTTGGGACTGTGGGGTCTCAGTCTAGAGACTTGACTTCTTCTTTCAGATTCTTTCTATTAGTAGATTTTGGAGTGAATGGTCCTCTTTAAACAAATTTGACTGTCGTCAGTCTAAGGAAAGGAGAATCTCCTGAAGCATTTAATGATTTGCTACTATAAATTCATTATTGGGTATAATACAGTAAGCCACAACAGTTGCTTCGGTTACTTTTCCACGTGAAATAGGCATGCATAAATTTTTCCATGTGAATCCCAAAACTTAAAGTCAGCATCTTGTCTTGAGTAATGCTTTTTAAGTCATGAAGCATTATTTTTTGAAGTGATTTTTAATAGCTGGAAAATAGATATGAATAAACAGATTCTAAAAATCTGAACTCAGGAACCATTGAGAACGTGAAACTATTTTTGGTGTAAAATCCTTCTCTCCAAAATCTCAATTCAACTATGATGATGTAACCCTTAATCCAGCATTGGAATGAATCTAATAGAAAGAATTGACACATCTGTCTGTCTCTCGGCCTCTCTGGGCAATTCTCTTGTACTGAACAAGTCAATCAAGACCGTACTGAGGAACACCCACAGAAGTCCCATGAGCCTCCCGCATAGCAGCTGTGGGAAGAGCTCATAGTGAGAATTGTTCTCTCCCCACATTTGAAATGAACTTGAAATTAGGATTTCATGAAGGACGTCCAGGTAGCATTTCTTCAAACTGTTGCTGAGGGCAACCTTGGTTTGTGGTGCTGCAGGTACCAGGATGAAAGTAAAGTCCCCACATTCTAGTTCTCCCTTCTCTCATCTTCTGGATGTACTTTGAGATCATGAGTGGATTCTCCCATGCAAACATTCAACAAGAAAGATTTGGCCAATAAAAAAAGCTTGACACCCTTTATTAGAAAAGTTTTGATGGATGAGCACTATTTAGTGCTATAACAAGGGCATGGCAAAAAGTCAACAGCAGGCACCTACCTGATGATATTGTAATCATAGAAAACTAGTGACAGGAGAGTTATTGAAGGGATGAGAGTTAAGCCAAGTTGCAAATACACTTTAGGAGTTACATGGAATGGAAGGTTTGGAACAGAGAGATGAGCCATTCTACACACCCCACCCCGCCGTGTGACCACTGTGTTAGTAGACCATGAGATTACCCAGCTATTGAAGATGTGAGACCGGGGTGGCTACCTCCATGCCTTTCACTTGGATACTGTGTGTAACTCTTTTGCATATTTTCAGAAGAGAAACTGATAAGGTGTGTTTAATGATGAGAACATCTTGACTAGAATAATTTAAAGAATCCATCAAAATCTTGATAAGATAAAGTATGCATGAGAAATAATTTCTCCTCTCTTTCTCTCTGAATCTAATTTTCATGGGGTCTCCATATCCGTGTAATCTATGATATGGTTTGCTCTCCTCGTGACCGTACATGGGCATGCACAGCTGACGGAAAAGGTAACTATTGTGCACACTTCTCTATTTTTTGAATGGAAGGATGGTTTTTAATAATGCTATATCTTTATAAAAGGGAAAAATACTTGTATATTCCAAAGCCTTGGGATTACAACATGAGAGTCAATTTGGTGTAACAAAGAGGGTAATAAGATCCTGTCTTTTCATGCAAATTTTTTAAAATTTTAAGTTATATAAGTTTCATATATTTCATATATACAGATTTAAGAGCATAGTGATACTTCCCACCAATGCTCTACTTTTAAGATTCATATATCTTCTGCCAACTTTGTGACACATAAATATAGAAATAAAAATAGCCTTTCTTAATATCCCATCACTATTTCCAAAGTACATCCAAATAAGCAATTGATGGGTCTGATGTGGACCGACTCTGGTTATAAATCTGGGCAGGATCATCTAAGGATGTCCCTCAAGTGACTAACATGCTATCCCTCTGCCCAACCAAGAACCACTCATCACAACCAGAGCTTCCTGACACTGGTTCCCTGCTAGAATCACCTGGGAAACTCATGACACATGAACTGGATGCCCGTGTCTTACCTCAGACTTACTGAACCTGAATCTTCAAAGGATTCAGGATCAGCTGGTTTAAATGGACCATCATGACTCCTTACCTTTGTTTCACCTTCACCTTGTAAAATTTTCAAAGCTCTTTCTCCCAATGACCATATATTGGAGGTATTATATTTCATTTGTTTACATAAATATCAACACAACTGGGTAAAAAAAAGTTAAAGCAGACAAATTAAGACTGTGTTTATAGAATGTAAGAAAGTCACCTAGAACAGCAGTGGACATTAATGCCAAATACAGTTCACGGGTGAAGGATGATCATTTTGCTTCTAGTTTATGAGCGAAGAATTATGAGCACTCTGTCCATCACCCATGTAAACAGAAGTCCTATGTACAATCTCACTGATAACAGGTCAGAGACTGCTGTTACCTAGCAGTTTTCCTGCATAGCTTGGAACTCCATCTCATCACTAAAAATGTTTCCATTTTGACATGTCTGTAGGAGGAAGAAATCGTTGACTGGTGGAGTAAATTTTACGCTTCCTCGGGGGAACATGAAAAATGTGGACAATACATTCAGAAGGGCTATTCCAAACTCAAGGTACCCGGACTTAGACTGGTGTGGGCAGCAGACTCAACATTCATGAAACTGACTCCAGGCAGAGCTAAAAAACCTTCACAGTGCTTCTGGGGAAGGACAGGAAAACCTCTGGCCTCCTGGAGAGCCCTCCTGCAATGGGTTTTGGCTTCTAGAAGATTCTCGGGGCTTGAGGACAGCTGTTGAGCTGTGGTTACATGATGGCCACTGTGGGGCTGGGGCACCTGGCACAGGGATGGGAATGGTGGCACTACATGAACTAAGCCAACCACTATCCTGCTTGACTCAGGGAGGCCCGGATGTCATGGTGCTCTTTGCAGAATGTTATGAGATGCCAGCATGCTTCACCCAGTCTTCTGTACAGAGATCAGTTTCCCCAGTAGAAAAGTCAATTCTAGCACATGTATGCAGAGTAAAATCACAGCTGGGCATGGGTGCCTAGCACAAAGGCAAGCTACAGAGCTAGGCAAGGCAGGCTATCCGTGACCTTTGTTAACGTTCTGAGTTTTCAATTCTGCATTCAGTTGTTTGGTTTGTAATGCACTCGATTGAATCAAATGCTAAAGCTTTCAGAACAATATATAGGAAAAGAATTTCAGTGGAACTAGCAAGTCATTGAAATTGTCCCCATCAAAGTGGAAAACTCACATTCTTTCCTGTGATAGCCCTAACATCTGAATGTAGATCAAGAAACCCCAGCATATAAAGAACAAAATGGTCAAACTGGGCTATTAGATCCCTTTCACACTTTCTCCTCTTCCTCTCTCCCCACCTTGCTGCTGCAGCCATCTTCCTCTTCCCTTTTTCTGTATTTTTTTTTATAGGAGCATAACTTATGTGCAATAAAGTGATCCATTCAATGGATTTTGATAATTGTATACACCTATATAAACAGTGAACCCAAACAAGACAAAAAAACATTGCCATTGTGCTTGTTGGAGTCCCGGCTGTTCCCCTTCTAATGCAGCTCCCTGCTGATGCTCCTAGGGAGGCAACAGAAGATGGTCCAAGTGCTTGGGCTCCTGCCACCCATACAAGAGACCCAGATGGAGTGTCTGGCTCCTGCCGTCAGCCTGGACTAGCCCTGATTTTTGCAGCCATTTTGGGAGTAAATTAGCAGATGGAAGATTCTCTCTCTCTCTCATTTTCTCTGCCACTCTGCTTTTCAAATAAATACCTTTTTTAAAAAAGAATATTTTCGGCCAGCGCCATGGCTCAATAGGCTAATCCTCCACCTGCATCACTGGCATACCGGGTTCTGGTCCCAGTCGGGGTGCCGGATTCTGTCCCGGTTGCCCCTCTTCCAGGCCAGCTCTCTACTGTGGCCCAGGAGTGCAGTGGAGGATGGCCCAGGTGCTTGGGCCCTGCACCTGCATGGGAGACCAGGAGAAGCACCTGGCTCCTGGCTTCAGATCGGCGGGGTGCGCCGGCCACAGCGCACCGGCCATTGGAGGGTGAACCAACAGCAAAGGAAGACCTTTCTCTCTCTCTCTCTCTCTCTCTCACTCTCTCACTGTCCACTCTGCCTGTCAAAAATAAAAAAATATAAAATAAAAAGAATATTTTCATCACCACAGAGAACTTCTCTGTGCCAGTCACTCTTGCAGAACTGTTGGCTCCCAGGGGCGGCCCGGGGTCTGAGTTGGATCACAGTAAACTGGTGCGCCTGTTCTCATACCTTATGCCAAAGACCTCAGGGTGCATTCTCTGCAGGTCTGGCTTCTTTAGCCCGACATGTAGAGCTGACACTCAACATGTTTTATGTAACAGTGGCCATCCCTTTTTATTGCTGAGTAATAACCCATGGTGTGCACCTCCTACAGTTATCCATCTGCCGCTATGGACATTCTTATACCACTCAGATGCGTTCTTCATTTCTCTTTGCTAAATATGTATGTGATTTCTGGATTGTAGCAAAGGTGGATATTAAACTCCATAAGAAACTGCAGGGACTCTCCTAAGTGACCACCATTCTGCATTCCTGCCAGGAACACGAGGGCTCCTGCTCCCCCATGCACAGCCTCACCCCTCCCTTAGAGTCGTCAGCCCTTGTGATTTTAGACACTGTCTGCATATGAATAAGAAATGAAAACTGCTGCCGATTTTCAGATATACGATTGTGAACTGGAGCACGTGGCGGAATTTGAGGGCCTGACCGACTTCTCTGATACGTTCAAGTTGTACCGAGGCAAGTCAGACGAGAGTGAAGATCCCTCTGTGGTGGGAGAGTTTAAGGTGAGTTCAATGTGTGTGTGCTTCTCCCGTGTAAGATCCACCTGTACAGAGCTGCAGTCCAGGACAGCCGAGCTCTGGGACAGGGACATGCCTGCCCTCTGAGCGCCAATGGTTGCTAGAAAGCGTTGGAGTGGAAAGGTATTGGGGGGGTGAGGGAAGGTCCCTCAGGCTCTTCCCAGGGCCTCCTCCTCCCTCCCTGCTCAGGCCAGCCAATCTCCAGTCCTGCAGATGTATCCTGTCACCAGCCGCTCCTCCTCCCCGCCCTGCCGCCCCACCCAGGCCTTCAGCAGGATCACCATGACAGCCTGCCAGCCCACGGTCCTCTTTCCTCCCATCCGGTCCACCCTCCAAGCAACCAGCTCGGATCCTGTGTCCTGACTCCTAAAAGACCTCACTTGGGTTTCCACTGGGACAAGTCCCAGCTCCTTCCTCCCAAAGGCAGAGCCGGCCTTTCCCAGGGACACGCCTCCCCCTGCCCCTCCCGCAACCTCCGCACCCCGCGCCCCACACATGCCTTGTCCTCTCACACCTCGGAGCCCTGGGACCCGCTCCTCTCCCGTCCCTGGATGCCCTGCCTTACCGCCATGTGGCCTGACAAAGTCCTCCGCGTTCTTTAAGCGCCAGCTCAAATGTCACACTAAGAGCACCCTGGTTGCTTCAGGCAGCGTGACTCCCGGGGGGCCCTGGGCCCCCGCAGGTCTGGCTCGGGCTGCTCTGAAAGCACCTTTCACGTGGTCAGTCTCTGTGTGTGTGACCGCCTCCCCTTCCAACTGCACTGGGCAGAGCCGCCGCAGGTACAGCACCTTCCTAATTCTTTGTGGATAGCAGACACGACCCGCGGATCGGAGGATCATAGCTTCACATCCACCTGGGGGCAGTTGTCCACCCAGGGATCAAGACTGCGGGAGGCACTCTCACTGACCGTCCCTGGGCCCTTCTGCAGTCACTGAGTTGGTTTGTGGATCCCCAGTGCCTGGCACAGAGTGGGCACTTCCTGCATGCTGCTTTACTGAATGACGTAGCCGCTACTCGGACCCGGGCTTTCTCAGTCCAACTTTAGGGCTTTCCCCCTATACTTAAATTGGTTTCAAGATAAAATAGATGGCCTATCTCTGGCTGAGCCACTGGTACACTGACTCAAAGAAACCATCTCTTGAGCGCCTGTGTAGGCACAGTCCCATCTTAGGCACTAGGAGACAGACTGGTGGACAGGGTAGATAGAAGCTCGCAGTCTAGTGAGGGAACAGTCAATGAACAAGTCACTTCAATGCAGGCAGTGAGTGCTGGCCTAGAGGAAAGCACGCAGGAAACATACCCCGCCAGGAGCAAGCAGGGAGGCTTCCTGGAAGAAGTGATACTTTTCAGCTGAGACTGAAGGAATTAGCCTGGGAGTGGGAGAGGGTGCACAGGGGTGGAGCAGGAAAAGAGAACTCACTCACCCTTAGTGCTTTGTTCGATTTAAAAGTAATTATTTGTATTCGTATCTTCAAACATGCAGAATTTCATTCCTTCTCACCGCCACCTCCTCAGCCCATGGCCCAAGCCCCTGTCATCTCTTAACCGGGACCACTGCCCGGGCCTCCTGTCACCTCTCAGAGGATTACTTTATTATCACCTCACTCGCCCTACACAGAGCGCAGTTTCTTTTTGCACAGGTGGCCCTCCATGGCCCAACCCTGCGAGTGTCCCTGGGGAGGAGGGCAGTGCCCAGGGCCCCGCGCCACCCACCTCTGTGCACCTCTCTCTTAGGGCTCCTTCCGAATCTACCCACTGTCGGATGACCCCAGCATGCCGGCCCCTCCCCGGCAGTTTCGGGAACTACCTGACAGCGTCCCGCAGGAATGCACAGTGAGGATCTACATTGTTCGAGGCTTACAGCTCCAGCCCCAGGACAACAATGGCCTGGTAAGACTTTGGGTGTGGGGCCTTCTCCTGTAGCAAGATAATTACAGTCATCAGCCTGGTAATTGTCACGTTGGTTCTTTCTTTCTGGGCGTCTGTTATCTTGCTAGAGGAAAGATACTTTATCAAAACAATGGGTTCAGGAGGATTGTCCCCATGGGGATTTATCTCAGAGCTTAGGGGCTTAAGGGCCTCTGGTTGGTTCATCCTTCTCAGTTTACAGATGTGACCTGGGCGGAGATTTGCTGCAGTCCTCCTGCCAGCGCCAGCAGAGCTGCCCCCCCACCCCCACCCCACACCGCAGCCTCTGAACCCACACCATGGCTCAGAGCTCCTCTGGGGTGCCCAGGTGCCGTGACGGCTGCCTTACTGGGAATGGCAGAAGTAAGCCGAGCCTGTCCCGGCACTTGACTTGAACTTGCACCCTTCCGACACCATAACATCCCCTCCTGTCTTTTCCCTGCAGTGTGACCCTTACATAAAAATAACACTGGGCAAAAAAGTAATTGAGGACCGAGACCACTACATTCCCAACACTCTCAACCCAGTTTTCGGCAGGTAACGTACATTTTTCGATGGTTTTCTGTCTTGATGTTTCTGGGGATGTGTAGTAAGGGTGTTCTGTGGGCCTAGCCCTTTCAGGGCTCTGACACCTGTGATCACGTACTTGACAAATGTTCCTTCTAATCGAGAGGAGGGAAGAGTAAGGTGAATAAAAGCTAGTTGTAATGCACAAATACGGGATGGAAGCGAGAACGCCGGGACTACGTCATGGCATGGGTTTCTCTGCAGGGGGATTTGCTCTGAAACCTTGGGGGGTAGGAGGACAGGGTGGTTAAAGGCCCCTTGGTGGGAGAAGCTTGTGGGGTCCCTGCAAGAGGGAGAGGGGCTCCCTGTAGCGAAACGCTGTTCTCACTTCCAGAATCCCAGGTGTGCCCTGTTTGCGGCATGTTTGAATCCACTGAATCTATAATCGAGTCTGTTTCCCAAACCACAGAGGGGCAGAAAGTGAAAAGGTCAGGGTGCTCTGCCCCACCAGGCTTCTGTTCCCGAAGGTTCTTGAAATAGCCTCACTTCCTTTGCGGTTACAACTTGGGATGCATCTCTGGACTGTTAGATTTCTCTCATCAGAACCGTCCCAGGCACCCAAATCCAATGATCTGGAGGTAGGGCCAGCGTCTTCCAGCTAGAAATTCCACTACTTCCAGCTAGTACTTCCACAGTCAGCACTAGCCTGTGTTTGTTGAGCATTTACTGTGTGCAGACACTGGGCTGCGTTGTTTATGTAAAACCATCTCGCAACTCTGAAGTCCTGTTACCCTCATTCTAACATCCAAGGAAACAGGCACAGAGAGAACCAGTGCCTAATAAACCTGGTCAGATCCAAACCCAGGCCATCTGACCCAGTGTCCTTGTGGCTTGAGCAGTCTCCATGTTGAGTGTGTTAGCTGGGCAGGGAAAGGATCAGCAGCCGAGAGCCAGGAGAGCAGAGCCTACTGAGTGGCAGAGCCAAGCTTTAGCAGAACTTCTGACTCCAAGCCCCAGGTCTTTCCAAAACCCTTGGCAATGCTTCCTGTCCATGGCAAACCCATCACCTGTAGAGAAATGTTCTTTGTCCAAAACATTTGTGAAAATGGCCTTATTTCCCCAGAAGCTTGCTAAGTTGAGAACATGATGTTCTTGTTTGCTGTGTGGCCTGCATTTATATTTCTGGCCTTATTATCTTGCCCATGCTAACTCGCTCGCTCTGTGGCTTGTGTGTGTATGTGTGTGGAGAGAGAGTCTAGAAAGCCGCACAAGTCTTTGTCAGTCAAAGCCTCTTGGGCTTGCACATACCATTCTCACACACGGTAACACGTGTGCACATGAGACCACCTGCTCACGGGGCCCCTGGGCGTGCACGCACACCCGAGGCCACGTGCCAGGCCAGGGAGGAAGTAATCCCCTGGCACGGCAGCGTGAGTGTTCTCCTTTTCTTCGGCTGATCCAGCCCTGAGGTCTAGACAGGAAAAGGCACGCAGGGCAGGAAGGAGGGCTCCATGTGCGGGAGCCAGGGAATCGGGGAGAGCCAGCTTCAGAGGGAGAGAGGCGGCCCTGTCTGAATCACTGGCCTCAGAGGAGCCAAGCGCGAGCTTCATGAAGTGGCAGGAAAAGTCTTGCTTGGAGCCAGTGAGTGGTGTTAGGAGAAAGTGATGCCACCAGGCTCTGCTTGAGCAGTGGCTGTCGGACGGGCAGGCAGACTTCCCCTCGGCCCGCAGGGTGAAGCTAGGAGATGCAGAGGCCACTTGACCAAAGAGTTCTTGTTCTCAAGGGGCAGATATTGCCCAGTGAGGTATTCTTGTGCCTTGTATAAGATTCCCAGGGAATCCTAGACCAACAATAGAATGTCATGGGGCAGGTGTGTACGGGGCTTCGGGGTGATCATGACTCAAGCACCTCTTCTCAGCTGGCCACCTGCCTTCTGCAGGCCTCCGCCCAGCCCAGAGAAGTCATCCTAGGATTTGTCAAGGAGATACCTGGATGCTTTTTAGCAAAGCCCTATTGTCAGACCCCCCTCTGCTCAAACAGCTCAACATTCCTGTCGCTCCCCGTCTTCGTGGAGGAACGACACAGGACCCTGCACTGTTCTTTTGTCTGCTCGGCCCTCCCCGGGTTTGCTGCTGGTTCTTCCCGGGTTGGCTACCGTCCCTTCCACCTCCGTGGAAGGGCGGTTCCCCCTGCCACTTTCCCCACTTCCGCAGGGGAGCGGCATACCGCCGGCCGGCTCTCTCGGGGGCTGCACAGGTGTTCCTCTTAGATGTTCCCCTTAGATGTTCCTGGTGCATGTTGTCTCTCTCCTCCTTTATAGTCCTCTTCCACCAATCCCAACTCTGCTACCCACACGCCGAGTACGCTGCTCTCCTCCAATCAGGAGCAGGTCCTACAGTTTATTGGTTGAACTGGAGGCAGCTGTGTAGAAGCTGTTTCTCCCTTCTCAGCGCCATATTGTGGGAGAGCAGATGCATAGAATAAGTCTTAATTCCAGTAACTTAGTCTAGTCCGAGTTGCTCCCCACAATTCCTGGCTCCGTATATTCCAGAGTGCAAGGAGAAGGGGTGAAGTACAGGGAGAGAGGCGGTCTCTCTGGGTTTTTCCTTGAATGAAATTCATGGAGCACCTACTGTGGGACTGGTGCTTCTGTACCAAGTTCAAAGACCCCAAACCCTGCCCGTGTCAAGCTGATCCTGGTACCTTAGCACCCTGTGGGCCACATGGCTCACCTGCTGCCCGAAGTACCCGTGATCGTTTATCTCCAAGTCAGACGTGTTTGCGTTTTAATGCATACTCAGTAGGAAAGCTTGAAGGGCCCAAGGCCAATGGCAGACCCAGAGGGCGTGGGAGGGAGGGTCGGGAGCCTTCTTGGCAGCCTGCATGTCACACACACGCTATTGGCGGCTTCCATTCACACCCCTCCTCTGTGCTCTTGGGAGCGAATCAAAGACGTCTCATGGGCTGCTGATCTCTGTGAAGGCAGAGAAAGGAGTGTGGTCGGAGCACAGACGGGGGCTATAAGTCAGGGTGCTTGTGCCTCATTCACACCACTGCTGGGTAACGGTGCTTAGGCACCCAGGTTAGTAGGCATGGGATAAGAAAGATAATGATTTCATAGTACTTCATTATTATTATACTGGGTTTTGATCAATGCACACATGCCCACTGCGTTCTAAATGTTTCTTCAGCTGACCCTTATAACATGGACAGTATGTAACATCATCACCGTTTTACAGATGAGAAAGGTAAGTACACAGAGGTTAAGTAACTGGCCTGGAGTCCCACAGCTAGTCAGCAGCAGCGCTGGGATTTAAACCTAACTACTGGAAGCCCAATAGTATGTACTGCGTCTAGAGTAGTCCCTCCCACCCCGGGGATCCTAGTCTGCCACACTCCGACCCCAGAGCCGTGACCTGGGAATCCTGTGTAGGAACCCTAGCTTGTATGAAGTCCCCGGATGGATGAGAGATTCTAACCTCACACTTGTTTGTTTAGAATGTATGAACTGAGCTGCTACTTACCTCAAGACAAAGACCTGAAAATTTCAGTCTATGATTATGACACCTTAACCCGTGATGAAAAGGTCGGAGAAACAATTATCGACCTGGAAAACCGATTCCTCTCCCGGTTTGGATCCCACTGCGGCATACCTGAGCAGTACTGTGTGTAAGTTGCCCCATCTGACGTTAGCACCAGGAGGGCGTCTTCCCTGAGCCACTGCTCCTCTGTCAGTTAAGTGCTGTTTCCAATAGTAGGCTTGTCTTGGGGAGAGTCAGGGCCACTGCATGGCGCAGTTCAGTGATAGCCCAGGTAAAGCGGCCACTGGAGCAGTGCCCTGCCCTGCAGGGACGACGTGGGGAGCAGCCCTGGAAAAGTACCCCCCCCCCCCGCCTTGGGCCATCAGAGTGAGGGCTGGCAGTGTCGGCAGGAAAGAAGTCCCTGCCCTTTAGAAATGAGGACTCCTGTCTCTCCTCCCCCAGACGGCTCTCTCCTGCCCTGTCCCTCTCCCCCTGGAGTCTTCCTAGGGTAGTTAAGGAGACATAGATGGCAATTTCCAGGTGAGGAGCTGGCCTATTATGATCTTAAACTCCTCACTTTTACAGAGGAGGAAATTGAGGGTAAAAACAAATCAACGACCGAATGAATATGCCGGATGGGCTGAGGCCAAAAGAACATACGGGCCTGAGGGCTCTGACGTAGATTCCAGACAGAGGTCATTGTAGGCACTGATCACTGTTCGCATTGTGCGGGGGCCCTTGGAAGCTCGTGAGCGTGGGTGTGTGGATGCAGGAAGGCCCTGCAGTAACTCCAGGGTGTGGGGTGCGATTCACAGGTCTGGGGTAAACACCTGGCGAGATCAGCTGAAGCCAACACAGTTGCTTCAAAACATAGCCAGATTCAAAGGCTTCCCGCCACCCATCCTCTCTGAAGACGGAAGCAGAATCAGATATGGAGGACGAGACTACAGCTTGGATGAATTTGGTGAGCTTGTACCTGTGAACTGCAAGCTGGCGCAGAGTCCGCTAACCCATTTGCGTCACTGGGTCACATTCTCCCGTCCTGTGTTCTGCCTGCCCTTTGTGGGTCATCCCTATTTAAGCTCCCACCGCAGGGCTCTAGGAAATAATTTGTGTGTGATACATAATGAGCTCAAAAAAGCTCAGATGGAAACGTAAGACTTTCTCTTCTAAGTTGATTCCAGCCCTGCTCTGAGAAGCCTCAGGGCTGCTGGGGCCTGGTTCAGAGAGCCTGCTAAGCTCCCATTTGGCTCCCTTCCAAGCTTGGGATCTGGTTCTTTCCTTGGCAGGACATCCTAATACCCTGGTCTGACACACAGACAGCTAGCCACACTGTGACCATGACTGAAACAGGCTCCCTGGAGCAGGAACACTGTGCTATGCTCCCACGGTGTGGCAGGGAGGAATTCCCAGAGCAGGAGGCATGGGGCTGGTCTGCAAGGCTGCCCTCAGGAAGCTGAGCAAAGACGCATAGGAGCGCAACTCCTTCCTGAGCCTCCGCTGGCCTCCTGACATTGTAGGAAACCACACTTTGTCTTTTTATTTAAAGAGGACTTAGTCTCCATCAGGGATGTTTAAGAAATGTCGATGCTGCAGTTAACACATGAATTTAACAAATGTGTTGAGAACAAACTGGGAAGCAATGTGGTCTACTGGCAGAGGGTACCCCCAATAATCGAATAACTCCCTGCAAACAGCCAGATGTGGGCATTGTTCTGGTCCCCACTGTTACATAAGGCAACACACCCAAGACTTAGCAGCTGAAAACAACCCCTCTGTTTTGGTCACAATTTTGTGGGTCAAGAATTCAGAAAAGGCCCCGCTGAGCAGTTCTGGCTTGAGGTCTCTCACATCTGGAAGCCAGGTGTCAGCTGGGGCTGCACTCATCTGAAGGCTCGGCTGGTGATGACAGCCACGGTGGCTCCTGAGAGGGCTGGCAATTAACCCTGGCTCCGAGCAGGAGCTGGTGGCCAGAACGCCCTCACAGGCCTTTGTAGCAAGCCAGGCTCTGGTCCTCAGGCTCCTCACGGGGCAGACGGTGTCCCCTAGGGTGAGTATCCCACAAGAACCAGGCAGGAGCTGCATGGTCTCTTACGCCTAGCCTTGGAAGGCACACAGTGTCCTGTCTCTGTTAGTGTTTGAATCCGTTTGCATACTCAAGGGAAAGGGCACAGGTTGCACCTCTTCATGGGAGAAGGGCCAGGGAATTTGGAGGCCACATTTTTAGACTGCCCCAGGGAGGTTGTAACATTTGAATCTCCAAATTCCAGTGGCTTGCCACTGTAGAAGTTTCTCATGAATTCAAGAGAGCTGTTCCTCCAGGTGGGTAGCCATCTTCCACACCAGGCTCTATGCACTCAGGGCCCCTCCTTCCCATAGCTCTGCTGTCCTTCAGCCCAGATCCAAGGAAGCTGTTCTCTGCATCCAGAACAGAAACACATAGAGGAGCCTGCACTGGAGGGGTTTGTGGGCAGGGGCCGGGGGTCCTACGCTGTTGCGTCCACTCAGGTTACCTTCTAGCCCAATCTGAGCCTGTGTCACCAAAGTAAATACAGGCTGCTCTCACCCTCCTGGTGTGTCCCAGTCCCTGTGCTACGGGCTCAGTTGGATCTGAGCCTGTGCGGGACAGGGATCCTGGGCCAGCGCTGTTTCTGTCAACTTTTCCTTTACAAGGCAAAGTGTGCACATAGGCAGGGCCTCTCTATTTTTTGCAAAGTTGGATGAGATTCTGCAAGTGGCTCAGGGCCACCTGGCGGAATTGTTCCTATCCCCACTTCATTGCCCTTTCCATTCCAGAAGCCAACAAAATCCTGCACCAGCACCTCGGCGCCCCTGAAGAGCGGCTTGCCCTTCACCTCCTCAGGACTCAGGGGCTGGTCCCCGAGCATGTGGAAACAAGGACGTTGCACAGCACCTTCCAGCCCAACATTTCCCAGGTAAAGCCAAGACGCAGCCCTCACCCCCGCGCCCAGGCACAGCTTTTCTTCTTTTGTCTTGCTTGAATACTTTAGGTCCGCAGAAAGTAGAAATGATATTTAAATTAGCCTCATCCCAAAGGGAATCCCTAGATCCGGAGAAGAAATTGGCTATGACTCGGAACAAACTTGAACCAGGGTCTCCCCTGTCTCTTGTCGCTGAGTCTATTTAATCTCTTCTCGGGCTGTGCTCAGCTGCCTATGAGTCCAGATATTTTGGTTAGTTCCTGAGTGTCTTTGTACTAGAAGGTAGTAGCCCCACATACTGCCAAGTAGGCATTGGTTGCCCCAACCAGTTGCCTTTCACAGACTATTCTCCACTGTCGCAAAGATTGCCTGGTATGGGAAAGTGACAAAGCATGGCCCCGCCTGGGGAGGAGGTGTTAGGAGACTACAGAGGAAGGGAGGCAGGGCCACAGCGCATAAGAAGACAGGTCACAGGTACCATGTGCATAGCAGTGGGGAAGAGGGCCACATGGGATGCAGTTCCCAAAGAACAGTTAGACATGAACAATGACAAATGTTCTGTAAAAAGCTCATTAAAATGAAAATTTCCAGAGATTTCTCTGCAGAGAACTGGATGCAGTATGTCAGTGGTAGGGCCAGGAATCTGAATTTTGTTAAGTATGTGGAGGAGTTCTATTGCAAGTAGCTAGGTACTCACAAATGCTCATCTAATGGGTGCAAATATTGTTGACCAGGACAAAAAACAAGGGACCAGTTCAACACTCAACAGTGACCACAACTAGTCTGGACTTATTAGCGTAGATTGTGTTGTCAATTTGTGCTTTTTATCCCATTCCATGTTTCCATAGCTTCTTTTCCTTATCCTTCTTCCTGTTACCAGAGAGGCCATCCCTCCTTCTCCCTCCCCTCCCACCCTCAGTCTCACAAGGAGTCTCCAGAAAGAACAGTCTCCCTGGGACTCCACCAGGGGCCCATCACCTCTGCCTCCAGCACTAGACGCAGACTGCGGTGGGGTCTTGGGAGACACCTGGACGCCTGATGTTCCACAGCACGCTTGATGTATTGTGGAGCCTTGAGCCCAGAGATTAGTTGGAAGACAGTCAGGATCATTGTGAAATATATCCCTTTTCAAGAGCTCCAGTTAATTTATTTTGATCACAATGCATTAGGAAGCCAGTCTAGTGGTTTCCTTGGCAACCTTCTAGAAGACTAGTCTGTTTTTGTCTGAAAGCAGAGTCTATAGGACATCCAAAAACAGTTTGGAGAATATAAATAGGCTTGTAGGGTTGATACCGTTTTTTTAATGGCATTCCTAGCCTATCTGGAAGAACATTCCAGTCAGGTCATGTGCCCAGTGCACAGCAGTCAAATAGGTGAGCAGGGCCTCTCAGCAAGACGGCAGCACAAGTGTCAGGCCAGGCTTTCACCCTCCCGTCCTGTGAGCCTCTACCAGCGGCAGGGAGTCTTCAACTTTTGGGAAGAGTTTTTGTCACTGTTTGAGCCCTTTTCCTTTGAAAATGACACATTTCCTTTCCTTGTAAAGGAAAACCTTATTTGATTTGTATCTTGAGTTAAATGGAAGAATTACTGAGTATCACAAAATTGGAACAAACCTCAAGAAGGCAATGTAGGCAATGTGATGTTGAATAAAGTTACAATGCGAGAGCTATTAGAAGGTAAAGGACCCAATCTGAAGTCATTGTAAAAGCGCACGCACGTGTGTGTGTGTGTGTGTGTGTGTGTGTTAGGGGTTGGGTTAGCGATGGGAAGCCCTCATTTCTTGAACCCCTTCAACTCTGATATAGGTAGGCAGACACAGCTGTCAGACACCCCTGGGTGTCATTGGCTGCCTAAGTGACATTGCAGATGTAAGATTAGTCTTCATGTGCTCTTTTACTCTGCCTATTACCTTCCATAGGGATCAGTAAATCAGAGAGTCTAACGAAATTGACTCATTTAAGGAATACTACCCTTCAACTAACTGCAGTCCTTTTTCATTTTTGGGTGGTTTAGGGAAAACTTCAGATGTGGGTGGATGTTTTTCCCAAGAGTTTGGGGCCACCAGGCCCTCCTTTCAACATCACACCCCGGAAAGCCAAGAAGTAAGTAATCTTGGGACCTTTTGGCACTGGGCTGGGGACTTGGCCCGGGACAAGAAGCAAACTTCCTTCAACATATGCTCCTTTCAGATACTACCTGCGAGTGATCATCTGGAACACCAAGGACGTTGTCTTGGACGAGAAGAGCATCACTGGAGAGGAAATGAGCGACATCTATGTGAAAGGGTGAGGTTAGCTCGCCAGAGCTGTCAGCCAGCCCGGGGGATACACACACCCCTCCTTCCCAAGCTGTCACTGTGGAAGGATTCGTGGTTATTGGAAGCTATTTTATCTCGTTAATGTGATCTGGAAAACAGGAGAGAATAGTTATTTATTTGAAAGGTAGAATGAGAAATAATTTAAGAGGGAGAGAAAGAGAGATCTTAAATTCACCTGTTCACTCAGGCCAGGCTGAAGCCCAGAGCTTCATGTGGGTGCAGGAACCCAAGCACTTAGGCCATCATCTGCTGCTGCCCAGGCACATTAGCAGGAAGCTGAATTGGAAGCATGGAGTAGCCAAGACTTGAACTGGCACCTGGATAGGGGATTCAGACATTCCAAACAGGGGCTACACACACCCACCCTCCCAGGGTTTCTTTTTATTCTTCTCTAATATCTCAAATAACTAGCCTTGGAAACACAAGTAGAGCTTCCAGAATTTCTTTTCCTGTGTATCTTATTGCCAACAGCCAATGTCCATGGCGTGGAGACAACACAGGCAGATTTCAAGAGTCAGTCATTCCCCTGACACTTCCTGAGTGCCTGCACTCAGTGTGTAAAGTGTCACACCTATTCATTATTCTTTTACTTGCAAATTCAATTTCAAATAGTCCCCACTGATGTTAGTCTCTTGTTATACTTTGATCATCAATGGTAAGTGCAACACAGCTGGGTGATTAAGAAGTCAAACCATCTAGGTTGGAATCTTGGTACTCCCCTGCTACCTGGGCAAGGTAATGCCCTTGCCCTTCCTCATCTGTAGGCTGGGGATAATGAGAATACTTCCTTCCCAGCGCTATCTAGAAGACTCAGCTCTTCAAAGCACTTAGGATAGTGCCTGGCAGATGGTACTGAGTGTGGGTGTCAGCTAGAATTATCACTGTTCCACATGGAGTAGGCTTGGTTCCTTGATACGAAAAAGACAGACTTGTTGAAATTTAAAATATTCATAAAGTGAGAACAAAGTTTTGCTGATGATCCCACGTGGCCCTCAATCAAAATGTTGTTAAAGACATAATTACTGTCATTTCGGTTCCCTATTAACAGGGAATGTTTCACCAAGTTCTTCATCATTCTGCTCACTTCAGGATCTCATTACCCTTCCCCAAGGAAAACTAATCCCAGCTAATTATGTATATATGCAAATTTATTTGACTATCTTAAGCATTATTTTCTAATCAAGAAAACAAACCCAAGTCAAAACTGGACTGAGAAAAACTCTTTAAGCTCAACTTAAAACACCATGAAAAAATTTGGCATTAAAATCTAAATGCTATTATGTGGAAAAAGATGGCCTGATACTATATACTTAGGGAGATTACATAGAAAGCATTTTTATATGCACACAAATATATACATACTGAGAGTATTTGTTGAACTGGTCTTAAAATGTACAAAGACTCATACTTAAATGTGAAAATATTTACAACAATAGAGAAGAGCTGCAAGGGGTGAGTAATCTAGCATAGGATGGCGATGGCTACTTTCGGGAAGGGTCAAGAGGTCAAGTCACCAAGGTCACAGCCAAGAGAATGTGAGCTCTCTTCAGGGAATTAGTTTAAAAGTTAACAATCCAAAGGAATTTTTCAACTAATTTGTCTAGTCAATTGGCAGGCAAAAAGGAAAACTATTGTAGCTGATTGATATGAACATAAATGAACACTTAAAATAGCATTTAATGTTAGCAAGTGACATTATAATCTCCTTGGTCCTTTGAGACAAAGTAACAGAGTGGGGCTTTGGAAACAGACTAACCTTAAGTACTTGTGTGAGTTAATATATCCTCTCTGAACCCCACTTTCCTCATCTGTGGAGCAGAGAAAGTTGCACAGTTGTTGGGGAGAAAAATGCATGCTAAGTACCTGGTGCGTAGCTGATGGGCCAAAGCATGAGCCGAGGATTTCCTCCTTCCCAGTCCTGATCTTCACTCTGTCCTCATGATGACCGCGAGAAGGGGACGCATCCCATTAACTCGTTTTACAGGTGGGACATGGGGCTCAGAGTTTCACAGCAGGCCTGCTTCCTACCAAGAATATCTGTCTATAGCGTTCAGACATCACTAGTTCTACAAGCTCCCCCAGGTGATTCTGATAAAATTTTAGTGCGTAGTGTTGAGAACCATGCAGGCTACCACTTTGCCAATCTAAAATCAGATGTCACCCCCCCCCCCTTTCCAAACCAGAAGTCTTCTGTGACAGCTTCCTTGCAGGCCCATTCGTTCATTCATTCAGTAGCTATTTCTTTAGCATCTGCTATGTGCCAGGCACAAGCAAAAGGAAATTTCCCCAACGTTACATTTGTTAGCTTGTTACTGAAATGAATTTTCATAGATAGGCATATGGAAATAGCAGCTTGTGTCTTCCTTGACAGTCTCATTAATATGATCACAGTAAATTTAAGAATAATAGAAAAAGGAAGCTGTAAGATTACTCGATTCGTGCCTTTTTTGTTTGCTTAAGAAAAAAATGGGAAAGGAAATGCTAAAATTTTGAGCTAACTCATATTCATTGAGCCTATCAGCAGTGATGACAGACACTAATGAGTTATAGCTATGAAGACTTAAATCATAGCTAGGAAGTTTCAACATTCCCAAAATAGAAGCTCAGTTGTTGATATTTTCCAGAAAATTTCACCTTACCTCTGTTAACTGAAGTCTAAAGGGTTTCCTGCTTTGGTTTTAAAGGAATTATATTTTATTTGGCTACAACCTTGTTGGATGCAGTAGAGTGCCTCCCTTCATAAATCACCCCCAGCTCCATAGATAACTGGAGTGTGCCCAAGAAAAGTGCATTCATTCTCCTGCTCTTCGCTCCCCTAATCACTGCACAATTTTGCGGCTAGATTACTTGTCAATCAAGTGAAGCTAAGTCTGTGTGCCTCTGCTTTCCAGCTGGATTCCTGGCAATGAAGAAAACAAACAGAAAACAGATGTCCATTACAGGTCCTTGGATGGCGAAGGGAATTTTAACTGGAGATTCGTTTTCCCCTTTGACTACCTCCCAGCCGAACAACTCTGTATTGTTGCTAAAAAAGTGAGCTCTGAAGTATGCCAGTGGGAAGTGGATGCCATGGGTCTCCTTAACTCAAGCTCTTAGTGTGTTGGAGCTGCCCAAGATTTGGGGGCATCACTGAGTCCAGCTCCCTCTTGGGTAGGGATGGACAACCTAAGACCCGAAGAGGTGTACGTCCTTGCCCAGGGTCCCACAGCTATGCAGGTATTTGTGTCATTAGGAAGGATAAGGAATGCCTTGACACGATAGCAGCGAAAGTTGTCAGTGCCTACAACCCCTCAAGTGTGTTTCTTATGTGATGGGAGACCAGTTTCTTCCCATGATGGGCAAAAACCAAGCAAAGGCCAAATATCCAAGTGCAGGAAACGTCCCTTTGCCTTTCTTGGTAAACCTCAGCATTCGGAAGCACTTCGATGACAGCTTGTGGCCCCTGCGGTCTTAATTAGTAAGACTTTCAGTTGTAGAATTCACCTCAAACTGGTGTATACCCCCAGAAAAGCAAGCAAACAAAAGTACTGGTTCCCAGTCCAGGGTTGGCTGGCCTTAGGGACATCAGGACCCCACGGGGAAGTGATATCTTCAGAAACTAGCATCCCTCTCCCCACCCCGGCTCTGCTTCCTTTCTGTGCTTTATGCCACATGGGCTCTTCCCTGGTGGCGGCAGGACCAGCTGCCAGCAGCCCCAGCTCACATCCTGTCCTCTCAGCAGAAAGAGGACAGCAAAGCCCTAGTGGGAGCAACCAGGGTTCTGGGATTGGGCTTCAGTGTCACTGCCTGTTTAGGGACATGTGCCTGTCCCATAAGCAACTGCTACTGCCCAGGGATGAGGCACTCTGATTGGCCAGGCTCTGGGCGTTGTAGTCAGCTCCTCCAAAATCGCACAGATTGGGGAGGTGGAGTCCCCCAAGGAAAATCTGGGTGCATCCCTCTGAAAAGGGATCTGGGGAGACACTAACTGGTGTCTTTGAAGGTCCCCATACCATTACTCCCTCCCACAAACCATCAGCTTCCCCCAGCTCTGCCTGGCACCTCCCCTCCCATTCCTGCCCTGTGTCCCATCAGGCCCAGCCCGATGAAAAGCAAGCACTTTGCCCAGGCTGTGTGGCATGAAAGCCTTCGAAGGGGATTTTCGAGAGGCACAGAGTAGCAGTGTGACATCAAATCACACACACTCTCAGAGGGGCGGCAGATGGAGGAGGGACTTGGGGTCAGATAGGCTGTTAGGTGAAGTCACCTTTTCGGTTCACCTGCATCGAGGCTGGTGCTCCCCCAAGCACCGTGGGGTGGTACTTGGAAAATGACCCCACAAAGGACTGTCAGGCAGAGCCAGACAATGACAGAGGGGCTTCCTAGTCCCTCAGAGTCAAGGCCTATGACCCACAAAAGAGAATATTCCTGGAATGTGAGAACCAAGAAATACAATGATCTGCCTTCAGTTTCGTGAGTGAGTGAAGGAATTCCCCCTCTGCGAGGGCCTGAGGAACGTAGCTATGGTGGGCTGCAGAGGTGGAGACCTGAGGTGAGAAATCCGAGGACCATTCCTGCTCCTCCCCCCACCTACCTCTAGCACGAGGAACCTGAGGGCCTCAGGAGATCACGAGATGGAAAAGCCCACCGTCTGTTTTTGAAAGCCAACAATGTCAGGATGCTTTAAACCTGCACTGAGAAAAGTGTGGCGTTCGGACCCCAGTCCCCTCACCCACCAGAACCCCGGAGGGCGGGTGGAAGGATGCTGAGCAGAGGTAACGCTCGGTGGGTGGCGCCGTGTGCTGCCCTGGGATGCCTGGCTTTAGGAGGGCAACCTAAGTTGGCCATGGTGGTCTCAGTGGGGAAACTCATCTCTGCCCAGCCCCCCAGGGTGGCAGCAGGAAGTCACACCACTAGGAAGTCACACTGATAGGAACGTGGCAGACCAGCTTCTGTTTGGGAACTTCCTCAGACATCCTCTTTGTCACCCAGCTGGTGGCCTTGAGATTTCCTGGGGAGGCAGATGGAGTGGGAGGATGGGGCCCAAGGGAGTGCAAAGGAAAAAAAGAGCCTGGGCCTCATGCTGTCCCAAGGGGCCACAGGTGAGGGGTTCTGCGCACAGCAAGCAGGGTCATTTGCTTTGTCCTGTCTCTTGTTCCAGGAGCATTTCTGGAGTATTGACCAAACAGAATTTCGAGTTCCACCCCGACTGATCATTCAGATATGGGACAACGACAAGTTTTCTCTGGATGACTACTTGGGTAGGCCTTCCAGTTGGATGCTTTTTGCTAAGAAATTGTGCTTAGAATTGGTGAAGTCAAGGAAAACGTAGAAGTAATTACTTACATGTCCAGTATTTGTCAGTAAAGGGGTGGGGGTGCGTCCCCTGCCCCCTGTCCTCTGGGCCATGCAGTTTCTCGGAGGACGTCACCGTGTCTGCCCAGGTGGGCTCTCGTGGAGGACCTTACATCCGCCCCTGTCTCTCTAGGGAGACAGATCCTGTTCTTGACGCTTGCTTCCACTTCCAAGCTACCCACTTCTCTCTTCTCAGAAGAGGCTCTCAGGAGTGAGCAAGGGCGCCCACCTCATTGTGCTGCTCAAGGCGTTCATTCTGGGCACCTTTTCTGGGGGCCCTCCCTCTCCTGGCTCTCTCCTGCCCCCCCTGTTTAAGGACAGGCCTTCCCCGAGGTTCTTGGTCCACTCCCCCCTCAGCTGAAGCTTTCTCTTCCAGTCTTCACCTAAACCAGGACATGTACCTGACATCTCACAGTGCCTTCCCCATGGCCATAAGAAACCATCACAAAGATAATTCCCAATTCTCAGATGAAACTGCACTTCCTCTACACGGCTGACACTTCAAGTTTACCTTAACTGAAATCAAACTCAGCATTTCTTTCATGACCTCATACCTGCTCTCCTCATGAACTTCTTTCGTTATTATTTGAACGAGAGACAGACAGACATAGAGATCAATCTTCCATCCACTGATTTAGTTGCCAGTTGCCTCCAATAGCTGGGGCTGGGCCAGGCCAAAGCCAAGAGCTAAGAATTCCATCCATGTCTCTCGGGAGGGTGGCAGGGACCCAGTGACTTGAGCCATCACCTGCTGCTTCCCAGGATGCATTAGCAAGAAGGTAGAATTGGGAGCAGAGCTGGGATTTGAACCCAGGCACTCAGATACGGGATGCAGGCATCCCAGCAGCATCTTAACTGTGCCAAATGCCCACCCTTCTTCGTGAACTTCTTCCCCTAATCGGTTCCTCCCTTCTCAGCCACCCAAGTGAGCGCATCGAGTCCTCTGTGGTTCCTCCTCTCTTTCCTCGATGTCCCGACAGCCACCCAGTTCCAGCGATGTAACTTACTTCATCACACACACACACGCGTCTGAGTTCTGATCTCTGCCACTTGCCACTGCAGAGCTCATTTTCCGTGAGCCGATGGTTGCAGTAGCCCTGGCTCATCTCCCTGCTTCCGTCTCGCCTCACAGAGGAAATCCCACCACCGTCTAGGTCTTATTTATACTTCCACCTCTCACAGCACCTAATGCAATGGCTTTCCATAGTTGGTACTGAAGAAGACTAGAAGAGGGGGGAACGTGGACCCCCAGTGCGTTAGGCAGCCACTTAGGATGCCTGCCTCCCATATTAGTGTGCTGGTTCAAGTCCTAGCTACTCTTCACTTCCCAGTTCAGCTGCCTACTAAGGAGCCTGGAAAAACAGCAGACAAATGACCCAAGAAGTTGGGTCTTTGCCATGCAACCTAGATAGAATTCCTGGATGGAGTTCCTGGCTCCAGGCTTCTGTATGACCCAGCCCTGGCTGTTGCAGACATTGGAGGAGTGAACCAGTGGATGGAAGATATCTGTGTATCTCCCCCTCTCTGTCATTCTACCTTTAAAACAAAGACCAACTTAATCTTTAAAAAAAACTACAGTGGAACCAACCAGTGAGTATGCTCACTTATTAAGCATGTAAATCGCTGAATTGCATAATAGTAGAGGGTTTTCTCAAATAGCCTGATGACAAATAAGACGACTGTACAGTGTGTGTGGCTTTAAAAGGGGGAGAAAAGCATCAGGCAGCTTCATGGGGAGTGAACACCATTGCCTGTGCTTGCATAAACTGCGACAGCAGTGGTGTCACTCAGTGATCAAATCTTACGGGACCGCTGTATTCGTGTGGTCCATCATTGTGTGTAGTTCAAAGTGGCGACTGAACACATCACTGAAGGAGAGGCAAGACGAAAGCAGGCACAGGCTCACGAAGGGCTAAGGTAAAACGATGGCTGATGGGTCCGTGTGAAGGGTGGTTTGGGAGGCTGACAGTTCAAGAGAAGCCGCCTCCCTTTCGCCACCACTGTTGGAGACCACACTCTCGTCCCACACCGCAGATGCCACTTCCTTAAGGAAAAGGCTCCCAGGATTCCCCAACCTAAAAGACATTTTCACTCATTGTGAAGCTACACGGAGGAGCTCATTCCTCACCCACAGCAGAGAGAAGTGCTTCCCCAGACAGCCTGGCTGTGGCTAGGATTCTTGGTTCCCAGAGGGGGTTTTCTGAGGGGTGCTTATGTTCCTTTTCAAGCTTCCATTTCAGAGGCTACACTAGAAGAGACTTGAATGTTCCATGATCTTCCCATGTTCCAAACACCAGTTGTCTTTACCCAAAGCCAAATGACCTCTCTGCTCAGGGCAGCTCACAACCAAAATGAGCAAACTTCAAATCCAAGGGCCCTGAGATTAGAGGAAACTTTGTAGACGTTTAATTACACGGAGTTGATAGAAGAGCTCTGTTTATGCTCATGTCTTTGAGAAAGAAAACATGTAGTTCTCTGTGAGATGCTAAGCAGTAGACAGCTATTTCTTCTGCCATTTTCCATCCTTTCTGGAAAGAATTTTCAGTGTCTACCAGGGTCGCTTTCTCTTAACTCACCCTCACCTGTTCAGAATCACTGTCTGCCTCTGCTCTGACCAGAACATTCTGTTCTCTTGTGAACAATGGCTGATCCACTCGACGTTTATCTGGACTTAATCTTGTTTCCTTGGCTAGGTTTCCTGGAACTTGATTTGCATCACACGATAATTCCAGCAAAATCATCAGAGAAATGCAATTTGGACATGATTCCAGACCTCAACACCATGAACCCCCTCAAAGCTAAGACCGCCTCACTCTTTGAACAGAAGTCCATGAAAGGATGGTGGCCGTGCTACGCAGATAAAGATGGCTGCCGCGTGATGGCTGTATGAGTAGTTTCTGGTTGGGGAGGGTTTATTCCTTTTATCATTTAGATGTTGCTTTTATCAATAGATGCATTCCAAATTAGATAAGGAAATGTTAAATTGGCTAGAACAATTTGTACCTGGGATTACAAAGGAAGGTGGGAGAGGCCATGAGCATGTGTTTGGAACTGAGGCAGATGAGGAGGTTGGACATCAAAACGTAGAGCCCAAGTGGTTTCCTTGGGTTTCTTCAGGACACTCCTCCACCAGCAAGGGTAATTTATGCTGAGCTGCTTGTGCAATTGGCACAGCAAGAGGAACTTCAAATTTGCGCTTTTCTCATTAAAAAAAAGAGGGGGAGGGTGGAGGGATGCTGCTAGCTTACAGCAAGTTTGGGGAATTCGAGATAGGTTTTGCCATAGGAACAGCAGTGCAGGCCTTACACTGCAGGCAATGACAAGAAGACTACCTAATCATGATGCATCGTGAACAGCTAGCATTTGTCATTATTAGTTATAAACCGGGTAATGTGCTAAATAAGTCCCTTATATCCACAATCTAATTTTCCAAAACAGCTTTGATATATACTTTTCATAAAATTAACTGCACCAATTTAAAGTGCACAAGTCAATGAATTTTGAAAGAGGGGTTGAATGAAACCATCACCAAATCAAGACCCAGAACCTTCTAATTATCCCCAAAATTCCACTGGGTCCCCTCCAGTCCACCACTCCTAACTTCCCTTGCCCCAGGAAGCCACTGATCTGCTTTCTGTCACTATCAATTCATTTCACGTAGCCTTATTTAATTCTGCCGATGACTCCATGCACATTATTTGCAATTCAGCAAACAGGCCTGGAGGGACCAAGCAACTTGTCAAAGTCAGGTCCCCAGCTTTGCCTGGCTTGTAAGTGGAGGGTTCCTCGGAGCTCCACTACCTGAGCGTCAGTGACAGAGCTGCTCCCGTTGTTGGTGAACTAGTGGGCTTCCCCATGTCCTAGAAAGTCCTACAACCTCAGTGAAGCCTGCCTGAAAAATTCGGCACATTATACACCTCTTTCAGCCTCAATGTCCTCATCTACACATGAGGACAAAATAGAACCTTTTCAAGGTTGCCATGAGCGTTTCATAAGCTTATCCACATAGAAGGCTCATGCATCACTTGGGAACCTGTCAGTGGGGAGGCAGAATTCATTCATTCATCGACTCAGCTAATATACAAGGGTATGTCACAGAGTTCATGGAAAAATGAAACTAAAAGATATGTTTATGAGTTTCAAAATGTTTTGTACCATATAATTTTTCATAAGCATTTGAAGGCTCCCTTCCCCATATGCATGGATTTCAATTTTTGGCATCACAATAAACTGCTCTTTTAATTCCATTTTCCATAAACTTTTTGAAGTACCCCTCCATCCATGGAAAGCCTACTAAGTGTAAGTAGGGCAGTGATAGGAAGCATGGAGGGACTTGGCCCTGGCCCCTTGGAGCCTACAGTTAATGCTTCATGAATGTTGGCCATTGTGAGTCACAGTATTCGGGTTAGTCTGGCCCAAGTAGTTACAAAGCAAGGTGTGTGAACCGGCAAGGAGATGGATGTGAAAAAGTCAGAATGACAGGCTGCAGAGGGGGAAAAAGCGAGCAAGCAGGGAGGAGGGAAAGCAATTTGTTCTCTGGGTCTCCCACATGGAGCCAGTTCAGAAACACATGGAGGAGGAAATGTGATGAAATCTCTGGAGGAAAATTTAAGGCAATCTAAGGATTGTTTTACAAGAATAAAAATCATTGCTCAGGGAATACCCCTTGGGTTGAAGTAAAAATATTTGTGAAACGTGATGTCATGTGTTTAACCTGTTCTGCTTTACTGAAGGGGAAAGTGGAGATGACATTGGAGGTCCTCAACGAGAAGGAGGCCGACGAGAGGCCAGCCGGGAAGGGGCGGGATGAACCCAACATGAACCCCAAGCTGGACCCACCAAAGTGAGAGGCCCTCTTTGTTCTCAGTCTCTAAACACCTGTGGTCTGAAAGGGCTCCTTCCAGTCGGCTTAATGAAGTGGATTAGCTGTTGTCCATCTAATTTTGTACTTAATAGTGGGGGTGAGGGGTGGAGAGACTGGCGATCTGGCTTCCTTTGAACCGCTCTCCTTTCCCTGCAAACCCAAGTGCAAGTTGCCTTTGGCGTGTTAGGAAGCTGTCATGGGTTAAGGAGCCCTCCCCAGCCAACCAAGGGCAATACTATGCTGCCTTGATTTCATCAGTGTTATGAACTGTTCCTCAAATCACTCCTTATTTGTTCAGTCGGGTAGGTAATAGCGCTTTATGTCTCTTACAGCCGACCAGAAACTTCCTTCCTCTGGTTCACCAACCCATGTAAGACCATGAAGTTCATCGTGTGGCGCCGATTCAAGTGGGTCATCATCGGCCTGCTCTTCCTGCTCATCCTGCTGCTCTTCGTGGCTGTACTCCTGTACTCCCTACCGGTGGGTCGCCCAGGCTGCTGGTGTTGACTGGGCACGTGTGTGTGTGTGTGTGTGTGTGTGTGTATGAGAGAGAACACAGCCATCATCTAACTTGGTCCTTGCCTTCATGGTCATGCAGGGAATGACCCATTGGCAGCTGTGATAGTGCAATGCTTTGACTTCTGGAAAAGATCATGTGACATGTCCCGTGATTAGAATTGCATTTTTAGGGTTTCACCGAGTACAGACTGAACTTTATAGTCTGGAAAAATGTGTGGTTTCAGGAATTCTAGAAGAAGCCACTCAGACCTTTATCAAGGACTATCTAGACCATCGTCAGTGTTTCCAACTGATCTTCCTGCCTACAAAATTTCCTGTTCCAAACCATCCTGCAGTCCTAACACCTTGTTCTAGCCTTCAAGGATCTCCAAGTCTGGGCCCATCATGGGTCTCCACAAACCCCTGGACTCTGCCCAAACTAGAGAGTTGATCCTCACCCACCTCTTCCCAAGCTCTTAATGCCCTTGCCTGTCTAGATGCCTTTGCCAATATTCCTTGGCCCAAATTTTATCAAAATCTTACTCTAAAATCCATGTCACGTATAACCTCCTCTTAAATTTCCCTCAGTCATCTCCGTTATAAACGGTAATCCAATCAGAAGATTTGGCAGTAGCATCAGGGAATTTATCAGCATCTACTCTGTGCTAGGAATTAGGATAGAGAGGTAACAAAGGCACAATGTCTGCTTGTGAGCAAGCAGTTCCTAGTGTAGGAAGAAGCAGGCCTAAGGATAAGCACATCACTACGGGAGGCAGGTTGTTGGAGAAATACGGACAGGTGACATCTAGAGCCCATTCCTGAGGATGGGTCCACCAAGGACGAGGCACTGAAGCTCAGTTTTCTGAGTAGAGAAAGGCTAGAACAGCCAGAAAAACCACAGGAAGCAAGATGGGCGGGTGCTGACCTGCACAGGGGCATTCCAAAGCTCCTTACGCCAATCCATGTTACCAATAATATAGGAAATTGTATAGTTAGTAGCATAATCATAGGACCGCAGGAGAGAAGTTTTATGTCAATTTGTCCTCAGTATAACACCTGCAGACTGTTGACCATGATTATATGCACACTACTTTCTACTTGGAGGGCACTGCCATCTGCCTTGACCACTTAAAAAAAAAAAACCCTCATGGGTGTTTATTTTTCCTGATTCAGAGTACGATGATGCAAACCAATAGTTCATCATTCAGGGGAGGCTTTTGCACTCCCCTCCCCCCGCCCAAGGACATTTGGCAATGTCTGGAGACATTTTGGTTGCTCAGTAACTGGGCGGAGGGGTGTTACTGGCACTCAGTAGGTAGAGGCTACAGTGGACAGGTAGAGGCCAGGGACAGGTCACACTGCACATTCTGCAGTGTGTGGGCGGGACCTCCCCCAACAAGATCCATCCCATCCTAAATGCCAGTAGTGCCCGGATTGAGCAATCCTGACCTAAATGCTGTTGCTGTTCCCTTTTCAGAACTACCTGTCAATGAAGATCGTGAAGCCAAATGTCTAATGCAAGCAAAGGCTTCTTGTCAAGAGTCGCCCAGCAGGGAAGGTGCCCTGCCTCCTTCTGTGGACCAGAATCGAGTGTGATTTTGTCTGTGTAAGACTGCAGCCCATCAGTTCCCAAGGCTCTAGATACTGGAACATTGCGCCAACAAGTGACATTTTTACCTTGCTGCCTTCTGAAGTATTGAAAGTTTTACTTTCTAAAGTTTGAACCATAGTTTTTGGAATATTTTCCAAGGTGGCTGGTTCCATTTAAAAAGTCTTTTTATGGTTCTGTAACTCAAAGTATAACTTGAATATTGCTCTATTTTAATATCATATACTTGTTATTTGTAATCAAGGAAAAGAATTGTGTATGACAAAACAGAATAGCTGAAGTTATTTATGCCTGCAAGCATTTTTATATTTTATATGGATAAACATCCTGAGATCTATTCCACCTCTGAGATGAATGCAAATACAGATGTTTCACCTTTTACGTAACTGTTGTATTGTGGGCCTGTTCTTATGTGTACTAACCCATGTAATCCTTAAGGCAGCCCTATAAACATAGATAACATTATTAACCCCATTTTACGGTTGAAAAAATTAAGGCAAAAAGGTTAAGAACCTTGCCAAAGGTTTAAATCTGAACCCAGATAGTTTGGGTGCTTTGTTTTTTTAAACTTTTCTTAACTGTGGCTCTGCACCAGCAGCAGGAGGTCTGTCTAGAGGAACAGAAAGCTGAGCTGGTCAGACAGTGAGGGACAGCACCAACGCCATGAGTCCAGGCCGACAGCAAAGACAGTTAGCATGTTTTCTAGGACACGAGAGAACACTGTTCTGTTAATATATAGGAGGTCATGGTGAGATCAAGTAAACAGTTCTACCCAAACGGTAACATAGAACTGAGGGGAACAAGAAATGGCTTGGATAAAATTCTGCCACAAAAATGATTGTGTTGAAATTATTGCTGCACTGTTTCACACTTTAAGTATTTTGATTCCTCAACATAAAAAATGTCAGTAGCTAAATGGAATCACACGTGCCAAATGTCTTCACATCCAACACCCAGGAGGCACTCAAACATGCGAGCTTTAGGTATTGCATTAGACTAGTTAGAGAAGGATGTTCTAGTTCTAAAAGCAGAATCAAGACTAGATTCTTTCTCTACCAACCAGGGGAACCTTCCTGCAGGAAACAGAATCACTAGACAGGCGGAAAGCAAAATAGAAGGTGTCTGCTACCTTCTCAGTACCCATAGGGAAAGAAGGAGGATCCCAAGTTCAAGGGGCAGGAAAAGAGGTCCCCTCTTGCCCCTCGAGGCCCTCCTGTGCCAACTGACTGGTATGTGTGAGGTGGTAGCAGGGACACTCGCACTACTCCAATGGAATGGAGGGCATACGTCCTGGTGGTTGTTTCGGGCTGCTCCATGGGCTTTGCTGATAAAAGAAGCTGAATGGGTGTCAACACAGCTGTCTAAGAGCAGCCAACTGCGCTCGCTTCGGCAGCGCATGTACTAAAATTGGAAGAGCAGCCAGCTTTTCATGAGCCAAATCCCAAGTATACATAACCTTCCAAGTTACAATTATGATACCTCTCAAGTATATATTTTATACCTAGGCCCAAACCACTACTCCCGGACATCTTGCTAAGATCTTAAAATAATGTCTGCTGCTTTCGTCTAATTCAGGGAACACTCGTGCAGCAAGGGAGGTGGTTTGAGTTACAGTGGAATTCTCTTGGGAACAGGAAAGCCGACTTGGGAAGTGAGCAGCAGGGCTGGCGTTGCGGTGCAGCGGGTTAAGCCACCACTTCTGACACCAGCGTCCCTGGGTGAAGTCCCAGCTCCTCGCTTCTCACCCAGTTTCCGGCTAATGCACCTCGAAAGGCAGCAGATGGTGGTTGAACTATCTGGGCCCCTGTCACCGATGTGGGATATCAGGATGCAATTCCTGGTTTCTGGCTTCAGGCCTGGTCTGGACTTGGCTGTCACAGCCATTTATGCCATAAACCAGCCAATGCAAGATCTTTCTCTCTCCCCTCTTTCTCTGTCACTTTGCCTTTCAAATAAATAATAAATATTTTCTTTTTTGTTAGTGTTGTTCCAAGCAGGGCTATTGTTTTTTGTTTGTTTAAAAGAACACTAGAGAAAGAGACTGAGAGAAAAAGATCTTCCACCTGCTGGCTCACTCCCCAGAGGCCTACAACATCCAGGACTGGACCAGGCCCAAGCCAGGAGCCAGGAACTCCATCCTGGTATCCATGTGGGTGGCAGGAACCCAAAAGCTTTGGTCATCATTCTCTGTCTTCCCAGGTGCAGGATGGGTAGCAGAAGAGCCAGGAGTTGAGCCAGCACTTCAAAAATATGAGATGTGGGTGTCCCAAGCGGCAGTTTAATTCACCTGCCCCTGTTATTTGGAATTTTTAACAACCAGTATGGCATAGCAAGGTCCAATCAGAACAGAGGCTTCAACACATAACGAGCAAGTGCTAGGAGGAACTACTTACACCACACTGGTTTGTGCAGCCTGAATGGTGACCTTCATGCCAGGGGACTCTGCCAGTAGGCTCTCCCATAGTGCCTCACTCAAGGAAATAGTTACTGAGCAGATAAATCAATGGCTGAGCAGCTGGCTCTGTGGCATAGCAGGTAGGGCCGCCGCTTGCAGTGCCGGCATCCCATATGGGCATCAGTTTGAGTCCAGCTCTCTGCTATGGCCTGGGAAAGCAGTAGAAGATGGCCCAAGTCCTTGAGCCCCTGCACCCACGTGGGAGACATGGAAGAAGCTCCTGGCTTCGGATCAGCCCAGCTCTGGCAGTTGCGGCCATCTGGGGAGTGAACCAGCAGATGGAAGACCTCTTTCTCTCTCTCTGCTTCTGCCTCTCTGTAACTCTGCCTTTCAAATAAATACATCTTTAAAAAATAAATCAACGGCTGAGCAGGGAGGCTTTTCCTTTCCTTCCACCCTGAGATCCACAAGTAGACAGTCCCTTTGGGGAAATGGCGGCAGAGCTCTATCAGAAATGAGAGAATTCTTGAGCTCAGCTTCCGGGTGGAACGCTTCTCCCTCCCTGCCCGACTCCCAGAAAAGCTCCGTCTTGTCAAAGGATAATGATCCCTCAATTCAGGCTGACCAAGGAGTGATAGCTAAAAGCTGGAACTAATCACAGTCCAGCTGCCAGTTGCTCCACTGGGAATTAAATAATGCTTAGTCCTAACTGATTCTCGCAAGTGACACCACGAACGCTGGAGCCATCGTTAGGAAAAAAAAAAAAAAAAATCGCCATCAGTGCTATGGGGTTGATTGGGAATTGAAAATCCTGACAGGCTCACACTTGATTTTGTTTTGCTCTTCCTTTCTCATTTAAGCTAGAAAAAAAGAAGTGCCACCATGAGACCTCATGTCACTTTACCGAGCTATTTAAAGGTGCGCAGGGCTCTGAAGGCCATAATGAGGTCCCATTTAGGAGCAGCCGGGAGTGGAGCTGTCTGGTTTGCCAGGTTCTGGCCAAGCGGCAGCAGTTTGCCCCTCCAGTTCCCCCGGCTCTGGGGGTTGTTTGTCCAAGGGCTGAAGCTGACTCGTTTGGGTCACTGTGGAGCCAACGCTGCTACAAACACACCTTAGAGAAGGTGAGGGCGCCCTCCAGAAACTGCCCACGCTGCTCAGGGTGACAGAGAGAGCAAGCGTGAAGTACAACTTGGCTGCCATCCGGGAACCAATAGTGGCAGTGATGGCAATATTTAAAAACCCTCCGCAGTTGAAACGTTTCATGCTAACTAGATCGCTTTGTGAGGCTGCTAACAGACAGTTCCCGGGACCCTATGCACGCAGCCGCCAAAAGCAGATGGGAATTCCATGCAAAGCCTGCTGGACATGGAAACAGCTCATGATGGGGTCGGCCTTGTGCAGAGAGGGAGCCCCCGCCCCCCATCTCTGCCCTGAGGTTTGTGTTTGCTCAGCGTTGAATGAAGACTCTCTAGTCCGTCTTAGGTTCAACATCATGCAGGCCTGAGGAAGATCAAAGGCAGGCAGCTTTTGCCTGGATTCACATCCGTGAAATGAAATGCCAGAGTTCACGAAGTTCAAGAAGAACACCGAAGAAACGTGTAGTGCGGCCTAAGTACAAAACCTAACGGGTGCGGGAACCGTAATGAAAAACACAGGCCCGCCATATGTACCGGCCCACTCATAACTTCAGGGGCGCAAGTCTGCAGGCTCCAGGATTTTACTATTTAAATAAACCGGACCAGGGGTAAAAACATAATTTGTTGAGCGACTCCTTCCCCAGGACATGGAATGCGTCTCGGGGCAATCCGATTTTGCCAAAAATTTATCACAGCTTCTTAAAAAGGCCCTTTCAGTCCGTGACTAGTATTAATGTGCTACTTCCATGTGTTTTCACAAAACGCTACAGCCAAACCTGTAATCCTCCCCCATCGCTGTGAGCTCAGGCCTGCCCTGGTCATTATCAGGAGGAGCAGCGGGGATATCCAGCTGGAGTCAGATGCAGCCCGAGGCCGCCCAGATGAGATTTCACCTGGGGCAGTGGGATAAACAAAATAAATGGACGGCATCCTGTCTCCAAGGCAGCGAGAGCAGGGGCCGGGGGATTCCAGACGTCTGGAAAGCGGTGAGCCCCGCCCCGCCCCCACCCTGGGTAACCTTGCGTGACTTGGGGGCCTCCTTTCCCCAGTTTGTGAAAAGAAGCCTTGAATTACATGATCGGGTCTGGCTCAGCATTTTTCATGGTCCTGCTTCTCTGTGACTCAGCTTCCTCCTTAGAATGTGAAGGGAAAATGGCTTAAAATGAGCAAACGTGTTTGCGACAGTGCTTTGGACACAGTGAGCACTCAACAGACCTCCGCTATCCATCTTAATCAGCAATCGACACCAGGAGACAAGAACAGCCAAACTGATCCGGGCCAGGAAGTGACAGAGTGCCCTGCTTTTGGAAGGTAGCCTTAGAAAAAAATAGAAATCACCACCCTCCAAAATAAGGCTCATTTTCCCCAGATCTAACCACACAATTCTAATGAAAGAAAATGGTTACAAAATGCTAAGAGGGGGAGAGGTGGGGAAGCTACTCAGAAAATTCAGCATACAGTTGTCATGTGATCCAGAAGTCCTCTCCTGGCTACGCACGTAAAGAAATGAAAGCCAGGACCCGGGGAGGCTTCTGTGCACTGCGTTCATAGCAGCATTATTCCCAAGAGCCAAGAAGCAGAAGCAACCGCTACAGACTGAATGTCCCTATCTCCACCACCGCCAAAGGGGGCGGGCATGAGGAGTGGGACCTTGGGAGGAGCGCAGATTAGTGCCCTCGTAAAAGCCACCGGAGAACGTCCCTGTCCCTTCTGCCATGGGAGGACACCACATGTGCTGGGTGCCTTGATCCTGGACAATGCAGCCTCCAGAACTGTGAGAAATAAATTTCTGTTTTTATAACTGCTCCCCTCCCCCCGCCTCTGGTATTCTGCTATAGCAGCCCTAATGGACACA